TCCAGAACCTTTTTCCTAAATTTCTTTACTGAGGCAGCTGCCATCTTGGATGTGTGTTTGCGGTGGGTATTGTGTTGGAGCACCACTTTGCAGCCTGTTTCTGAGGGAAGCAGACTTTTCTCTGCTTTAGGCCCCGTCCACACGAAGCCAAACCCTGGCCTAAACGCACACATTTTTCACCAAACCAGCCTCTCATCCATACGAAGCCGGCGTTTCGGGGGTCTGTAAACTATCTTTTTTTTATTCAGCCTTCAGAGTGGGAAGATTTTGAAACGGCGTTTTCGCGTTTCCATCTTTAAGCTCTAACCGTATTTTTTTTCTTACACGCATGCGTCATAGCGTCGCCTCTAAACACGCAGGTGCGACACAGTATCACAACAACAATGGCGCCGTACTGTGTTGAATGGTTGCTGCTCATGCTACTCACCCTGCTGTCGGGCTTACAACAGAATCTTCTTCTTCTGGAATATCTCCAGGAAGAACAGAGCAATATCGACCACATAGTTCAGCACCTGAATTTGACTGAACCACGAACATGGACCCGCAGGGCAACCATGTATAAATATTAGTGCGCATGCCCAACATTTTGTCGCCTATTTTTGCTTTGGCACCACAGCGCCACTTACAGGCCTGGCATACATTTTGCAGCGTTTTCATGCATTCGTGTGGACGATCACATTTATTTTACGTCTCCGTCTTTACGACAAACGTTCAGGAAAATATTAACGTTTCGTGTTCGTTTTGACTTCGTGTGGACGGGGCCTTAGTTTGTCACAGAACATGTTTAGCATCATGGGTCCATCAGCGGAACCACAGCCAGCATGCAGCCCAAACCATGACTCACTCACCACCATGCATGGCTGTTGGTTAAACACACCTGTCTTTGAACTCATCACCTGGTTGCCACCAAACAACTTTTCTCAATTTGACCCAAATCTGGTCGTCTTCTTACATCAGTCTGCTTTTCTTCAGCTACCTGTTTGTGAACCTTCTACTTCCTCTTTAGAAAAGGTTCCTTCCTTCCTTCCTTCCTTCCTTCCTTCCTTCCTTCCTTCCTTCCTTGTTTCCTTCCTTCCTACCTTGCTCCCTTCCTCCCTCCCTCATTCCCTTCCTTCCTTCCTCGCTTCCTTCTTCGCTCCCCTCCTCCAACCCCCCTCGTTTCCTTCCTTCCTTGTTCCCTTCCTTCCCCCCTCGCTTCCTTCCTTCCTTCCTTGTTCCCTTCCTTCCCCCCCTCGTTTCCTTCCTTCCTCCCTCTTTCCTTCCTTGCTTCCTTTCTTTCTTCCTTCCTTCCTTCCTCCCTCGTTTCCTTCCTCCCTTGCTCCCTTTCTCCCTCCCTCATTCCCCTCCTCCCTCCCTCCCTCCCTCCCTCGTTTCCTTCCTTCCTTGTTCCCTTCCTTCCCCCCCTCGCTTCCTTCCTTCCTTCCTTGTTCCCTTCCTTCCCCCCCTCGTTTCCTTCCTTCCTTCCTTCCTTCATCCCTCGTTTCCTTCCTCCCTTGCTCCCCTCCTCCCTCCCTCGTTCCCTCCTTCCTTCCTTGTTCCCTTCCTTCCCCCCTCTTTTCCTTCCTTCCTTCCTTCCTTCCTTCCTTTTCTCTCTCTCTCTCGCTCTCTCTCTCTCTCCCTCCTACTCTCCCTCCCTCCCACTGATCATTAATAAAAATCTATATTGATTAGTTTTTTATAACTGTATTCTTATTCGTCTTGTTGTTCAGACATTTTCCCGCAGGTCTCGGTGTTTCTTTACCACATTCTGCTGCCTGTGTTGGTTTCATGTGTTCTTGTGGCTGTTTGGGGGTTTGGCTGCTGCAGAATTGCAAATCACCACCATCTCTGATTCACCCCACTGTGGGTTTACTTTAAATGTCAGGATTTCAGCAGCTTTCAGACCTCCATCACAGCAGCGGACCCCCACTCTGCAGGAATTTGTTCCAGACACAGCCAGACCACGGGGGGGCGAGGTCGTCTTTGTGGTGTTACAGAGTTCCCACTGGTCAGATATTTGACAGAGCAGGATGAAAATGTGTATTTAACAAATTATTGAGTATGAAAGGACGGTTTAGTGGAATTCAAGTTTCACATCAAGCGCTGGCAGCAGGAAGGAACCTTTACAGCTTTGGAAAGCGACAATAAAACTGGTAATAATCAAAACTAAAGGAGCCACAAACTGAACCAATATTTTCCAAAACAAATTTTTGTCAACCAAAACGGAAAGGGATCAAAACAACAGCAGAAAAAAAAATCCAGTTATAAATTCAGACTTTTCTTATCCCCAGATTTTTTTAATCTCAAATTTTGGGGAAAAAGTCCAAATTTTATCATATTTAACTTTAGCCTCTATTTGTTTTTTCAGTTATGTTTGGTTTTCTATAGTTAAATAAAAACTGGTTGAAATGTTTTTACCTCAGTTTTATTCCAGATAATACTTTTCAAATTGCAAGCAATATAAAGGTTGAACCTCATGTAGTTTTCTTTGTTGAGTTTACTGCTTCAGTTTTTGACTTAACATACTTTAAACAAATGAAATAAAAATCACTTCCCTTACCAACTAAAATATATATTTAAGATATTATCTCTAGCTATGTTAAGGTGACGATGAACAACGTGTTAACGGCTCACTTACCTATTAAAATGTGATAAATTCATTTAAAAGGACTTCATATTTACTCTAAGCCGATGTTATTATTATTATTATTCCTTCTTTTTGCCTCAAACAAGTAGGATGAGTTGTTGGAAGTTGGAAGATGTGGGAGTCAAACTACGGGTCGGTCTAACCGTTTTAATTCCTGGTGAGAAGAAGAGCCCTCTGAACGTATTTGGTTTCAGTAGCGGCTGAGTTTTACTACAGCAGAGGAGACGTGTTGGCTGCTGCCGGCTGTTTTTCAGCCAGCGAAGTGAAGTCTGGTTGTCTTTAGCGTCTGACGGCTGCTTCCATTGTCATCCCAACACGACTCCGGCTCTTATCTGTATGCGTGTGCGAGTAATGCGACCAGACAGGCGACGTTGTGTGTGTTTTCTAAACGTTTGTGATGAAGTGCAGAGTGAGTGTGTGTTGAGTCAGCCTTTTCCATCCAGCTACTCACTCATCCTGAAGTCTAATCCCCCTAATCCACCCCCCCATCCTTTTTTTTTTTTATTCCTCCCCCCTCGTTGTTCCAGTTCCCTTCCCGTCTCCCAGTCCTCCCTCTTCCTCAGATCCAGTTGCTTCTAAATGTAGCTACTTATTGTTGTCATGCAGATTAAATGTGCTGATTTGCTCTTCAAGTTTTATTATAAAAAAAAAGATTTTCTTTTACGATTCAATCATGAAATGTTTTTTTTCTGATTAACATTGATTTTATGAACTAAAGCTAGCAAAATGTTTGATTAGCATCATTTCCTGAAGCATAATTCAGAAGAAAGAACACTTTGACACATTTTTAGTAGATCAGATTGTTGTGAGTCAGGTTCTTGTCAATAATTTCTTAACATTTATAAATGATGAGAAATGGTTCTGGTTCTGCTGGAGGTTCATTCCTGTTAAAAGGGAGTTTTTCCTCTCCACTGTCGCTACGAGCATGCTTATTGTGAGGGATTGCCTTCGAGTCAATAACCTGACTCCGCCAGATTGATTTGCTCCGCATATCCATCTGCAAACCTTCCGTTGAAGTAATTTTGGGAAGGGGCGAAAATACTGGTTAGCTGATTGGCCTATGTTGGTGATAGACGGGCCAAACAAACCAATCAGATCAACGAAGCATATGACGTACTAACAGAGCGACGATGAAGAGGAGCCAATTGATAGATCAAACTCTTGCCGAAACCAGTCGGGAGAAGAGCAAAAACATCTTTTCCTCTGAGAAAAGCCTCCAGAGCAGTGTTTTGCTCTTCTTTCAGGGAAGAAATACTCTGTAATTCCGATAAAACTTGCTCGATAGCCACGCCAACGCTAGTTTCATCGGCTGAAGCCGCCACGTTCTTTAGACTGAACTGTCGCGCTTTTCGTTGCGTCACACCTCAACCCGCCTCAAAGCCAACGCTGATTGGACGTTCGTTTGGTGAACGGCTCCAAATTTTCTTTAACGGAGAGTCTCCAGACTGATTAGCGAGTGAAACCTTGAAAGCTCGCAAGATCAGGATGGTCTCACCAGGCTATCGAGTCTGGAGACTGAATGAATTGTAAAGTGCCTTGAAATGACGTGTTGTGAATGGCGCTATAGAAATTAATGGAACCTAATTGAATTAAATAAAATAGTTGTAGCTTAATTTGATAAAAGGCTTTATCTAATTGTTTATGACTTCAGTAAATTTGACTGTAGTTTTATGGAATTTAGGAGCCATTGAAATCTGTTTTATTCTATTGCTATCGCAGTAATCTGATCTGTGTTAAATAAAGACATCCCGTTTCTTTGCAATACAATATATATTTCTTACAATTATATATAGAATAGAAAATCCCTTTATTGTTCCACAGTGGGAAATATTGGACTAAATTAAATTTGTTTTGTTTGTAACTTGGTTTGAGACGATGTTTTACAGTAAGGCCGATGTCTTTAGCATGAACCTAAAGGGAACTCAGATCTATCAGGTGTTAAAATTGTTAAAAATAAAAAACTTATTTCCTACAGTGGATTGTGGTCATGTGGTTACACAGTGTCCTCTGCCTATTTTAATACTCTTATCTAAGATTAAAGGAGCATCTTGATATTAAATAAAAGTGGCCCGAGAATGGAACCTTGAGGAACTCTAGCTGTGATCTTTGTTTGCTGAGATTTATATTTATCCAATGACAAAAATTGATCTTTTTAAAAAGATTTGGAAAAATGTTTGCAAATAAAAGTTAATGTGAAATCAGTGCATCTGCAGTTTAAACTTCCAAAATTTCCTAGTCTGAAACTGATATCAACCAGTTCCAGAGCTAAAATCTTAAAACCTGCCAGCATGGTGGATAAGCATGGTGTCTTTGCAGTCTGAACTTCCTGTCAGTTTATTTTTCTTCATTTTTTATTTATTTTTCCTCCTCTCAGACGGTGGAGCGTGAGCAGGTGGACGGCATCCAGCCGAAGCTGCAGCACATCAACGCCGTGGGTCAGGGTCTGATCCAGAGCGCCGCTAAGCTTACCGACACCCAGGCGCTGGAGCACGACCTGGAGACCACCAACCTACGATGGAACTCGCTCAACAAACGGGTACGACTCTGGAAAACAAGACGTTTTGCCTTCATCCTCACAAACTGATTTAAATGGAACAACAGCTTTGCTTTCTGGATTTTTTTTACTATTTAATAATTTTTTCTTAAAGTTTTCAAGTGAAATATTTCTCAGGTTAAATGGAATAAGAAAATCCAACGACATCCACAGTAAACAAAAATATGATTCCATAAGATAAAAAGCAGGATGGGGCTCATAAATAAAATGTATTTCTTTATAAAAAAAAAAGAAAAAAATTCTGGAAAGGTTTATTGATCATAATTTTTTTTAATTAGTTCAGGGGTTTGCTTTTGTACATCTTTTTCATAGCTTTTATATAATAATTAAGTGTCTTAAAAGTAAAAAAAAAAAAAAGTATGTTGTATCTTTTTGTCTATTTATTTCTCAGGTTGCGGAACGAATTGCCCAGCTGCAGGAGGCCCTGCTGCATTGTGGGAAGTTTCAGGATGCACTGGAGCCTCTGCTCAGCTGGCTTAGTGACACGGAGGAGCTGGTAGCCAATCAGAGACCTCCCTCTGCTGAATACCGCGTAGTAAAGGCGCAGATCCAAGAGCAAAAGGTAAAACAATGGAATAAAACTACAACTGTTAAACAACAAATGTATTTTTAAGATTTTTTTTTTTATAGATTTTTGTAAAAGAAAAAAAAAAAAACTTCCTCGAATCAGTTTCCAGTCTAGAAAAACATGTCTCCTTGTTTATCATCACACATTTCCTGTGTTTTTGCACATGCATGTCCTGAAGTCAGAGATCAGTAATGCTTTTTTACGTCTGTGACATAAAATTTTCACCTTTTAGCTTAAAGACGACAAAAAGTTTAGGGCAGATATTCAGTTTAGCTCGATATCTGGTATAGAATAATATACGAGGTTTAATACTCTGATGAAAAATGGGTTCATTGTTGTGGAGAAAATGCAAGTTATTTCTGGGTTGCACAACAAATGAAGTAAGCTTCAGTTCAACTGGACAAAGGCTCTATTCAAGGAACAAAAGTAGAACCAGACTTTATGAAGCAAAGACAAAAATAGGATGATAAATATTTCACAGGAGGCATGTCTGTTGTCCATCTGTGTTTTTGTCTCAAGACTAACTTTAATTTCAACTCAATAAGAGTTAAAACTCGTCTGGTTTCACAAACAGTTTTTCTTTCATGTGAAAAGCTCTTTGTAATGAAATAAACGGTAACTTGCAAGGTAATCATTTGGAGCTTCCACTTAATGCAGTGGTTCCCAAAAACAACAATCAGATGAAACCTGAGAGGATCGTTTAAAGTGTGTAAATAAACAGCCCTTCCTCGTTTATTCAGCTTCATGCAGAAATCTGTGCGGTTGTTCTTTTGTTCCTGCCGCATCGACCTGATGCAGTTTTAGTAAAGAAGGTGTTAGCAGACTATGCTGAGAGCCCAACTCTTACAGGAGCCTCCAGTGATTCCCAAAGCAGGGCCCGTTTTTCACCATATTTCAGCTCAATTCCTGCTTGTTCAATACATTTTTTTAATTCACATTGAGTGCTAACTTGTTTTTAGGTATTGTCTACATGCAAAACGGATTTTTGGTATCGCTTGTTGTAATCAGATTTTCCTGCTGAAAAATTAGTGGTGCGTTCAAGGTTTAAGCTGCAAAGTATAAAACACACACTGATGTGTCCCAGCGCTCAGCTTCAGGGAGCTGGAGATGTTTTCTCACATCTTCACTGAATTATATTTAGCTTGTTTTTTTATTCTTTATTATAGAGTTAAAATAATAACCTAAATTTAAAGTATTTTGTTTGGAGGAAGTTGTAGAAAATTTCCCTGAGATTAAATAAGGGATCTAACCATAAGCGTCGTTAGACCTATTTAAGGGTGGCTTCAGTCATCCTTTCTTTGGCATTAGCCACCCTATAATTATTTTGCGATTTAAAAAAAAAAATTTTTTTTTTTTTTCTGTATTTATTTTTTCCTCATATTTTCCCAAAACAAATGCAGTAAAGCACCGAATAAAAGCCATAAAGAAGACAAGTTAATCTGAACAATCATAGGCGTAACTTCCTTAAGGACTGGTGTGGACATGTCCCCACCAATCTTGACCGGTAGGGGGTCAGTCTCCACCAATATTATGTACACGTATTTTGCTTTCGGTGCTGTGTATATCTGATTAAAACCCCATTCATGCCGCTCCTCAGAAAGAAAATAAAAAAAGTTCTCCCCGCTGCTCACCGTCCACAAACCCCGACAAAAAACTCAGAAAAAAGAATCTGTTGCCTCTCGCTTTCTCCCCATCACCCCCCTCCGCCCTCTCCCCATAACATTTGAATTGAAGATATCCGCGGGTGACGGGTCGGGTTCGGTAGTCATCCTAACGGGTTCGGGCGGGTGCGGGTTGGTAAAACTCGACCCATGCAGGTCTCTAAGCTACACTACATTCAGTATCGTTGCCATAGAAACAGACAACAGCGCCAATATATCAGAATTATACTAAAACACACGCAAATAATTTCCCACATAAAAAACAGGACTTTCAGTCCATTACAGTTTTCCGTTTTTAGAGGGTTGTTTATTTTGCGTTTATTAAGTGATGGCTGTGGTTTATTAGCTTTCACTGCTATAAGCTTTCGCAGCAGTGATTGATTAATTTAAACACCTGCTCTACTGATGGTCTATCGGAGTTGGTGTTTAGGTTGGACATAAAGAACTACTTTTATTTGAAGCTTCTTGTAGCTACTGTTTTAATCCCGGCTTTACTTAAAACTTTTTCCTGACTTTGATAGTGTTGCCATTCAGTTGCAAGCACTGCGCCCCTTTTTCTTTTAAATGTACACGTGCATTTAAGATTTAGCGTGTTATGTTGACAACTCATGAGCAAGCTGCTTTTTGCAATCTAGCAGGAAGGTAAGGATAGGATCTTGCAGGTGTGACGTCACTCTGCAGGGGGTCCAAAGATAAAAGATTTAAACAATTTTGGCATTGGAATTTCAGATTTAACTGAGTTAGAAAGTTCACTTAGTAAAAGTGCAAACAATAAATCTGATTACTGATTACTTTTAAGCTGGTTGAACATACTGCGACAGACTGGTGACCTGTCCAGGGTGATCCCACCTCTCACCCAGAACGTGGCTAGAGATATGCACCAGCACCTCCTGATCCCACTGAGGGATAAGGTTAAAGAAAATTGATGGTTGAACATGGTCCGCTCTCCCAGATTCTATCAAATCAGTAGTGATACCCTCAGGGGCGGATTTAGGACATTTGGGGCCCTAGGCAAAGACAGGCAGGGGGCCCCCTGAGAAGAAAACCCATAAAACAGCCCCATTCTACAGATAGAGAAATGTTAATAGAATAGACATCCATTATTTGTTCTAGGTTTTGTCCCTCTCTTCTTGTCCCTTTTTCCTCTCTATTTATCAGCGTTCTGATGGCATTTTAGCCAAAGGATTTTTATCAAAAACATAATTAATGTGCACAAATAAGGATTAGTTGTATTAAACATACATGGAAACAGAGTTTTATGGGGCCCCCAGAACTTGGGGCCCTAGGCAACTGCCTAGTATTGCCTAATGGTAAATCCCCCCCTGGATACCCTGCTGGTGGTTGTTCTTGACAGAAAGACGGAGTTGCTTAATCATATTCTGCTTAAGGCCCCATAAGATTTTGTCCGAGTCCTGGTTTAAAAGTAAATTAATTTTAAAAAGTGGCCCAAAATTGACCGTCAATAAATGTTCTACAAAATTTATATATTTATTTGATTTCTTTGATTTGTACTGTCTGTTTAGATTTATGTGATATTTTTTGCACAAAATATATAAGTGAATATTGTAACAGTTATGTTTTCAACTGTAAGCATTAAATTGATAAATGTTATTCGCATTTTTTTGGCTTTATCCTTTCCAACAAAAAAAAAAAGGCGTCGCGCAGGTAGCTCCCTTTCCTTATGAGCCGTCCCCACCAACTTTTAACACAAAGTTACACCCTTGTCTTAGACAACGCCTTAGCAGGTGCAGTGAAAAAATTCGGCGCACTCGCGCGCATTATCTTCTAGGGGCTGAGCCACCCTTGTCTCTTAAACCTAGAGGCGCCCCTGGATCTAACCCCAGTCGGCCTCAGCAGATGGCCGCTCACACTGAGCCTGGTTCTAATGGAGGTTTCTTCCTGTTAAAAGGGAGTTTTTCCTCTCCACTGTCGCTACAAGCATGCTTAATGTGAGGGATTGCTGAAGAGTCGATGAGTCGATGCAATCAACCGGTTTTTCTTAGAAAACTTTTAATCAATTTGACTTCATCATATGTTTGAATTGTAAAGGACCTTGAGATGACATGGGTTGTGAGTTAATACTATAGAAATAAACTGAATTGAGTTATATAAAATAGTTGTAGCCTAATTTGATAAAAGGCTTCATCTTAATTGTTTATGATTTCTATAGAAATAAACTGAAGAACTGAGCATCATACACATCGATGCTCAGACAGCTGATATTAAGGTTTAAAGTGGTTCAGTTTCTGACCATCCATTTGCTAAAATAGAAAGATAAACTTTTAGGGTGTGGTTGGAATATGTTGACAGATTCAGAAATAATTAGCTGCTTATGTACATTTTTTTATTAATCATTAATGTAATGGACTATGTAATGGAAATCAGGTTGGATTACGATGTTTGGTTTTCTGCTCTCCAGCTGCTGCAGAGATTGTTAGATGACCGCAGGCCGACTGTGGAGATGATCCGCGGAGAAGGAGAGCGGATCGCCGCCACGGCGGATTCTCAGGACCGAGAGAAGATCAAGATCCAGCTCCAGAGTCTGTCGGAGAGATGGTCGGAGCTGCTGGACAAGGCCAGCGGCAGGTAATAAACCGCACCAACTGAGTCCGAATGCATCCAGGAATTAGATCCGTATGTTTCAGTCGACCGTTAATTAGGAACCTTTTTCGTTCTGGAAAAGAAGCCTGTCAGATATTTTCAGAGTAAAAAAAAGAGACTCAGCAACATCTCAGCATCTCCAGCTTATTTCCTGGTTTCTTCTATCGGGTTTGACTGAATATTATTGAAACATGTTTCTATACGTTTGGACTCCTGTGGGGAAATGTCATTTATCTTTGATTAATGCTTTCAAAACACTGAAAGTGCAGTAAAGTAGGGCTGCTTATGGAGAGATGCATCGACGGGTTTAGTCTGATTGCACAGAGAAGCCTTACATCATGTTAGAAAGCATGAAATCTGATTAACTGTCTGAAGCTCTGCTTTACAATGACAAACTCGTGAACACGTGAAATAACACTTCAGCTGTTTTTAAAACTGATTTGTGTCTGACAAATTAATTTATAAGAAGCTTCAGATGAACTTAAATATAATAAAAGCTTCATGAATGTTTAATAAAACGGGTTTACAGAGAGAGGAACAGCTGTGTGACTAGAAACAAGCCAGCCAAAGCAATAAAACACCAATAAAAGTGCTCGTCCTCATCTGTCTTCATCTCCTTCATCGCTTCTCAGGCAACGTCAACTAGAGGAGCTGCAGGTTCTGGCTCTTCAGTTCCACGAAGCCCTGGAGCCGCTGGGAGAATGGCTGAGCGCTACCGAGAGACGCCTGAGCTCCGCCGAGCCCATGGGAACCCAAACCGCCAAGATCAGCCAACAGATTGTCAAGCACAAGGTACTGTGGGGTTCAGAAACGCGGAGAGGACCGGTTTTCACCTGAGCTTGACCCCGACGGGTTTTATCAATGAAGCAGGAAATAAATGTTGTTTTCATTGCTTAGAATACAGAAAACAGACAAAATTTGTCAGCTATTATGTTACATAAATATAATTAATGTAGAAAGAGGAGGTTTTTTTATGTTGGTGATGCATGTCTTTTTATTTTTAGCATTTATTAGTTAACATTATTTCAGCGGTTAGAGGTCTGGAACTAAAAATCTGTGATTATCAGTCTTCAGACATTAAATAGACACAGGAATGTAGAAAGCTAAAACTTTATCTGATTATTTTATTACAAAATAATCTGATTATTTTATTACAAAATAATCAGATGCATGTTTTTTTTTCTACAACAGCTTTAAGCTACTGTAAAACTCAGCTTTAAGTCCTGAGTGTTACAGTAGCGCAGTACTGGGCACCCAACTTTAAATTTGCAGATGTGGTTCAGATTCTCATGACTTTTGGTGGTGGAAAAAAAAAAGGTTTCTGACTCCTTATATAAGATATACGGAAGAGGATTAGGGCCGCTGGAAAAAAAAAAAAGTTAACTGATTTTTAAATTTTATTTCAGTTTAATATGGGAAAAAAGTCAGAATTCCGACTTTTTTCTCAGAATTTTGACTTTATTCTCAGAATTCTGACAGCTAACAAACATGTTAGCATCAAGCCATAGCCATGTCTGTTTTAGAGACTAGCTCTCTTGTTTTAATGACCTTCTTCTCCTCCATTAATGAGGGGACCCCTCGGGCACGTAAAAAGTTGCCTAATTCCTTCATTTTCCACCAATGTGTCACTGGCCACCTCAAACAACTCACATCTTTGTCAGTGAAGCTGAGTGCTCCCACATCTCTTCCTTCATGGTGCCCATCTACATTAAGATCCACAATTTTGGGATAAAAGTCAGAATTCTGAGATTAAAGTCAGAGTTCTGAGGAAAAAAGTGATAATTCTGAGAAAAAAGTCGGAATTCTGAGAAAAAAGTCGGAATTCTGGAAAAAAAAATGTCGTAATTCTGAGAAAAAAAATTGGAATTCTGAGAAAAAAGTCAGAATTCTGAAAAAATAGTCGGAATACTGAGAAAAAAAAATTGAATTCTGAGAAAAAAGTCAGAATTCTGAGAAAAAGAGTCAGAATTCTGAGAAAAAAAGTCAGAATTATGTGAAAAAAATTCGGAAGTCTGAGATTAAAGTCAGAATTCTGAGAAAAAAATTCGGAAGTCAGAGATTAAAGTCAGAATTCTGAGATTAAAGTCAGAATTCTGAGAAAAAAAGTCGGAATTCTGAGAAAAAAAGTCAGAATTCTGAGAAAAAAAGTCAGAATTATGAGATTAAAGTCAGAATTCTGAGAAAAAAAGTCGGAATTCTGAGAAAAAAAGTCAGAATTCTGAGAAAAAAATTCGGAATTCTGAGAAAAAAAATCGGAATTCTGAGATTAAAGTCAGAATTCTGAGAAAAAAAGGGTTAGGGTTATTCTGACTTTTTTTTCCCCATGTTAAACTGAAATAAAATTAAAAAATCAGTTAACTTTTTTTTTTCATTGGCCCTAATCCTCTTCCGTAACGAAATGACGATAAAAGTTGTCTAAGTTTTAACTTTGGAAGACAGAACTTACAAACTTTTCTAGCTTGGCCCCCATTTAGATTACCACAGATTCAATATCAGTATATATTCCAATATAATTTAATCTTAATTTGAAATTACATGTCACATATTCCTTATACATTTCAGTCTATGATAACGTTTTGGGTTCTATGTAGTTAAAGCGATATTTCTAAAATGCTGAATTCAAAATATAATTGTCATCCGTTTGTCCAGATAGTTTTATTTTGTTTGATATCGAATCGATATCTTATTAAGAAATATATCATGATATAAGTTTATAAGCCCAGTCATAAGCTGAACGAAAAGGAAACCACAGGTGATTACGTATTACTTTATTGATTTTTTACAAAATTCAACAATAATACAGAAAATTTGTTGCATATTGTGACCATGGCAACCTACAGTTAAACTGCCACCTCTAGGGGGCGCAGCAGTAAAGCATTATAAATAGATAAATCTCCTTCACATAAACTAATATGAGCAACAAACTGTTTTTTTTAAATCATGCAGGTGTGAGTATAAAATAATAACAAATGAATAAATATATAAATATGTCACATATATTAAAAGTTTTTGGGGGTCATTGTTGCTCCTTCTCTTTATTTACATATTTAGAGTTGGCAGCAGGGCCCATGGCCCCCCTCTGACCTTCTTATTGACGCCACTGGCTGGAAAATCTTTCCAATTTCTGAAATTAAAAGCATTCACGGGATGTACTTAATGTACAAAAAGCTCATCCAGCAGCCATGTCTCTGTGATTCAGTTTTTGAGTTATTTTTATTTGTTTCTGCCATTTTTTAATGTTTATGTTGTTTTAATTTGTTTTTATTTATGATTTCTCATCTTGCATGCTCTTATTTTGTGTTTTCATCATTTTTCTGTTGTCTTATTTTTCTTTCTCATTTTCCTCATATAAACACACACACACACACACACACACACTTCCCAGGCGCTCCTAGAGGACGTTTCCTCCAGAGAAGCCGAGGTTGACCGCCTGGAGTCCCTTGGCCAGTCGCTGTCCCCGCTCAGCTGCGCGGCCGACAGGGATTGGCTGCGGGAGCGTGTGGGGGCGGTGAGGTCGGGTCACTCCGAGCTCGCCGATTGGTGTGCTCGGCGGGCAGCGCTGCTGGATCAGGCGCTGGCCAACGCGCAGCTGTTTGGGGAAGAAGAGGTGGAGGTGCTGAACTGGCTGGCGGAGGTGGCTCAGAGACTCAGTCAGGTCTCGGTGCAGAGCTACCTGCCCCAGCAGCTGGCTGAGCAGCACAAACACACACTGGTACGACACAGAGAGCCGCCGTAAAAGCCTCATCGCATCAAATAACAAAAGCAGCTTCTGTCCTTTTCAGAGGAACCACAGAAATCAGAAGCATAAATGAAACATTTTCTGTTTTCCTCTTCAGGCTCTTAATGAAGAAATCCTGAGCAGGAAGAAAACAGTAGATCAGGCCATCAAGAACGGCCAAGCTTTACTCAAACAGACCACAGGTAAGCTCCTCCCTCAGGAGACAAAGAACCTCGAAGCTCCTGGATGGTCCGTGATGGGTTGCGGCGTCTCACTTTACAGGCGAGGAAGTCCTCCTGATCCAGGAGAAGCTGGACGGGATCAAGTCCCGTTACGCCGAGATGACGGCCGGCAGCAGCAAGGCCCTCCGCACGCTGGAACAGGCCCTGCAGCTCTCAACGCGCTTCGCCTCCGCACACGATGACCTCAACCTGTGGCTGGACGGCGTAGAGGCGGAGCTTAACAACGTGGAGCCGGACTCCTCACCTACCTACCAGGAGAGACAGAAGGTGGGAGGAGTTAGGGTCTCTCTCTGTCTTACATTGAGCCCTCACAAAACAAGATAAAATAAGGCGTCATTGGAGCGGTGGTTTTATACGGAAGAGGATTAGGGCCACTGAAAAAAAAAAAAGTTAACTGATTTTTAAATTTTATTTCAGTTTAAAATGGGGAAAACTCAGAATTCTGACTTTTTTCTCAGAATTCCGAGATTAATGTCAGAATTCTGACCTTTTTCTCAGAATTCTGATTTTAATCTCAGAATTCTGACTGAATTCTGACAATAAAAGAGTCCGAATTCTGAGAAAAAAAGTCAGAATTCTGAGATTAAAGTCAGAATTCTGAGAAAGAAAAAAAAAATCTGTGAACTTTTTTTTTTTTTCAGTAGCCCTAATCCTCATCCGTAGTTTTAGGATTTCCTGTGATAATTTTTAAAAAAGTGTTTAAAAAGGTTTATAAATTACATTTGATATTTTCCTTAACGAGATATATATTTAAAAATAGGAATAAAGTTTACTCTCAAATTGAAAAATCAAAGTTATTATTAAAAACAAGGCTCAAAACATATTGACCTGTGAGTACATGAGCTCCCTCTAGTGGTAGGTTTGACACATTTCAGTTTAGATCAGCCAACAGCCTGAAGATAGTTTCAGACTTACTTGAAAAGGGTCAAAGGTCAGTTAAACACAGTGTAAAACCGAAATTGAATACATTAATAAGAATATAAGATGAAGGAATTTTGGTGGAATAAATTTTTTTCTTCCATGTTACACATACAAAAATCACAAACCCGAGTATAAAGCATACATATATTAAAAAATTAAGGTCTAAGAAAAAAAAATACTCTTACCAATACAACAATAGATGTAATAAAAAAAAAAAAGAAAAACAAGCCTTCTCGCGTTCTTGAGAATTGAGAAACAGCCGTCTCCACCCAAAAAAAATAAATAAAAAATCGAAAAAGAAAATTTGGAAAAACAAAAATAATTTGAAAATAAAATATTAAAAATATTTAGAACACCTTATTTTATTATTTATACCTTATTTTTTGTTTTTGATTGAGAATTTTTTCAAAATGCATTTTCTTTAAATGTTAATTTTATTAATTGTTTTCTGATCTTTAACCCTTTAAAGCCCGATCCAAGAATAAAACAAAACAGAAAATTACTTTTTTTTGGTTTGAAGTCCTTATTTGGCCTTTTAACAAAATATGTAAAAAGAAAAAACTGAAATAAATTTTTGATATTAATGATTTATTACTATGCGATAAGTCAAGATTATTTTTTGTGTAGTCTTCTACTGGCTGTTATCAGGTATATCTGATTGTGTACAATAGGATTTTGAGCAAAGTTTTTACCATTAAATTATGCAAAAGGTGTCAGACGCAAAACATTTCAAAAGGTCAGTTAAACACAGTGTAATCATAACTTTAAAAGTCCTTAAGACCTGCTTTAATCCGTTATTAACTACAGACTTTTATTTTGTTAATGCTTTCCTTCTGTAATGATGTTTTTTCAGTGTTTCCAGCATCAACCCACCCACAGCTGAGTTTCCATAGAAATGCTCTTTATTCTTGGAACTCAGTAACATTTTCAAAGCTGTTGAAAGGATTTCTGTTATATAATTTGTTTCCTGTCTCCAGGTTTTGTCCATCTGAGATGATTTTTTTTTCAGGATTTGACATTTAAAATGCTTTTTTCTTTTTTAACGAGCTTCATGTTGGCCTGTTTTTCACCACGTTCTGGTTCTCTGCTGCAGGAGCTGAAGAAAGTGTCGGCTGAGAAGCGGCTGGTTCTGGACACGGTAAACGAGGTGGGCAGCGCTCTGCTGGATCTGGTGCCGTGGCGAGCACGCGAAGGCCTGGACCGGCTTGTCGCCGACGCCAACCAACGTTATCGACATGCTGATGAGACCATCACTCAGCGTGTGCAGCTGGTACAAGCTGCCATCCAGAGGTCACAGCAGGTAATGCAAGAAGCGTCCAACAGTCTTAAGAATAAGTGTTGTCATTGCCAAATTAATGGAGAGAATTTTTATTTTTTTTTTAACAAAACATCTATTTAACAATGATTGAAACATGAACAGTTAAAAAATTCAGGTCATCAGTACATAATTATAATAGCAGCTTGTTATATTTTAGCTCTCCAGAGTCAGAAATGGTGCACAACACACTATTAAAACCACACAGTTGTAGAAAACCCTTCAAATCCCCAGTGGGTCTGTGGAAGCAAAACTCCAGCCTCAACCTGGCTTTGATGTTACACTTCCACAGAGCCACCGCATCGAGCTCAGGTTCTTCCTGCAGTTTGTCTCTTCGAGTCAGGTAGATAGCCATTTTGGCTTCAGGGATTAAATAATTTTAAATTCTGGATTTGAGAGCAGTGGCTCGGCTGTAATGTACACCGTTGATAAAAACGGAATAGGTAAAAACCACACTAAAAAGGCTAAAAACGTTCATTACAAAATTTTAAAAACCAGTCAGTCGTACACAATCCATAAAAACGTGAAACACACTCTCTGCAATCTTTTGCAATCTGCAAAAAGGACATTTATATGGAAGTAAAAATGTTACTGAAACTTAAATGTTGTATGTTTGTACTTACTGTTTCAGTGTAAAATATATTCAGAACACATTTTTGACCTAAAAAAAATTTAATTGTCATTATTTCTACAAAGTTGAAATTTTATTTATTTTCTCTTCAAGCTAAAAATTCACATTACTATTTCAAAGTGATTACATTTTCAATACTTATTTTTCAGTTTAAAAAAAATCTGCATATTAAAAAATTCAACCTTTCAAAATTCAAACTCAATATTTTCAGCCTCCTGAGATTCAACTGGCTCTATTTCACTGTCTTAAATTCGGCGTCTAAATTCAGTGTAAAAAGGGAAGGGTTACTTCAGGTCACAGACATTAGCAATGGATTGTGGCGTCCAACACCCAGCCAATCCCGTTACGTTTTCTTAGTCACGTGACGTGACGTTTGCGGGGCTCATACTGAAGGAAAACCAGCATGACGGAGCCGGTCATGCAAGCTAACGCTAACTCAACGGTGAGTTTATTACTTTCATTTTTCTGTAGTTGAGTTAGCGTTAGCTTGCATGACCGGCTCCGTGATGCTGGTTTTCCTTCAGTATGAGCCCCGCAAACGTCACATCACGTGACTAAGAAAACGTAACGGGATTGGCTGGTTGTTGGACGCCACAATCCATTGCTAATATCTGTGACCTGAAAAATAAGTATTGAAAATGTAATCGCTTTGAAATAGTAATGTGAATTTTTAGCTTGAAGAGAAAATAACAAATGAAATTTCAACTTTGTTGAAATAATGACAATGAATTTTTTTTTAGGTCAAAAATGTGTTCTGAATATATTTTAACACTGAAACAGTAAGTACAAACATACAACATTTAAATTTCAGTGGCATTTTTAATTCAAATCCCAGCGACAGATTGACTTCCATACATTTATTTAAAACCTCAGGACTGATGACAGATAAAAATATTGAAGGTCACCAGTCAGTTTTTTGATGGGAGGCTTGAACATGTGGTGATGTCATCAGTACGCTTCTGTTCCAGTTGACCCATATTTATGCTGCGTGCTCCCGTTCTCCCAGAGTCCACTTTTTTTCTGTGGTCTTTTCAAGAACATACTTGGCGAGAACACGAGCCCGTACTCTCGTTCTTTTTTTTGCTTTTTTTTTTTTGTTTTAAATATATGTTTAAGTTTTCAAAGTGAAACATATGTAACCGGCCTCTGCGTTGTGTAATAATGCAATGTTCAATCACTCCAAGTCAGCCAATAAATGGCGTGTTTATTCTAAAAAGAGTGAAACAAAACTGCCACCTTCCTCCATTGCAGTAATGAACAGTGCGGGGAAGGAGGAAGTGATGTCACAGGTTCTACCCGCAAAAGTAAAACTAAACTTTCCCTAAAACTATTATACAGATTATTGTTCCTTACAGTAATAATTCCAAGGTAAAACCGAAATTGAATACATTAATAAAAATATAAGATGAAGGAATTTTGGTGGAATGATTTTTTTTCTTCCATGTTACACATACAAAAATCACAAACCCGAGTATAAAGCATACATATATTAAAAAATTAGGGTCTAAGAACAAAAAATACTCTTACCAATACAACAATAGATGTAATAAAAAGAAAAAAAAGAAATAAAAGCCTTCTCGCGTTCTTGAGAATTGAGAAACAGCCGTCTCCACCCAAAAAATAAATAAAAAATCGAAAAAGAAAATTCGGAAAAACAAAAATAATTTGAAAATAAAATATAAAAAATATTTAGAACACCTTATTTTATTATTTATACCTTATTTTTTGTTTTTGATTGAGAATTTTTTCAAAATGTATTTTCTTTAAATGTTAATTTTATTAATTGTTTTCTGATCTTTAACCCTTTAAAGCCTGATCCAAGAATAAAACAAAACAGAAATTTTGTTTTTTTTGGTTTGAACTCCTTATTTGGCCTTTTAACAAAATATGTAAAGAAAAAACAGAAATACATTTTTGATATTAATAATTTATTACTATGCGATAAGTCAAGATAATTTTTTGTGTAGTCTTCTACTGGCTGTTATCAGGTATATCTGATTGTGTACAATAGGATTTTGAGCAAGTTTTTACCATTAAATTATGCAAAAGGTGTCAGACGCAAAACATTTCAGAAACCGTATGTATCAAATATGATCCATTTGGCATTATAGTGTTAAATTTTATTGAAACGAGTTTTGCTCACTATGAACTCCTTGCTACAGTACGAGGAGGCGGTGGACGCAGAGCTGGCCTGGGTCGGCGAGACCAAGCGTAAGCTGGCGTCTCTGGGCCCCCTGAGTCTGGAGCCTGACGTGACGGTGGCTCAGCTTCAGGTGCAGAGAGCCTTCAACATCGACATCATTCGACACAAAGACACCGTTGATCAGCTCCTCAGAGTCAGAGACGAAGTGCTGGAAGCCTGCAGCAACGCTCAGAAGGACGCTCTGATGGCACGTCACAAACATTTCCTCGTAGTGTCAAAAACGGTCTGCAGGAGCGAGGGACTTAATGATGTCTCCTCCCTCAGGTGAAAACGGATTCTCTGAGCACACGCTACGATGCGGTGAGTCAGAGCCACAGCGAGCGGTTCTCGGCTCTGGAGCAGGCTCAGGTCCTGGTGGCTCGGTTCTGGGAGACCTATGAGGAGCTGGAGCCGTGGCTGGGTGAGACCGAAGCCCTCATCGCCCAGCTCCCGCCTCCAGCTATCGACACAGACGCTCTCCGGCTGCAGCAGGACCAGATGAGGGTGAGACATCCCACTCTCTGCCTCAGGGGTTAAAACTGTGCTCTGTTAAATGATTTTAATGTTTGCATGCAGCTGCTCAGGGAGTCCATCGCCGAGCACAAGCCCCACATCGACAAGCTGCTGAAGATCGGACCGCAGCTGGCGGAGCTCAGCCTCCAGGAGGGGGAGACAGTGAGGCAGCGCTACACCCAAGCAGAACGACGCTACCTGGCCATCAAAGAGGAGGTGAAAGGTCGTGCAGGAGCTCTGGATGAGGCGGTGTCTCAGTCTGCACAGGTATGGCCCGCAGCATCACTGATCTGTCCGTCCTTCAGCTGCAGACAGACATGTTTATGTAGTACAATAAACCAAAGAATCTAAACATCTGCAGTGTTTTTATCTTAATCACAGATTAAGGCGTCAACATCGTTACTAAACAGCATGAAGTTTCTGGCCGTGTTTGAACGTTTTAAGATGTTTTTCGCTCGCTCGAAACTAACAAAGATTTATGGCTAACAAAACTTGTTTCCAGCTCAATTACTTTTACTCCACTGTGTTTATAAGCAGGGTTTGGAATCCAAAACCGAGGTCCTGTAAACAACAACACCGATACTTTACAAACCTTTTCCTCTTTGTTTGTTTTACTCTAATCAGAAATGCAAACAGGACAGTTGCTCATAGAAACAGATGTTTTTAAAACGGACGATCCCAAACAGCCTAGTTTTTCCAGGTCTAAATAAAAAAGAAAAATGTCCAAAAATATGTTGAATATTTCCAGCTTGATTCGTTGTTTAATTTTTTAATGTTTTTTGTTGATGGGCAGGTCCTGGCAGACCCGTGTCCATCTGTTTACGTCTGTAACCAGCCGTATAACTGATCCCCTGCATCATGTTAAAGTTAACTGGGCTAACAGAGACCGTAATGATGTCAACATTTAGTCTGAATGAAGCAAACTGTTGAGTTTTTCAGGGTTTTTTTCGCACTGTGCCTGATATTGTAACTACATCCTAATCTCATCTCATGAGACGCTGGATCAGCGTCGTTTCTGCTGTTATTTTGTTCTGTAACTGAAAGCATGACTGACTGAACTCACCGTGTTGTTTCTCCACCCCTCCTATAAACCACTCCACGTCTCGTTCCGTCTCCTCCTCCCACCCATATCTTTTCCTCCATCCTCCACCCACCACCTTGTCTCCTTCCTCCTCCCCACCTTCATCCTTTTCACCTAACCTTGCTTGTCAAACTCCTCCCACCTCCACCCCCTCCTTCATTGTGGGATGTTGCTGTGTGTGTTGTTGCTCCTCACCTCCATTTTTCTCCATGGTCACTGCAATCACCCAGCTGCTAGAGGTAAGACATCCAACCTGCACTCAAGATGTTCACCTAACTGATTTTTATATTTTAAAAATGTATTTCTTGTCATTTTTTTTTTTATTCTTTATTTCAAACATGCAAGAAAAAAAACAATAAAACAATGTTTAAAAACATTGGAGAGAAAAACAACAAACAAGGTACCCTTCTTTCCTAAATTAATTTACCTCTATTACATGTGCAAAAAGGAGTAGGAAGAAGTAAAACTTATGTGCTCCTACCCCTTTAATTCTTGTATTTCTTCGATTTACAATATTTATAATTATGTTGCTATATATATTCATATAAATACATACCTACCTACTATGGAGGATAAAAAGTGCAAAAATTAAATAAATAAATACAGCATCAAATAATTAATTAAATGTGGAATTAATTAAATAAATAAATGTGTCATTCATTAATTAAAACCATGTCACTAATATAAAGTTCCACAATTAAATAAATAAATAGAGCGATAAACAATTAATTAAATGTGTAATTCATTAAATAAATAAGGAATTAAATATATAAATGTGTCATTAATTTAATAAAATACGTCTTCATTTTATTAAAAAATATATATATAATTATTTCATGGTGCATCGAAACCATTAAAAGAATCTGTCAAACTCACCCATCAAAGTTAGGGGGCGGGGTTAACGCGAATCGAGTCTCTGTAATCGATTTGCTTCGCCTTAATGTGCAGGGTGACCAATCAGGTGTTAGATAACATTATTTTTCTTAAAATAAGTTACATTTTTCTTCAATTGAGGAGGTAAGTGAGAAACTTTGCCAATGGAATAAGACAATTAGCATTTAAAATAAGAAAAAACAATTGCATTGTCTTATTTCTAGTGTAGCTTATCTAATTATTTTATTTTAGGAGTAAAATTGTAAATACTGACCTGTATTTATGAACAGTCAACTTATTTCTAGATCGTTTTTGTAGTGTGGTGTCGATAAGTTGATTAGAGAACCAATAAAATGTGTACTTCAGTAAAACTAGAACAACTTTAACATTTTTTCTTACTTAAGTAAAAGTAAAAAGTAGCCATTTGGTCCCCAGATACCAACTAATTGTGTAACAATTTAAAATGAGGTAAACAGACAAACAATAATATAGTATAACTTATTTGTGAATTAATTTTGTTTTAGAAACTAAAAATAATGAATACTGATAAATTAATTGTTTGATTATACATTTTGTTAGAAGAATTTCTTAAAATTTTCATTTTTTCACATAAAACTGTTTTTTGAAGAATTTTATGTAGCTATGATATGAACTACATCCAGTGAAAATAAATACAGTAAAGAACCAAAAAAAGAAAACTTAATTCTAGTGAATCGTTCACAGTCTGTATCCGGTTCATTTTACGTTAAAATTATTCTTTGTTCCAGTTAAAGTGACTCGCAGTGAGTAAAAATGACTGAAGTAGGAGATACTTCATCATAACATTGCTTGAGTTAAAGTAAAAAGGATGCTATTCTGCCGAAAGTGTCTGTTAACCCTTTATAGGGCACTTAGTGAAATACTTTGAAAATCAATATTTCAAGCCAATAGTTTTATTGGAATCCAGGACAAGACCTTATTACCTTTGTAACATTCAAATAATCTGGATATTTTGATGGAAAAAAAAGAATGTCAGTGTAATAAAAAGAAACGCCAACTTGGCCGAATATATTAAGGAAAACAACAAATGTGTTTTTATAAGAAATTAATGAAAAGCACTGAGAGAGAAAGAAACACTTTTTTTTTTGGTCCAACATAACCTTAGAGGCATTAATGTTGATACTGGCACTGACATTTTTTTAGATTATAAACCTAAATATAATTGTTAACGAGGCTTATTAACTTTTTAACTTTACTTTTTAACTTTTCAATGAGCTTTTTACCTTTTTTTCTTGACTTAACTCTTTTTTTCAACTTAATTTCCAGTAGGTAATATATCAATCAGGGGCTCATCTTATTGGTCAAATGCCAAAATCAGATGTACAGCCATGTAGCAGGATCTTTGCTGAATGGCTGGATATAGATGTAGTTCTTCTAGACCTCACTGAGGGACGGGGGGGGGACTTCATTTGTAAAGGGATGCAAGTGATCAAAAATGGTAACTTGCCCTATAAAGGGTTAAAAAGTTACTAGACTAACTGTAACTAGATAGTACCCACCCGTTTCTGGGACACTGATATTTGAGGTTTCCTTCTCTGAAAGTCATAATTATCACAATTACAAGAAAAAAGGCTTCGAAAATTCTGGATCTATGTAATGAGTTTCACTTTCTGAAATTAATGAGAAAAACTGAACTTTCTTAACAATATTCTTAGATTTCTACATTTAAATGTTGTTGCAGAAGTTTTCTCCTCTGTGGTAAGATTAGTTTTATTTGTAGTGATGTAGGTTAATTAAATTCATAAAAGATGTCAGGACCTAATGATATCTTTTGTGTTAAATCTTTCCCTTAAAGTCTGTAGTTCATTTTTCCTCCTGTTTGTCGATGAACTCTTAGTTTCTCACATTATGAGACCTGGCTGACATGTTTAAAGTGACGTATTGAGATATTTTATTTAAAGAAACGGCGACTCCCAACCTGAAGTGTTTGGCTGAGAACGTTCTGGTGTTTTTAGCTGCATATAGATGGTTAAAAATCCACTTACTGAATACATTTTAAAGGACTTAAATTCAAGAAATATGTGCAAAAGTTACTTATTTGTGTTAAAGACAGGCTCTCTATGTCTAAAAACTTGAAGCTTTCTCTCTCTCTGGTTCTTTTTCCCAAATAAGTCACTCGGGATAAACTCTTCAAGTAACACTTCATAACTTATATGTATTAAATAATATTAAATAACCAGGAGACATGACAACAGATTCTGATAGAAATTGTAATCTTACTCAGATCAGAGAAGTTGCTTAGAGTTTACAGAAGGCAGCTGCTCACCTCTCAGGAAGTGGCCCCGATTAACAGTTAAAGAGGCATTTTATACATCTCCAGTCTGCCGCATCATTACGTCACACACGTTTTCAGATGAGGGGACATCCATGGCTCCAGCCTTATCAAAATATTACACTTTGTTCTAGCTGAAGGACGCCACTCTGCTTCTATTCCCAAATATTCGCCACGTACAGAATGAAGATTATAACTGTATATCTGGACAGGATCTGTCTTAACTATTGTGGAAAACGTCTGACCGCAACAGGCAGCTAATATTAAAGTATGATAAACTAACACATCATCAATTAATAATTCGTAATGTGTTGTTAAGGATGGAGCTCCATGTGGATATCTAAATATTTCCAAACTGGAGAAAACCAGTTCCAAAGAGGTCCTCAGTCCGAGTTGGATTGATTCTCCCAGGTTGCCAAACAGTTAAAGGCTAAAGGACATTTGCTTTTGTTTGACACCTTGCAAGGGCATCAGAAGCATCATTTATGATTAAAAAAATCTGTGCAGATTTGCTGCTTCGTTCATATTTAGCAGGGAACGTAGCAGCGAGGTGATGCTAATTACAGCACAGAGATTTTTATTGCTTTGCTGTGCTGAAGAGAAAATAGTTTCTGCGCATCAGTCTGTGGCGGTTTGGAGGTCCATTCAGAACTAGCTGAGGTCTGTCGTTAAGATCTACATCCTAGAATCTACAGGCAGCAGTTAGCAGGTTAGAGGTTAAAGTTCAACACCAAGTTCAACAGAAAAGAGAAAATACCGGACAATGATCCTAAACTCAGCAGCAGAAATAGAGGAGCTGAAAGAAGAAGAACCGGGATGTTGCAACGGTCTAGTCAAAGTCTTGAATCAAAGGTCTTTTTTTTTTTTTTTTTAACAGTGTCCTGTCTGGCAATGTGGCAATAAGAATAATTGTCTTGATGCAAAAAAGAGTCCAACAGATTTTACTTTCACAAGTGGAGCAGTACGGCTATAGCCATATTGCTCCACTTGTTTCATGCATATAAATTGCTTTATTATAATTATGCAGGGAGTTTTACAGATTTTATGGACACTGCAATGTAAATAGAACAGAAGAAGAAGAAAAAAAGAGAAAAGATGAAAGAAAGAGGAGATAGAAAGGAGACAATGAATCAAAGGTCTGGTAGCTGAGCAGAAACAAATATCTGCAACTTTCATTGGATCAAAGCAATGCTGACCCAAACAGACATAGAACCACTGCTGAAGGTTATCAGCAGCTTTGGGGTCTTAGAGTTTAATTAGCTGGATAAAATATTTAGGCGATATCCAATGAAAATAACCTGATTTACCAAAGTTTCCTTTCAAAGAAATCAGATGTTTAGAGGCTCAACAGTGCAAACCTGAACAAACAGACACTCCGGTGCCTAAGAAAACTACGGAAGAGGATTAGTGGCACTGAAAAAAAAAAAAAAGTTAACTGATTTTTAAATGTTATTTCAGTTTAGTATGGGAAAAAAGTCAGAATTCTGACTTTTTTCTCAGAATTCTGACTGAATTCTGACAATAAAAAAAGTCAGAATTCTTAGATTAAAGTCAGAATTTTGAGATTAAAGTCAGAATTCTGAGAAAAACGTCAGAATTTTGAGATTAAAGTCAGAATTCTGAGATTAAAGTCAGAATTCTGAGAAAAACGTCAGAATTTTGAGATTAAAGTCAGAATTCTGAGATTAAAGTCAGAATTCTGAGAAAAACGTCAGAATTTTGAGATTAAAGTCAGAATTCTGAGATTAAAGTCAGGATTCTGAGATTAAAGTCAGAATTCTTAGATTAAAGTCAAAATTTTGAGATTAAAGTCAGAATTCTGAGATTAAAGTCAGAATTCTTAGATTAAAGTCAGAATTTTGAGATTAAAGTCAGGATTCTGACTTTTTTCCTATACTAAACTGAAATAACATTTAAAAATCAGTTAACTTTTTTTTTTTTTTTTCAGTGCCACTAATCCTCTTCCGTAGAAAACAGAAAGTCTGGTGCAGTCGAGTTATTAATTTATTCCCCCATTCAGCCTCCCTGACCTGTCAGCAGGTTCAGCCTGAAACAATAAAAACAAAGAGCGTCACACCAGACATGTTCTCCCGACACGTTACAAACCTAACAGATTAAATAAGAGAGTTAGGAGGAGGGTCAACCTTTTTTTTAAATCGTTAAAATGTTAGATCAGTTTTTAGCAAACTGTAACGATCCCCATGCTGTCGACCATCCCAATAATATCTCACTACTTACTCACTTTCAACATGTTACTCAGACTCCAGCGCTCTTCCTTCTCCTCATGACCTTCCTCTTCGTTTCTCCTCCTCTTCAGTTCCACGACAAGATGGACCCCCTGCTGGAGACTCTGGAGGGGGCGGTGCAGCGGCTCCGCATGCCCCCTCCGGTCGCCGCCGAGGTGGAGAAGATCCGGGAGCAGCTGGCGGAGCACCGGGCTCAGGTGCTGGAGCTGGACAAGCTGCTGCCGAGCTTCTCCGCCCTCTGCTCGCGTGGGGAGCAGCTTATCGGCAGAGCGGCCCACGACGATCCGGCTGCTGAGGGTGAGAGGCTGCCCTGGAGTTACCTGTTAATGTTTCGATTGAGGACCTGACCTTTGACATTCATCCATCCTGTCTAACGCAGCCGTGCGCTCCCGCCTCCTGCGCCTTCGTTCTCTATGGGATGAGATCCGCCAGCGAGCCGAGGAAAGAGAGACCAAGCTGAACGACGTCCTGGACCTAGCCGGGAAGTTCTGGGCCGATGTGGTGGCTCTACTGAGCACGCTCAGAGACTCCCAGGATATCGTGAGAGAGCTGGAGGACCCAGGGGTGGACCCGTCGCTCATCAAACAGCAGATCGAAGCAGCTGAGGTCCGGAACAAGATCCTGACGGGAATATCCCGCTTGTAGAGCCTCGTTTTCTGTCTCAAAGCTAAATTCCTCCATGCAATGTGTTCGCCAGGCCATCAAGGCAGAGACGGACGGCCTGAGGGAGGAGCTGGAGTTTGTCCGGACGCTTGGAGCTGACCTCATCTTCGCCTGTGGAGAAACTGAGAAACTTGAAGTGAAGAAGACTATAGATGAGGTGAGGTGCTCGAACTGAAACAGGCTGAAAGTTCAGTGATGAGAAGAATATTCAGGTTCTCACAGTGATGCTAATCCCTCCTTTGACAGATAATATTATCCACGTCATCCTGACCAATCAGAAGAGACACATTTACAGACATTTTTGTCTTTTCCTCTCAAACTACCAAAAATGAGTTTTTGGTTCTGGTTCTGCTGGAGGTTTCTTCCTGTTAAAAGGGAGTTTTTCCTCTCCACTGTCGCTACAAGCATGCTTAGTGTGAGGGATTGCTGAAGAGTCAATGAGTCGATGCAATCAGCTGGTTTTCCTTAGATAGAAAACTTTGAATCAATTTGTTGGGTAACAAATGTTGGGTAATTAGAACAAGAAAGGTTGAGAAAGAGAGAAGGATAAAAAAGGGGTCGTTAATTAAACAGGATTTAGTTCAAATATAAAAGAAACATCGATTATCAATCAAACAAACAATGAACAATTTAATGCAAATGAAGGGAGCAGCAATGCATGCACGCCACTGACGCATTCTCATGTTGGCCGATACGGTACAAGAAAAAAACTCTAAAATATCATCCAGTCGACTGGTTTATCCGTTTATCTCCTCTACAGATTATTTTATTTCAGTTTCTTTTTCTGTCAGTGATCTCTGCAGAGAGGAGAGATGTTTGCATGATCGACTGTTACATTTACGACTATTGTAAAGAAAGAAAGAAAAGGAGGAATGTTAGGGATTTGCAGGGAAAAGACAGACGGATGTTCCTCAGTGAGCTCTTTGACATCGTCTCTGTGTCTCGCTCTCAGATGAACGGCGCCTGGGAGGGTCTGAACCGAACATGGAGGGAGAGGATGGAGCGGCTGGAGGAGGCCATGACCGCCTCTGTTCAGTACCAGGATGCCCTGCAGGTTCGTTCCTGTGACTCCCTGCCTTTTCCTCATAGATTGAGCTCATGGGAAATACTCCAGGGTTTTCGCTGTGATTCTGTAGTGTTCAGATTTCTGTGTGTTGTTTCCAGTCGATGTTTGACTACCTAGACAACGCTGTGATCAAGCTGTGCGACATGTCGACTGTAGGAACTGATCTGGGAACAGTCAAGCAGCAGATAGAGGAGCTAAAGGTTTGTTTTTCTTTACGATCATTCTTTCAGACGTTTTGTATAACTTTGGGTTTGTTTTTAAAAATTAATCATCTTCCTCCTCGTCCCTCTGACTCTGAGCAGCAGTACAAGGTGGACGTTTACCAGCAGCAGATTGACATGGAGAAGCTCTGCCACCAGGGGGAGCTGCTGCTGAGGAAAGTGTCAGATCAGACTGATCGGGACATGATCCAGGAGCCGCTGACTGAACTGCGCCACCTCTGGGAAAACCTGGGCGAGAAAATCACCCAAAGACAGGTGATGGAGATGAAAATGAAGCTGTTTTTTTCTCTCTGAGTGATGAAGGCATTTGGGATGTTTGAACGCTTTAATCTCTTCTTTCTCCGCAGCACAAGCTGGAGGGCGCCCTGCTGGCTCTGGGTCAGTTCCAGCAAGCTCTGTCTGAGCTGCAGGCCTGGCTGAACCACACTCACACCACTCTGGACACGCAGCGACCCGTCAGCTCCGACCCGAAGGCCATCGAAATCGAGCTGGCTAAACACCACGTGCGTCCGGACCCTGCGCCGACTCCTTAACCGCCGTGTTTCATTTTTTACTCCAATGAAATCTCCTTCTCCTCCCCCAGGTTTTGCGTAATGACGTGCTGTCCCATCACGCCACGGTGGAGACCGTGAACAGCGCCGCCGCCGAGCTGCTGGAGTCCTCCCCGGGCGACGAGGCAAGCCACCTGCGGGATCAGCTGGATCAGCTCAACGGGAGCTGGGAGAGTCTGCTGTTGAAAACCAAGGAGCGACAGAAGCTCCTGGAGGCCGCCCTGCAGCAGGTAGGCGCAGCAGTTCCAGTTAAAACACGTCGGAGTCAGATAAACGTGGCTCAGTTCAGAGCGTCTCCTCTCCCACCTGTCTGTCTGTAGGCTGAAGGTTTCCATGGTGAGCTGGAGGAGTTCCTGCAGTGGCTGAGGAGGACGGACAGCCAGCTGTCTGCAGCCAAACCAACAGGAGGCCTCCCAGAGACCGCCAGGGAGCAGCTACAGCAGCACATGGTGAGGAGGAGTCAGATTACATCCAGGAGGAGAAATAATCCCAAAACACACTGAGAGTCGTCCTTTAAGCTTCCAGATGCACCTTTTAGCTCCTTTTTAGAACCTTAGATGATATCAGATTGTTGTAGCAGTGCTGCAAAACTGAAATGTTCATGTAAAACAGAAGCTCAGCTCGTCCAGATGGTCTTAGCATGCGGTCCAAATCAAACTTTAATAAGCTTTATTGTTCCGCAGGAGCTCCAGGCTCAGCTGAATCAGCGAGCAGAGCAGTACCACCGCCTGCTGGACCAGGGGGAGTCCATGCTGCTGGCCCGCGGAGGAGAGGAAGCGGGACCTGGAACCACCCAGACCCAGCAGAACCTGGCCATGCTGCAAAACAAGTGGGCCGGCCTCAACACCAAGATGGAAGACCGCAGAGTAAGTCTGGGGATTTCGCCCGTGAAGCCTTTCATATTTCTGGTTGGATGGTTTTTTATGTTAAAAAAACAAAACAACTATCCAGGCGAAGCTGGAGGAAGCTGTTTCCTTGGCAACGGGTTTCCAGACATCCCTGCAGGACACCATCAACTGGCTGACGCAAGCTGAACAGACCCTGAACATGGCGCAGCCCCCCAGCCTCATACTGGACACCGTCCTTTTCCAGATTGATGAGCACAAGGTGAGCTCTGGGTGTCTGTTCATGCTGACAGACGTCTCATCATCATTATGTCAGAGGGAGGAAAGGGAGGGAAATTAAAAAAGAAAAATATGTAGTAGAAACTATAGATTACAGTTATATTAATAAACTCCATAACTACAAAGTGTGAGCCGACAGAATAGACAAAGTCTGAGTCAGAAAAAGGAGTGAATGTCTGGTTGCCTTGGATTTAATCTTGTTTTGTGGTATAAAATAGTTTTGTTATTAAACAGGAAGTGAGATATTTTTTCCTTAGTCTCTATTTGCTTAAAGTAAAAGAAAAAAGAAAAAAAAAATCCTCCAAGTTTTTGTTTTTTTACTTCATTGATTTTATTGTGAGCTAAAAAAGCCATCTAGCAGCCGACACCCCTTTCAGAGACATAGACTCCATTTACTCTACCCTTGAAAAACCGATCCATGCCGAGACCGGTCCGAGCTCTGATCAGTTAACCAGGCCGAGCTCGGTTCTGACGACCGTTTACACATCCCGCTATTTCGGTTCCTCGACTCCTCGCCTCCTAGTGACGATCTGCGGTATTACTGCCAGTATTGAAGGAGGAAATTAAGCAGTTGGTGGCGGTAATGCACCAAAAGTTGTTTGCCAACCGCCATTAAACACAAGAAGAAGAAGACGAAGACGGAGGGAATCAAGCAAATCAAAATGGCGGCGCCCGTCACATTCAGAAAGTCCTGCTTGATTATTATTGCTGTACTTCAGTGTTTGCGGAGGTTCAAGCGAAGACGGCAACCATTATTTAAAATGTTGCGTGGAGAAGATTTTGATTATTATTGTTTATAGTTGTTCTTCTGTTTTGTGTTGGTTGGCAAGCAACTTCTGGAGGGGCATTACCACCAACTACTGGAATGGAGTGTGGATCGCGATGTGCAGCCAGACGGAGATGACGCGTTCTGCTCATGCGTTCTTGTTATCAGAGAACCGAGCCAGGGAAAAACCGAGCCGAGCCCACCTCTGGAACTGGTCTGCAGTTAGCGCGGTTCGGTTGTGTCTAGCTCGGTTCAGTTCAGTTTGCTTTCCATTTACACATGATAAGTTATCTCAGTTACTGAGCTCGGACCGGTCTCAGCACAGTTTTTAAAGGGTAGTGTAAATGGGGTATTAGACAGGTATTGGGCATTGCAGGCTAACAAGATAAGCCAGAAAACCCCCATTCTTAAGGGGTGAACCCCTCCGTCCGGTTCAGTTTGCATGTTTTCTAAAGGCTTTGTTGGTCCACTCTATAAAGCCTTGAACTTGACGCTATTTCTGGCATTTTGAATTGAAAAAGCTTCCTGGATGGGAAGCGAAACGCCTTCAAACTTGGCTACAAAGTCCAGTGGATTGTTTTTTAACTTTTTTGGAACAACCACCTTGCATTATTAGCACCAGTCAGTTTTTTTTCCAGCATCATGACTTTGAATCAATGGTCATCTAAAACTTAAGGGCTTGTAGGTTGGTTCTGCTCAGTGAGAGCAAAGGAAGGCGCTTCTAGGTTAGCATTGTTAGCATTTGGTGTTATTGCTAACCGTGAGCAGAAGCAAAATTGTTGAAATTGTTAAATGAGGAAGTTATGTCTCCCTGAAGGCAGTTGCGCCTCGGGACTTCCCTACCGCTTCTTTTCCTGGGAGCAAGTTGTTTACTGCTCTTAACTCAAACTGGGTAAAACCATATAAAAAGGACTATAAAAACAGGACTAAAAAAGTAACAGAGTTTATTCCAGATCAGGTCGTTACAGGACAGAGAAAATGCTTGGAGCTTGCACAGCTGTGGGCTCAAAAAACGTCAGCGAACATCCGGCAAAGATTGACCCCCGAAGAAGGTCATCTTCTCCTTCTTATACCTCATGAGTCTATGTGTTGGATCAGGTGGATGCTTAGCTGTCCGTATCAGAAACTGACACGCCATCCATGCCCTGAACTTTAAGCTTCTTGCCTCTATGCCCAAGAATTACAGATTGCTTCCCTTTATCAGACCGGCTCCAAGATGTGCTCATATCCTGTGTATCTTTAAAAAACAAGAAGGCTGTCCTATTTAGATGACCTCTGTACACACAGTGACATCCACAATGTGAAGGAAGGCCTTCTACTCTAATCTGGCTAACAAAGTAACAATGCACATGATGTATAAAGAATAAACCTAACAAAATAAAATCAAAAATATATATAAAATTAGAACAGAGACAATCAATTTAGCAAAATAAAAAGGGATAATGTAAGGATTATAGTAATAAAATAATACAGTTGTAAGGAAACCTTCCTCAATTTTAATGTAAATTTTAATTTTATGTTGTTACGATGTATAAATTCTGTCCTTGGCTTCAGACTCTGACTTTATTTGATTGTTCTGTGTCCCTGCAGGTGTTTGTGAACGAGGTGAACACCCACAGAGAGCAGGTCCTGGCTCTGGAGAAGGCTGGTTCTCAGCTCCGCTTCGCCAGCCTGAAGCAGGATGTGGTTCTGATCAAGAATCTGCTGCTCAGTGTCCAGGCCCGCTGGGACAAGCTGGTGCAGCGGTCCCTGGACCGGGGCCGGCATCTCGATGAGGCCCGGAAACGAGCCAAGCAGGTATTTTACGCATCTATTAAAAAAAGAAGAATAAGATACTGCAGGCATTGTTTTTTTTTTATTTAAGGTAAAAAAGTATATATTTTGGATCTTGAAATGTTTGGTTTAGTTCTGATGACTTCTGTTTAAGAACATAAATTAGGCCTTTTGTGTCTGAAAGTTAGAAATAAACCTTAATGTTGCTCTTAGTTTCATGAGGCCTGGAGGAAGCTGACAGACTGGCTGGAGGAAGCCGAGAAAAGACTCGATTCTGAGGTGGAGATCTCCAACGAACCGGACAAGATCAAAGTTCAGCTCACCAAACACAAGGTACCACAGAGAAGAACCAGCTCTAGACCGATCCAGCGGCTCTAGTTTCCCCAGGTGACGTCTCCTCACCCGAAATCTGTTTTCTCTCTCAAACAGGAGTTCCAGAAAGCGTTGGGGTCCAAGCAGCCCGTCTACGACACGACGGTGAGGTCTGGGAAGGCCATGAGGGACAAAGCTCAGCTGCCTGCAGATCAGCAGAAACTGGACCACCTGGTGGGGGAGGTCCGGGACAAATGGGACACCGTCTGTGGCAAGAGCGTAGAAAGGTACAGAGATGATGGCTGCTGCAGCTGCTTTTCATTTAACTGAAAAATCAAATAACATATTTTCTCTTATATCCAGGCAGCACAAGCTGGAGGAGGCCCTGCTGTTCTCAGGTCAGTTTGCCGAAGCTCTACAGGCTCTAGTGGACTGGCTGTACCGCGTGGAGCCCCAGCTGGCTGAAGACCAACCCGTTCACGGCGACATGGACTTGGTTTCCAACCTCATGGATGCACACAAGGCAGGTTCCAATGCGGAAGAGTTAAACATCTACGTCTTCCTCTCCCAGTTTCAGAACGGCTCTGTTAAACTCAAATGTGCTTTGACTTTTCAGGCTTTCCAGAAAGAATTGGGCAAGAGGACCGGCAGCGTTCAGGCTCTGAAGCGGTCAGCTCGGGACCTGATGGAAACCGGGCGCGACGACACGGCGTGGGTTAAGGTTCAGCTTCAGGAGCTCAGCAACCGCTGGGATACAGTGTGTGCCCTGTCCGTCACCAAGCAGACCCGCCTCCAGCAGGCGCTCAAACAGGTCAGAGGATGAGACCCACCCACTCCCCTAAACGCCAAAACACAGAGACGTAAATAATTCTGAGCTACAACGAAAGGGATGAGGAAAGCATTTGTAAACTGAGAGGAAAATCCTCCCCCACGGCATGCTGGCGCCACCACCATGTTTTACTGAGTGGGTAGTGTATGTAGGGTGATGTTCCCTAACAAACTGTATTGATACAGATTTTAAAATAGTGCTGATCTCCATCAACTAGCGGTTTTTTGAAGGCTTTGGTTGTATTGTTTATTTTAAGGCATCAGACTGAAATTAGTGCATTGGATTTCCCTCCTTTGTTCGTCTACAAAGAGTGTAGACAGTTTCTCAATTCGCAAAAACGCGAATGCAGACTCATGTCCTCGCCACGTATGTTCTTGAGAAGAACGCAGGCAAGTGTGGACTTGGGGAGAACAGGAGCACGCAACATAAATATGGGTCAACTAGAACAAAAGTATATCGATGACGTCACCACACTGCGGCTCGTCTGGAGCTGCATTTCACTTCCTGTTATTAATAGCCTCTATATCAGGGGTCACCAACCTTTTTAAGGCTGAGGGCTACTTCATGGCTACCGAGTCATAGGAATGGCTACCAATACTGACCTATGAACTGGAGGGATCAGTGTTCACCTACAGTAAATCTCATCCATAAAAACTCATTTTTATTCTTGTTTTATTATTTTATTTATTTTATTGTCATTTGAAACCACTGAAATATGATGAAATAGTTAACATGATGAAATAATACATAAATGATTAAAAAGAAGAGCAACAGAATAAAAAAAAATTAAACTTACCCCACTGAGTGAATTCTTCTGTTTTCAGAAGACGAAGAGGGCACCCCATGTGGTCCTTGAGGACCCTGCGGGCACCGCGTTGGTGACCCCTGATCTAGAAAATAATAAATTCTTACTTTTTTTATTTAGTCGGGGAATAATAAAACAGTCAGATAAACACAAATAAGATTAACATTTTGCCAAATAAAACAAAAACATCGGCATTAGAGTCAGCGGTACTTCACACACGGCTATGCTGAGAGACCGCCGCTGCAGACGGGCTAATGTTAGCCCTGGCTACCAGTAGCCTCAGAGGTCCGCCGGTTGCCGCGGTCAACATTGGAACTTTAAAAAAAAATATGCAGTAAATCTGTAAATTGGTCATATAGTGACGCTTAAAAGTATAATATTCTCGCCATAAATGATCTTAAATCATACTTTTGTAGAACGACGGCAACAGAAAAGAGAGCTTTCAACTTAATACTCTGAGCTCTGTGAGCGCTAACCGGGAAGCTGCTCTAGATATACATCCAGGCCGCCCTTGATTTTATTTTGTTAAAAAGACCTAAAAGACGTTTTTTCCCTCCCCAAAAATAGTAAGCATACTAAAATATAATATGTTAAACATTATTAATGTATTTCCTGAGAAAATAAATACCTTAAAATCCTCTCTGTTTTATCCCTCTGTGCCCGATCTGCGCCGGAAATGGCATCCTATGCTACTTCCGGAAGCTAACTTTTTCGGCTTTAAGCTTAACCCTTTAAAGCCCGATCCAAGAATAAAACAAAACAGAAAATTACTTTTTTTTGGTTTGAAGTCCTTATTTGGCCTTTAAACAAAATATGTAAAAAGAAAAAACAGAAATACATTTTTGATATTAATGATTTATTACTATGCGATAAGTCAAGATTATTTTTTGTGTAGTCTTCTACTGGCTGTTATCAGGTATATCTGATTGTGTACAATAGGATTTTGAGCAAAGTTTTTACCATTAAATTATGCAAAAGGTGTCAGACGCAAAACATTTCAGAAACCGTATGTATCAAATATGATACATTTGGCATTATAGGGTTAAACATAAATCTAGTCTTTTTAAGTTTTGTTAATATTATTGTATATAGTGCGTAATCTAATGAAAGAACCAAATATGCAGATAAACATAGTTCAATCATATTTTGCCGGACTGCTCTGAGCATGTCTGATGATGAAATCATAGAAGCAGTTTAACAAAGAAAATGTAAAAAGTTTCAAAATTGTCTCACAAAAGTCATAAAATATTTTTTTTAAAGCTGTATATTAGCATTCTTTAGTGAGTTAAGGATAGAAATAAGTAATTTTAGCACCATAATTACATTATTTATGGACACCCGGATGTGTATCTGTTCACGGACAAGTCTGCTCTGATGCATGCTGGGTAAAGAGGGCGAGGTGAGAACAACATCCGGGGACTTTGTCCGTTCTCTGTCTTCTTGTTCTTGTGAATTGGAACAGTACCTGCGCTGAGGCTGATGACGTTTTCCGAGTAAACGAGCGCATGAGAACGCACAAGTACACATATTAAGAAATGGCCAAAATTTCGTTTTGTACAGCTTTCAGAGAGTTTTAAAAACATCACTAACTTTTTCCCTCCCACATCAGGCGGAGGAGTTTCGCACAGCCGTCCAGATGCTGCTGGAGTGGCTGTCAGAGGCAGAGCAGACGCTCCGTTTCCGCGGCGTCCTCCCCGAAGAGGCCGAGACGCTGCAAGCGCTGCTGCACACGCACCGGGACTTCATGGGCACGGTGGAGGAGAAGAGGTCTGACGTTAACAAGGCTGCTGGCATGGGGGAGGGCATCCTGACTGTATGCCACCCCGACTCTATCACCACCATCAAACACTGGATCACCATCATCAGGGCACGCTTTGAGGAAGTAAGGCTCGGATGCTTATCCTGGTTTAATGAGTTCAGATGGACGTTTGGGTTTTATGAAACCAAAGATCCAGAACCGATTAGTTCTATCTGTGCTGCACAGGTGCTGACGTGGGCCAAACAGCACGAGCAGCGGCTGGAGACGGCTCTGACAGAGGTGCTCAACAACGCCAACCTGCTGGAGGAGCTGTTGTCATGGTTACAGTTGGCCGAGACCACGCTGGTCCAGAGGGACACGGAGCCGCTGCCTCAGGACATCCCACAGCTGAAAACACTCATCACAGAGCACCAGGTGGGCTGGCGGGGACTCGTTTATGTTCCCAACGTTCAGTCTTCTCCTGGATTTGGTTAAATCACTGCTGATGTTCCTGTTTTCCAGACCTTCATGGAGGAGATGACCAGGAAGCAGCCAGATGTGGACAAAGTGACAAAAAGCTACAAAAGGAAACCAGCGGAGCCTCCCAGCAGCCTGGCTGAGAGGAGAGGAGCTCGTACGTCACCGTTACTCAGCCTCCAATGCTGTTTCGCCACAGCTGTAGGTTCACGCTTCACATTAAAGCCTCTGCTTCTCTCCAGGTAAACACCAGCAGCAGCACCAGCAGCAGCCGAGCATGCAGGTTTCAGGGGGAAACCCGCGCCTCAACCAGCTCTGCGCGCGCTGGCAGCAGGTGTGGCTGCTGGCTCTGGACCGCCAGCGTAAACTCAATGACGCTCTGGACCGGCAGGAGGAGGTGATCCTTTACGAAGCAAAAAACTTCTTTCCTTTAACTATGAACCAGCAGAACAATCTTTTAGAAAATCACTCAAAAGATTAAATTTTTTGTATGCATGTGGCCTAAAGTTGAGATCATCACTCACCAAAGGAGAAGAAAATAGAACCTTTTCCTGATTAGAGGAAAAAATGCTTTAATTCGGATAATAAATGCTGAATACTGCGGGACAGAAAACTCTAGAAGTAACTTTTAATAAATGGATGACAGAACCTCTGAGTTTTTGGTACAAACGATTAAAAAGCCTTTATAATACGGAGGAGTGAAAGGCTAATGCTACAGTTTCCACTAGAGGAACTAGAAGACAGAATAATGATTGGAGAGAGGATTAATTTCTAATATAACTCAAAATTTCTGTTAGAAAATTTAGATTTTTTTCCTTGTCTTAAACTACAGCATCTGACTTATAGCACATAAAAAAGAATCTTGTTGGAATCAATGTGAATGCAAATGGAGATGAAGTAGATTTTAACTTTTTTCCAGATTATGCGCATCTCTATCAGGTATTTTTTAGTATAGCAAGTCGTTAGCCTCTCCACTGTGGCTCCAACTTTAACCAAAAACAAAACATTTTTGCTGATTTTCTGTCTTAAATTCAAACAGAATGAAACTGCACTGGAAAAAAGCAAAATCTAGATCAGTCATTTTTTCTTAAAATAAGCGCATTTGTTGTTGAATTGAGGAGGTAAAGGAGGGATTTTGCCAATGGAAAAAGGCAATTTAGATTCAGAATTAGAAAAAATGCTATTGCATTGTCTTACTTCAAGTGCATATCATCGAATTATCTTATTTTAAGAGTAAAAATACTCATTCATTGGCAAACTATCTCATTTACCTATTCAAATCAAGGGTAAACACACTTAATTAAAGAAGTTTTTACTTTTTCTAGATCATTTTTCCAGTGTGTTACTACAACAAATTAATTAAACACTTAAATTAAAAAGTGTTAATTTCCCACATTTATCACAGGGTTTCCGCGGGTCTTAAAATTCATAAAATTTTTATTTTTCAATTTAAGGCCTTAATTGGCATTAAAATTCATTAAATTATCGTGGCAATTAAAATTCTTTATTAAAAAAAATGTTTATAAAAACAATTTCATCAGATACATTATATTGCGATATATTTGCGCGGAACTGCTTCCGGTTGAACGTAAAGCCGTGTTCGGAAAAGATGCTCGGGGCGGAGAAAAAGCTAGAGATTGGAAAATGCATTAAAATAATTTCTAATAGCATTAAAAGAGCATTAAAAAGCATTAAATTAGAGTTACTCATTCCTGTTTAAGCGCTGTATCAACAAATCAAACTCTATAAATTAAATATTTATAAATGTTGAGATGCCTTTTTTTCTCCAGAACCGTTTTGCAGCTCCACATAAATTTTGGTTTGTTGATCTTTGAGCTTCAGCTGATTAAAATCTAGATTAAAATGTTTGCCAATTGAATAAGTATTTTTACTCTTAAAATAAGATAATTAGATAATTTGCACTTGAAATAAGACAATGCAATTATGTTTTCTTATTCTAAGTGTAAATTGTCTTGTTCCATTGGCAAGATGTCTTTTTTATCTCCTCAATCCAAGAAAAAATGCACTTATTTTAAGAAAAAAATCACTTATCTAGATGCTGCTGGATTTGTTCCAGTGGGAAAGATTGGTTAAAATAGAATAATTCCCTGAATCAGAAATGATTTGGAGAAGCAGTCGATCAGAGCTTGATTTGAAAAAAAAATTTGCTAATTGATCTGTCTTCCCCTAAAAGAGTTAATTTTTTTTTTTTCATGCAATTAAAATGTTTCATCTATTTGCAGCTCAGAGAATTTGCAAACTTTGACTTTGACGTGTGGAGGAAGAAGTACATGCGCTGGATGAACCACAAGAAGTCGCGCGTCATGGATTTCTTCAGACGCATCGATAAAGACCAGGATGGAAAGATCACGAGGCAGGAGTTCATCGACGGCATCTTGGCCTCCAGTACGTTCTCTGCTTCCCATCTAAACAGAGCCTCCCTTTCCAACTATAACATAAACAGCAGAAAATGGTATAAATATTAGTTTTTTTTTCCACCCTGATCAGAATTCCCAACCAGTAAGCTGGAGATGTCGGCCGTGGCGGACATCTTTGACCGAGACGGAGACGGTTACATCGACTACTACGAGTTCGTGGCGGCGCTTCACCCCAACAAGGACGCCTACAGGCCGACCACCGACGCCGATAAGATAGAGGACGAGGTACGGCAGAGACACGATGATAAAATCCCAGGATGAGCTCAGAGAAGCAGAGACAGAAACCCGGTTTGTTTGCGTCGCTGCAGGTCACCCGGCAGGTGGCCCAGTGTAAGTGCGCCAAGAGGTTCCAGGTGGAGCAGATCGGAGAAAACAAATACAGGGTGAGTCTCTGGTTCTGTTCCCCACATCTTCATGGATTTCTTTAAAAATAAAGTTAGAAATGTTTAATAACGCGGGTCAAACTGTATTTACAGGAAAACTCAGAAACTGGTTCACTCTAACAAGTTTAACAATCCAGGAAAATTTCTTAGAGGGTCATTTTTCCTATTTTAGGTGTCTAAGTTGGTGTTAAATAATCAAACTAAATTAAATAAAGTTTGAATTATTACACAGGTGTTAAGATTAAATTAACTTTTATCATTTTGTCAGATTATAACTAAAAAAATTTGAGTAAAAAAACATGGAAGAGAAAAGAAACTTGGTTGAAAATATAAAAAATCTGACATACATTTTAGTTTTTTATAAAAAACAGCATCATTAAACAGACTATTATATGACACTATAGATGTGAAGACATCATAGGATTGTTAGAGAACGTTTGAAAGCGTTTGTTTCCATGGTGAAACGTGGTGGTGGCACCATCATGCTGGAAGAAAGGCAGAGAACAGAGCAAACATGAGATATCCCATGATTCAAAGGCCCTCCTTCTAATTTCAGTAAAGTTGAGAAATTTTGTGAGCAAGAATTGTAATAAATATTTACCGGTAGATGTTTAAAGGTGATGGAGATGTACTTTTCAAAAACATGCAGCTGTGTCTTTAGTGTAGAACCTGTATTTTTAGCATTGTACATGTGATTCATGGTGTAAATCCCAGTAAAACTCCCCAAAACCTCCAAGTTTGCAGGTTATAATCTGACTTTAATTCAGTTCGGTTTATTCATATAGCGCCAATTCAACCAGATCATCCAGTCAGATTGATCGAAAGTTTTCTATCTAAGGAAAACCAGTTGATTGCATTGACTCGTAGGCAATCCCTCACACTAAGCATGCTTGTAGCGACAGTGGAGAGAAAAAACTCCCTTTTAGCAGGAAGAAACCTCCAGCAGAACCAGGCTCAGTGAGAGCGGCCATCTGCTGAGGCCCACTGGGGTTCAAGGAGATTGAAATAGGGATACAGAAAGCAGCTGTAATAGGCGGCCCCGTCCAGGAAACACACAGCCAGGCAGACGAGCTCCGAGCCAGCTCCCATGTCAGAGGATGAAGAGAGCACATCCAGTTAGTCACAGTCAGAGAAACAGGACTACACTGAAAAACAGGCAGATCTCTAACATCTATAAACAAAGGTGTTGATGGCAGCTGCACAGCTTACATCAAACTTAGTTTAGCTCAAAAGAAAGACACTCTTTGTCTTCTCTGAGCTAAAGCTTTATAAAAAGGACCAGTTCTCCTGCAGTAACTTGTAAAAACAGTTTGGCTCAGTTTAGATTGAAAGCAAAGATTAAACTCAGTTCAGGCTGCGTCTGCACCTCAGGCTTTACTTAACCTCCCCCTTATAACTTCACTGCATTTTTATGTGATTGTTTCCCACATTGTGGCATCATGTTGTTTTTATAGGCATTCATCTCACCTGTTTCCACGTTTCAGTAACATCTCAGCTCTCCAGGACTTTCTGTCATCACCTGAGCTTTAATCCAAACCCATTTTATTTCAAATTAACTTTTAAAGACAGCAGGTTTGCTCAAAGAGGAGAACGCTGCCTCCTCTTTCTGTTCACTGGAAAAAATCCAAATCTAGATAAGTCATTTTTTCTTAAAATAAGTGCATTTCTTCTTAAATTGAGGAGATTAAAGAGATAGTTTGCCAATGGAATAAGACAATTTAGATTTAAAACAAGAAAACACAATTGCATTGTCTTATTTCAAGTGCATATTATCTAATAATCTTATTTTAAGGGTAAAAATACTCATTCCATTGGCAGATTATCAAATTTACCTATTCAAATCAAGGGTAAATAGACTTAATTTAAGACATTTTTACTTATTTTTAGATAATTTTTGCAGTATTATAGCGCTGCGTTCACATCCGGCAGCACAGACACCATCCTAGGATGAAGGAAATCTAAAAAGGAGAAAATCTGATCAAACTTTTTACAATTTTTAAAGGCACGTTTGAAAATTTGTATCAAAAAGTACATTTATTTGTGCTTCTTGTATTTAAAAAAAATAATCTGGGCTCAGGAACAATTTTCTTTGAAAGAATAAAGAATTGGAGCCTTTTTATTGTTGGGCGTTTATATACCCTGTTGTAATGATATACACTGCAAAAAATGTAGGGTAAATCTCAATACGTAATTTTTTCATAAATTAAGTGCATTTTTTCTTGAATTAAAGAGGTAAGTGAGACACTTTGTTAATGGAACAAGACTGTTTACATTTAAAATAAGAAAAAAATATTGCATTGTCTTATTTCAAGTGCATAATATCTAGTTATCTTATTTTAAGAGTTAAAATACACATTCAATTGACAGATCATCCTATTTACCTACTCAAATTAAGGGTATATACACTTAATTTTAGACTTTTTTTACTCATTTTTAGATAATTTTTGCAGTGTTATAGCGCTACGTTTACATCCGGCAGCACAGACACCATCCAAGGATGAAGGAAATCTAAAAAGGAGAAAAACTGATGAAACTTTTGACAATTTTTAAAGGCACGTTTCAAAATTTGTATCTAAAAGTACATTTATTTATGCTTCTAATATTTAAGCTCTGTAAAAAGAAAAAAAAAATCTGGGCTCAGGAACATTTTTCTTTGAAAGAATAAAGAATTGGAGCCTAAAAGTGACGATTTCTTTTATTGTTGGGCGTTTATATACCCTGTTGTAATTAAGATAATTTGCCAATGGAATGAGTATTTTTTAGTCTTAAAATAAGATAATTAGATAATATTCACTTGAAATGAGACAATGCAATAGTTTTTTTTTCTTATTTTAAATTTAAATTGTCTTGTTCCATTGGCAAAGTGTCTCAAATAGGGAAATCTCAAAAGGAGAAAATCTGATGAAACTTTTTACTATTTTTAAAGGCATGTTTCAAAATTTGTATCAAAAAGTAAATTTATTTATGCTTCTTGTATTTAAGCTCTGTAAGAAGAAAAAAACATTGCATTGTCTTATTTCAAGTGCATAATATCTAGTTATCTTATTTTAAGAGTTAAAATACTCATTCCATTGGCAGATCATCTTATTTACCTACTCAAATTAAGGGTAAATACCCTTTTTTCCCAATATATTTTATTGAATTTTTCTCTTTTAATGTACAATAAACTTACAAACTAACTTAACATTGCAGACTTGAACCTCTGCACACGAGCATTCACTCACGCACTCATCATTCAAACCTGCATTTGTTCTAAAATATACAAAACCCTTTACATTATGATACAGAAAAAATAACAAGACAATATGGAAATAAAAGCTGTATTCAAGACATCCTTTTAATAAGCTCCGCCTTCAGTCTCTATGATCCTCATATATGGCTCCCAGAGGTTCTCAAAGTCTTGCTGTATACCCGTGGCGATATGTTAGTCTTTCCAGTCCGAGTGAATTTGCCATAAAGGGTAAATACACTTAATTTTAGACTTTTTTTACTAATTTTTAGATCATTTTTGCAGTGTAATCATTTGTCTGTGTGTCTGTGCTGCCATGAACTCATCCCTACGCTGCAAAAACAATCTAGAAATAGGTCAATATTTCTAAAAATTAAGTGTATTTACCCTTAATTTGAGCAGGTAAATCAGATGATCTGCCAATGGAATGAGTAATTTTACTCTTAAAATAAGATTATTAGATAATATGCACTTGAAATAAGACAAATCAATTGTGTTTTCTTATTTTAAGTGTAAATTGTTTTGTTTCATTGGCAAAATGTCTCTTTTACCTCCTCAATCCAAGAACAAATGCACTTTTATTTTTTATTTTTTTTATTTTTTAAACAGTGTCCTGTTAAAAATGCACTTATTTTAAGAAAAAAATACTTATCTAGATTTTGATTTTTCCAGTGTAACATCCAGCATCCTCGCCTGGATCTTCATCACCCCTGTTTGCTCCATCATTATCCTCAGGGAAATTATGTCCAGCGTCAGCCTGCGGGACACTGGGACACTAACCGCCTCACCTCTTTATGTCTGCCTGCAAATGTCCTTTCTTTATCCACAGCTCTATATTATCATCACCATCATCATCTCGTCCGGTCACATGACTAACGTCCAGCTTGGTTTCAGTCTGAGAGACGCAGCCGTTCAGGAAGATGTTGTTCTCGCCTTTATTCTGTGACGTTATGTTTCATTCTCGCTCTGTTTCTCCCCCCCTCCCTCCCTTTGTGTCCCTCTGCTACGTGTCCGCCGGACTTTTTCTAGTTCTTCCTCGGAAATCAGGTAAAGTGCCAGCCGGCGGTGTGGACAGATAGGTGGAAGCTGCTTCCATGTTCGCCGCACAGGAAAATAATAATCCATTCTTCTGGTTAAACATGAAAAATCAGCTTGTTTTTTTTGGGTTAGAGATTAAAGAAGAGAAGCGGCGCTCCTCTGCGGCTGTGCGACGTGTTAGCAGCTTCCACCGTCTGCTTGTGTTCATGCTGTGATTTGTTTGACTAATTGCACAATGCGAGGCGAGTGACAGCGACACGGCCGGAGTGCTAATTAGTGGTTAGGTGAAAACGTGGCGTGCTGAAGCTGGGAAACGTCCAGAGGATTCCTTCTCTGCTGGTTTTGCTTGGAGTTTTGCTTTGCTGGGTGAACTTTCAACGATTTAGATTTTTTTCTTTTTTTGGGGACATGATTTGAAATTGAGGCTGTGGTTTTTGGGGCTGGGGGCAATCAGGGTCAGAATCGGTGCATGTCTGCATGAGTAGATTTAGGTTTGGTTGGTGGCTTTCTGGGTTTTAGATCTGAAACCATTTCAGCTGGATTCATTTTCTTATTCATCCTCTCTGAACCTCCTCAGTTCGGCGACTCTCAGCAGCTGCGTCTGGTCCGGATCCTGCGCAGCACGGTGATGGTGAGAGTCGGCGGGGGCTGGATGGCTCTGGACGAGTTCCTGGTCAAGAACGATCCGTGCAGAGGTGAGTGCTGTTCTCACACAGGACAGGACCACGACCGACGCTCTGTCTCATCGTGTTTCACACATGTGGACCTGCAAGAGTCTGACTGGTTCTGGACCTTTGAGGTTAAAAGCCGAAAGGCTTTTGGGGTTTTTCTTACTTTTATCAGCCTGTGTTTTTGCATTTTTGAATAAAAAGCATCTAAAAACGTCCAATTTACAACAGATTCCGCAACGGACCAGAATAAGAAAGTTTTAAAAATGAGATCTAAATCACAATACATTTGGGCTCCATTTCAGTTTGATTTGTCAAGCACTTATAAAACAAACACAGCTCACCAAAGTGCTGTACACTGCAAAAAATGTAAATCTCAATAAGTCATTTTTTCTTAAATTAAAGAGGTAAGTGAGACACTTTGCCAATGGAACAAGACAATTTACATTTAAAATAAGAAAAAAACTATTGCATTGTCTTATTTCAAGGTCATAATATCTAGTTATCTTATTTTAAGAGTTAAAATACTCATTCCATTGGCAGATCATCTTATTTACCTACTCAAATTAAGGGTAAAAACACTTAATTTAAGATTTTTTTTTTACTCATTTTTAGATCATTTTTGCAGTGTACAGGAAAAAAAAAATAAAACATCACAGATAAAAGAAAAAAACGGGATGAAAGATAAAAGGAATGAAAGGATAAAATAAAGCCTACTGCCTTGCTAGGTGTCAAAAGCCAAAGAGATAAGGTGGGTTTTGACGAGAGATTTAAAAACATTCGGAGAAGAGGCCTTTCTGATGTGCTGAGCGGGTCCAGAGCTTTAAAGTTGCTACAGTGAAAGCGCCTCTGAGCTTCCGCTCAGTTCTGGGCTCGCTTAGGAGCAGCTGACCTGAGAGAGCGACAGGTTCTATAAGGATTCTCAGAAGGGCAACCATTCTGGGTTTTTAAATGAATTATGGGGCAAGCACGACCCATATATGGAGGCCTTAAGGGCAGGCTATCCTCCCGCTGTAGTGTGTCGCAGTGAGCTTGTCGGAAGTATTTTTGATTTCATTCTTGTTTCTGAGCGCGGGTGAAAAACTCAGAGCGGAAGCACAGTTGGTTTTTGGGTCGTGTTGTTTTTTTGACTCGCATTATAGTGTAGGCTTCAAGGAAAAAAACTACAAAATGGCGACGCCAGTACTGGATTTTTTTTCTTTGTATTTAATTTTATTTTTTGGCATCGATCCTAGTTTTTTTAGTTACTTTTGGTTTGCTCCCGCTCCCGTCTGCTCCCGTTGATGTTTAATCTTGTACCGTCCCAATCACATGATCATTACTAATACCGACTCCCATCCCACGGGAATCCCGTGACCCGTGGGATTCCCAAAAAAATGTCAGTCTCTAAGGCCCAGTATTAAAGCGTGTTCTGCGCTATGTTTATTCCACGCCACGACGCAAGAGGAACAATCAGAAACTAGCTGTGGGTCTGTGAGAGACCGAGCCAGCCAAGCATGACGACACAGTGCTGATAGTCAAGAAAACTGGGTTTTATTTCTCCAAAGTAACAATAATCCAAACAAAAAATTCAGGGCCCTTAAAAGAGGTCAAACGAAGAGATTAACTAAGGGCTAAAAAATATCAAGTTCAAACATATGAAACCTCAAACTAACTGAACAAACAAAAACTGACCTGACACACAGCAAACAAAGACCAGACTGACACACTGAGGAAGAGGTAGGGAGAACATCTACACCAATTTAACAAAAAATATCTAAACAGTTAGCTTAAGGATTAAACTTAAATGACAATCATTAAACAAATTAACAAAATGAGCAAATCACAAAAGTAAGAAGAAGAAATGATGCAACATATTTAAAATGTTGAGTCCATGGTCTTCCCCCATAGTGGAACTCCAGATGGTACCACCCAATCAGTCCATGATCATGTCAGCCACATTCTCCCAGTTGATTGCACTCCCACAACACCAGAAAAGAAAGCACAAAATATATTAAGCATTTGACAAAATTAAATATACAAAAGTTACAAACCAATATATTTATGCTAGTGTGTATTAAAACTTATGAAAAAGTGGTTGTGTGTGGGGTTACTGACCATGTGACCATCACAGGGTCTAGATACAGCCGAGGCGATGAGGAAGTGGGGGCAAGTTTGTGAGACAACGGAGGGACATGAGGGTGAAAAAGGGTTCTAGCTGGTTCAATCCGGTCCGAGTCGATTCATCGGGTTAGGCTTCAACCAGTCCGGCTCTAGCGCTCTCACTGATGCATCCTGGGAAACATTTTTCAAGCTCCCTCTAACTTCCTGTCGTCCAGCCGTCTGTGAGCAGGGAATGCAGCGAAGTTCTTTCCCTCCGCCGACGTCGGTCGGTCGGTCCGTCTGTACTCAGAGTGGTGTCTCTCTCTCTCCCTCTCCGTCTCTTTGCCCCCCCTCCTCCTCATTTAAAGTCTTATTTCCGTGTAAACAGGCTTTTTCCTTCCCTCTGTCTCTCAGTACTTTCTGAAATTAGATCAGTACTGCATGATGCATGGTCCTCAGTTTTTCTCCCTCTTGCTCTCCTCCTCCTCTTTCTCCCTCCCTTTTTTATCTCTCCTCAGTTCAACATCCAGGACTTAAGATCCTCCGCTCCGATTCCAGTAGCTCCATCTCATCTCGTATAGGTTGGACTTCTCTCACATTTTCTCTGAGCTGCGTGTCTCTTTTTGTTTGGTTTATACCTGGATAGTCACCCCCAGGTGTCTCCTTCCTCCTCTTTTTCATGCTCTAACTCTTATTTCTGCCTCTATCTTTGTGAGTTATTATTTTGTTCGGGCTTGTTGCTGATTGTTATCTCCAGACTAACGCGATGTCTTCCCAGTCGCCCTGCTTCCTTCCCCTTGTCTGACCCAGCCTGTAAGCTTTGAGATCTTGAAATGTTCCAGCGTTTGAGGCAACAGACGCCCTCCCCCCTCCCTGCGTGTAGCTGAATTGTTTTTATCGGATGTTTCTGAGAAGTATCGACTCTGTGTGTGTTGTCTGCCAAACGTTCTTCATCCCGCCACGAGCATGCACTTATTTCACATTGTCTCTTGTGTGTCTCTCAGTGACAGTCACTCCTGGCTATTTCTGCTGCCGAGGTATCTACACTTCCTCTCTGTCTCTCACACCTTCTCATCTGTCTTAAAGCTCCATCTGTCTGCCTCCATCTTTAACATCAGCTGTCTTACATTTGTCCACGTTAGGGGTGGGAGGCAGAAGTCCGCCTGTGATACACGGCAGTCAAACAATTGCTGCTTATTTTACAATCCTAAATTGCAGGCATCCCTAAAGTCGGTCCTGGAGGGCCGCTGTCCTGCAGGTTTCAGAGGTTTCTCTGCTTTAGCACAGCTGATTGTGATGATTGCAGTTCAACAAAAGCCTGTTAATCAACGTAAATCAGCTGTTCTGGAGCAGGAAAGCCTCTAAAACCTGCAGGACAGCGGCCATCGATGCCTGCTAAAGCGGAATGTCTCAGTAAAAGAGGAAATGGACATTCAATCCGTCAGAAAATGGTAGAGATCTGACTCAGATAGCGGCAAACTGAAGTTCCTGCACCAAACAACAAGGAACCAAAGAAGTGCCTTATTCTGTAAATGATCAATGTAGAGCTCCAGAGTGTCGATCGATTGGTCCCACCCCTACTCCATCTATGTGTGTTGTTTCTGTTTTTTGTGCACAGACATGTTTGTCTCATGCTTTCTTCACTCGCATCCAAAGCAGGACTCGGCCAAACTCCTGGTCTTTTGTCCTAAAAAGCAGCTTAATGTTCTCTGTGGATTTGTTTTATTCACCGTCTAAAGAGCGGGGGTGTAGTGCTGCAGGACGCTTTGCAGGAGGCAGGATTGGACTTCCAGTAGCTATGGACGGAGAGATTATTGCTTTAGATAGTTTAGAGTCTAACCTTGTTAGTTTTAGCTAAATATTCACCCAACGTTAGAGCAAGAGAGAACGTGAAAAAATAAATCTAAGATGGCATTTCTCAGAGGTGGGTAGAGCTGACAAAAATTGCACTCGAATAAAAGTAGCAGAACCTCAACAAGTTATTCCAAAAAAGTAAAAAGAAAAACAATCCATCAGACTTTGAAGATGTTTTTGCTTCCCATCCAGGAAGGTTTTTCAATTCAAAATGTCAGAAATAGCGTTAAGTTTGAGGCTTTAGAGACTGGACCGAAAATAAGCTTTGTTTTGGCTTAGAAACATGCAAATTGGAAACAAAGTCCGATCCATCATACTTTGTTTCCACAAAATCTTGGAAAATAAAGTCCAGTGAATTGCTTTTTTTATTTTTTTGAAATTACTTCATAGTCGTGGATGACTGAAAATATTCACCAGCAACTTCAACATGTTTTTACTTTAAGCTTTTAAAAAGTACAGCGCAGTAAAACTACGGCTGCACATAAGCAGTAAGTTATACTTCCTCAGGTGGCTTTAACTGAGGAAAAATAACTACCGGTACTTACTACCAACCACTTTAACTAAAGTTAAAGACTTGACTTGGACTCGATGTCTGAGACTCGAGTCTCATTAACAGATTTTATCTGAAGAGTGAAAAGAAGCTGGTATTTATACGGAAGAGGATTAGGGCCACTGAAAAAAAAAAAAAAGTTAACTGATTTTTACATTTTTTCAGTTTAACATGGGAAAAAAATGTCAGAATTCTGACTTTAATCTCAGAATTCTGACTTTAATCTCGGAATTAGGCATTTTTTTACGTGCCAGAGGGGTCCCCTCATTAATGGAGGAGCAGAAGGTCATTAATACAAGAGAGCTAGTCTCTAAAACGGACATGGCTATGGCTGGATGCTAACATAACTGAGATTAAAGTCAGAATTCTGACATTAAAGTCAGAATTCTGAGATTAAAGTCAGAATTCAGAGAAAAAAGTCAGAATTCAGAGAAAAAAGTCAGAATTCAGAGATTAAAGTCAGAATTCAGAGATTAAAGTCAGAATTCAGAGATTAAAGTCAGAATTCAGAGATTAAAGTCAGAATTCTGAGATTAAAGTCAGAATTCTGAGATTAAAGTCAGAATTCTGAGAAAAAAAGTCAGAATTCTGACATTTTTTCCCATGTTAAACTGAAATAAAATTTAAAAATCAGTTAACTTTTTTTTTTTTTTTTTTCAGTGGCCCTAATCCTCTTCCGTATATTAAAGCTGCAGCTGCTGCAGATGTTTTACTGTGAAAGGATGAGCTTGATTATTGCCCACAAACATTACTAGAACATAATGTTCATGTTAGCTGCAGCTTTATGATGATTTTGGATCATCTAGGAAGCTAGAAGAGTCACACATCTGTCTCAAAAAAATAAAAATAAAAGCACTCCCTGTTACTTCCTACTTGTCCATTATGCTCTAACTTAAAACTTCTAGAAATGTGGATTTAGAGTGGGAAAAATAAAATCCTCCAAACCAGATACAGAGAATATTATCTTTAGTCAATGCAAATAAAAACATCTGCATTTATTTTTTCCAGAGCATAAATACCTTATTATATTTTTAATATGTTAAATATTAGATTATATGTTTTTAAAATGATTTGGATAATTTTTGCTCTTGGTAATAAATGTTTTAAGGTTCTTGTTGATGAAAATGAATATATTCAAAGACTGTTATTTGATCCATGTAGATGTAGTAATTAGGCTAAAACACTCGAAACTTGGAAAAAATGACTTCAACATAGTTAATAAAAGAACTAATTACAGTTTAGTAATCTGATCCACATCAGAAATATGTTTAAACAGATTCTTTTAAGGAGAATTCACTTTTTTTCATACCTGGAAGGATCAAAAATCAGTTCCCTATGGCTTAGAGGATCACTGTGATCTATTCTAAGAGGTTTAGATTTGAAGCCACCTTAGGAATACAGTTTTTAAAAGATCTCATGATTAAATATACAAAACACCAGAGAGATAGCCCATATCTAATGATTAAGACTGAAGAAGATAATTGGCTTTATTCAGATTCTTGTCATTAATGTCGTCCAGTTTCTGGATCATACTTGCAAATACAGGAGCAGCATTCAGTCTGTTTGATCAGGGGGTCTTTTTGGTCATTATTATTGTTTATTTGTTTAATTTGTTTTAATAAGAGTTTCAGGATGTGATTTAACATATTGTGAAAACAATTGCTTTATATAAAGTTACGTTATTTGGATAAAGGCTGTTGCAGTCCAGGACAGATTATGTTGAGAGCATATGAATTTGTAAGCACTACATCCCTGCTAGTCGACAACCAGCTGCATTTACGGTTCAAACATGCTAAAAAAAAAAAGGTAAACTCCTGTTTAATGTAATCTAGATAGAAGAGGGCGGAGTCTAAGACCTGGGCGTGGCCTGCCTTGGTTTCTAACGGCATTAAACGTGATTGCTGGTTGGTGGGAGACACAATTACAGGGTGCACCTGGCTGGCTGGCTTTATGTGGGGACGTGATTGCAGGCTGCGCCCGTTTAACCAGCCGGCCAGTTGCTCAGGACGATGGCCGCTCACTTTATTTTCTCTTTTAGTGTCTGTCCCGTCTGTCTTTTCAGTTTTTCCTCCTCTCTGTCTCTCTGTGGCTGGCTTATTTGTTGTCTGCCGGCGCTGCTGCACCACTTTCTGTCAAAGAATGCTGCTCAAGTGTTTTCCATCAAAGGGAGAAAACCTGAACAAGCCTGACCTGCCCCTCTTCAGTAAATATTTATGCTTACGCTGTGCAAATCCAGAGGACTTGGGAGGCTCCTCCGCAGCAAAAAGCACAAATTTCTCTAATTTAATCAAATACACAATGAAAGTGCAGCTGTCTTACAGTGATGCTATGAGAAACAGGTGTTTTGCTTTTATGGTTTTATTTAGATTTTGTATTTAAAGAGATGAAAAACAGGTTTTGCTCTTACTAACCAGGAGCCTTGACTTTCCTTCAGCCACTTAAACATCAATTCAGGTGATTTATTGTTGGAGCAAAGCAAACCTTTTGGTTCTTCTAGGATGAAGTAAACTCAAACGCATTTAAACAAAGAAAGCAACAATCTGCTGTTTGCCATTGTGAGAAGATCCTGCTCTACATCCCGAGCTTTCTCTATAAAAGTTACAAAGATTATTCTTGTTCAGATATGTCTTTTTTAATCTCATCTTATGATTTAGGGTTTTCTTTTGACCCCATAAATCATTAACGAAGTGAGAAGAGTAAGAGGGGGTGTAGATTAGGATGTTTGCAGATGATTTTGTGATGTTATAGTAGAGGGCGGTCAGAAAAGAGCTCGGTTTAGGTAGTGAGTGTTCACATTACCGTAAATTCCGGACTATAGAGCGCACCTGATTACAAGCCGCACGCTCTAATTTTAGAAAGAAAATCAATTTTGTGCTTTTATAAGCCACGCCGGATTTTAAGCCGCAGGTTTCCCACGTTGTATGATATATTTACAAATAAAGATATTACACGATAGCATTTTTTTAACCTTTGATTTAATCCGTATGATAAAACAAACAAATACGGTACCTAATATGAATGCTTTTTTTTTTTTTTTTAACTACCTGTAACACATTTAAATATACGTATGTGTCGGTAACACGCAAATAACGCTGCATATATCTGTACTTTTAATTGAACAAAGCACAGAACATTGCAGCCGACCAGGAAGTCATTAATCACTTTCTTCTTCCTCCTGCGCACTAAAACCCTCAATCAGTGAATTTTGCGGCATGATAAAAAACATGTATTAGCTGCACTGTGTTCAAACAGCGGGAAAAAAGTAGTGTCTTATAGTCCAGAATTTACGGTATATCGTTTATGAATGAGTTGGAGATGTTTGATGTGCTGTAGCGGTGCTGAAGGTGGATGAGCTTTAGCACCATCTGAAATCAACCAAGAAGAAAGGGCAGGTAGGGAGGAACGGTGGTGGAGATTATTTAAGGAGGCGAGCTGTAAAGACTTTAGAAGATGGTCACTAGACCTGCTATGTAATAATTTGAGACGATGGACTTTAAAAAAAAAAAAAAGCTTGCACTGAAGAGGTTCAGGTTTTCTGTCTGAAAGCGTAAGTAGTTTTTTCTCAAAATAAGTGCATTTGTTCTTGGTTTGAGGAGGTAAAAGAGACATTTTGCCAATCGAACGAGACAATTTACACTTAAAATAAGAAAAAAACAATTGCATTGTCTTATTTCAAGTGCATGTTATCTAATTATCTTGTTTTAAGAGTAAAAATACTCATTCCACTGGCAAACTGTCTCATTTACCTACTCATATTAAGGGTAAATACACTTAATTTAAGAAAATTTTACTTATTTCTATGTTGTTTTTCCAGTGTGATGGTGTGCTTCACACAAGGACAGCTGGTTGGCTTTTGCTGCGTATTTTCTATTAACTCTGCGCCTTCCTTTGCACTTACACACCTTCACTTCCTCCTCCTCTTCCTCACAAACACAACCAAACTTCTGCTGCTCTGACCTCCTGAACTGCCACCTCTCCAAACACGCTCTGCATACGTGCACTCTCAAATGAAACACGCACCGACTGTGACGTCTGCAGCCAAGGAAGCACCCACTCTCTCCCTCACGCTGCTCGCTGTCTCTGCCGCCCCCTGCTGGAGGAGCTAAAGGAACGAGCTGACAAAAAAAAACTGACTTAATTCTTTTGGTTCTGTTTGCAGCTCGAGGTCGCACCAACCTTGAGCTGAGAGAGAAGTTCATCCTTCCTGAAGGAGCCTCTCAGGGCCTGGCCGCGTTCCGATCGAGGGGCCGGCGCTCCAAACCGGGCTCCCGTAACGCATCGCCCACCCGTTCCTCGTCCTCCGCCTCCCACAGCGGCGCCTCTCTGCCCTCGGCTCCTTCCACGCCCGCCACACCAACAGCTTCGGCATCATCCAGGGTAAGATTCTTTGCTTTATGACCTCTAGATACGCCAAAATTCTACCTGGAAGGGGGCACATGGACGGTGTCACCCTTTTAACCAATGAGATAAACTATCAAACAGGATCTAAAATGATGGAATGTAGGTTCCCAATGTTTTGGTTTTTGTATATTTTCGGTTAAATCAAAATAAAATGAAGCAAGTGATGTGTAAGCCTTTCTACAGGACTCCTGTCATGTAACAGATGTAAAAAATAAGATAGTTTCCGCATATTCTGGCTGTTGGAAGCAGTTTAGATTCAACTTTATTGTTATTACACAGGTACAGGTGCAACAAAGTTCAATTTAGGTCTAAACAGAAGTGCAATAGCAGCAAGTGCAGGATATGCAATGCTATTACTATAAAATTAATAAATGAAATTAAAACTTGGACAGAAGCTTTCTGAATTAAAGTGCCGTGGAAGGTAATCGCATACTACAGTTAAAGTTTGGCATTACAAACAATTGGTACCGTTTACATAAACATCTTTTCCTCTGAGAAAAGCCTCCAGAGCAGTGTTTTGCTCTTCTTTCAGTGAAGAAATACTCTGTAATTCCGATAAAACTTGCTCGATAGCCACGCTTACGCTAGTTTCATCGGCTGAAGCCGCCATGTTCTTTAGACTGAACTGTCGCGCTTCTTGTTGCGTCACACCTCAACCCGCCTCAAAGCCAACACTGATTGGACGTTCGTTTGGTGAACGGCTCCAAATTTTCTTTAACGGAGATTCTCCAGACTGATTAGCGAGTGAAACCTTGAAAGCTCGGGAGATCAGGATGGTCTCACGAGGCTAATAAACACTGACAATAACTTTAACTGTAATATGCAATAATAAGCTGATAGTTTCTGTATATTCTGGCTGTTAGTGGCAGCTTGTTGCTTCCCTCCCTCTTTTCGTGTTACATTACCTTTAGAAGCAACTCAGATTTAATCAAAGTTAGAAGATTAGGGAATTTAAAGAGTTTTAACAAAGCAGATTACCAAGTAAACCAACTGGATTCATCGTCATCAAGTCAACCAGTAGGAGGTGTTTGTTTACACGTGTTTTTAACTTGTGACCTCTGTTATCCTCTCCATTCATCCACTCTGTTCGTACTGCATGAGAAGCATTCAGGTTCATCCGCCAGTCAGGATTAAGATCCTCTGCCTGTCATGAAATGACATGTTATGATAAAACAAACGTCCTCTGGCTAATTTTTGTTTAACTGAACCCTACATGAACTACATCACCTCTAATGAACCTCCTGAACCGTTTTCTGCCAGTTATTCTACTAACGGTTCATGGGAGAAAAAATATAATAATTTTCAAATCTTTAGATCTGTGATGTTTATGCTGGAGACTTCTAGCAGGCCTCAGTTAGAAAGCTCAATGTTTAAGCTTAAAGCAGGACCCTTAGATAAAGACTAAAGGCTGGTTTATGTTCAGAAACCAGGTCGTCTGTGTGTGTGCTGCAGTTATCGCACTCTGGGGCACCTCTCCAAAATTGTAGGCAGGAAGCTTCTGATTATGGGTGTAAATATTAATTGATCCAACAGCCGACGATCCGGTGCATAGATACGTCCGCAAGAGAATTGATTCATGTGTTTTCTTCCTCCGGTCTATTTTTATCCATTTGCTCCTGGGCGTAATTCTCCCTCCTGTGCTGCGGTGGCGCTAAACCTATTTTGCCCTCCTACCTCGCTTCCTGGTTATACTCTTACAGCAGTTTCTCAGTGTCGCTACCCGATCCGTACCGGTAGCACGATCCGTACCATCAGCTCATTTGCGCCTGCGCGAACAGAATAACTTCCGGGTCGCCAAAAAATAATGTAATTACGGTACTGAAAAAACTTTATTTATATCCTTAAATAATACTAAACTACATCGTAAAGACAATATTGAAGACTTTTGTGGAAGAAATGGATGCTTTTTAAATTCAATCCACTGTATTGCTTGACGCAGGGGCGTAGTAAGCGGGGGGGACGGGGGGGACATGTCCCCCCCAATATAAAAGCCAGGTGGATATGTCCCCCCCCCCCAAAAATTGTACCGCAAAATATTAGATTTTGACAATTTTTTAACTATCGTGCTTTTATTTTGAAGGCGCAACATAGCGTTACGTCACTGTACTCCCCCTCCCCTCTGTGAACTGTTGAGTGTTTGAGCACTCAGACGGGAGGGAAACAGCGATGGTCTGTCGGGAATGCTGCTATGAATATTGCTTATTTATAACGTCTTGTTGTCAGTTCACTTTCATATATAGAAACTGAATCTTTTTGGTTTAGGCATCTTAGACTTGTAGGAAGAGGATTAGGGCCACTGAAAAAAGTTAACTGATTTTTACATTTTTTTTTTTTTTGTTTAACATGGGGGAAAAAGTCAGAATTCTGACTTTTTTCTTCTGACTTTTTTCTCAGATTTCTGACTTTAATCTCAGAATTCTGACTTTTTTCTCAGATATCTGACAGATGATTAATATTTCTTATCAATTTACAGTTTTTCTTTTGGTGGTTGGGGGGTGGGGGGGGTAGTATATAGATATATAAAAACAAGAAGGTCTAACTAAAAAATAACCAGAATATATGTTTAGAGTAAAGATTGACTACTTGTGTTTACACAAGCACACAATTTCAAATCTGCTGAGCTTGCTGTGCAAGAAAATGTAAAATAAACTTATAAAGAAATATAACAGGAAGTACTGGTAAAACAAACTAAATGTTAAATAATGTAGATATTGGTTTAAAAAATTCTTCAGATTTGGAAATTTGGAAGGAATACATAATTCTGAAATTAATCAACAAATCTGGTAAAAAAAAAAATAAATAAATAAAAAATAAAAGTTGCACTTTTTTACTTGAGGAATTTGTTGAATAACTTCATAATTATGAGTTTAACTAGTTGGAGGTAATGCTACACTTCTCTGCTTCCTGTCCTGCTCATAAAAGGTAAACATTATAAACCCGCCATTCATTTTCTACACTATTTGGAAAACACAACACAAATGTAATATAACAAAAGTATGTTTAACAACAAACATGTTAGCATCAAGCCATAGCCATGTCTCTTTTAGAGACTAGCTCTCTTGTTTTAATGACCTTCTGCTCCTCCATTAATGGGGGGACCCCTCGGGCACGTAAAAAGTTGCCTAATTCTGTCATTTTCCACCAATGTGTCACTGGCCACCTCAAACAACTCACATCTGTGTCAGTGAAGCTGAGTGCTCCACATCTCTGCCTTCATGGTGCCCATCTACATAAAGATCCAAAATTCTGAGAAAAAAAGTCAGAATTCTGAGATTAAAGTCAGAATTCTGAGAAAAAAAATCTTAATTCTGAAAATAAAAGTCAGAATTCTGACTTTTTCCCGTATTAAACTGAAATAAAATGTAAAAATCACTTAACTTTTTTTTTTTTTCAGTGGCCCTAATCCTCTTCCGTAGTCTTGGGCTGATCACTCATCCAATATTTAACTGCGAACTTTCTCTAGACGTTTGCCACGCTAGCCAAAATGTTTTTTTTTTATATATTTTTTTTTATATCTCATTTCAGTACAATGCCACCACCAACTAAAAGGCTGAAACAGCAGTAGGACTTACTCAGATTTTTTTAAAATTGAAACGTCAGTGTGAGTAACAGTCACCTAACACAACTTGTGTTGAAATTAGCCCGGTCTGGGCGTGTGTTTTACGAGGATTTTTTATTTTTTGCATGGTTTTGATTCCCCGAAATGGCAGATGTTATACCTGCCGCGCTCCTGATCGTAAGTTAAAACCACAGGGAGAATTAATTCTAATTCTTAGCAGCGGCGGCCGCATTGGTCGTGCAGCGGACTGCTGCACAACCACTAATTAACCAACTAATTAACTTCTGCATCTTTATTTCCTCAAATAAACTGCTGGCTCCTCTTTTTAGACTATAAACAGATTAACACAACATTGACAACTCTGTAGTTTTCTCTGTTCTGTACTGCAAATTGGAATTAAAGGCGCCATTTCTACCAAAGGTCTGGACAGACTGGCCACCTGTCTAGGGTGGACCCCGCACCAGCACCTCCCGACCCCACTAAGGGACAGGGTGTACAGAAAATGGAAGGATGGATGGATTTCTACCAAAGGTTGATAATGCGTTTTTGAACCAGATGCTTCAAAGCGCCCTGTCCATAATTCTTCAACACACTGTCATCTCCCTCTGTCAGTCAACCTATATAAATTCATTTTTGACCATTATTGCAAGTTTGACAAAATAAAACATATCAAACTTTGCACTTGTGTGGCCTACTGAATTGTTTTGATTTTCTAGTGCGTATGCGGACACTAAATATGCCAAGGGCTGAAGCCCTTGAAAGACATCTCCCTTTGCTTAATAAAAGACTCCAGTCATTTTGTTTGGTGATATGCTCACATCTTATGAACAAATGCATTATGTTAATTTTAAATGCATTATTTTTGCAAACACATTCATTTATAAAGGAATAAAGTAAAAGATTAAATAGCCTTTTTTTTAAGTAGCATACTTAAGATATGTTTCTGTTGAATTTTTACGAATCTCAGATTTCCGACATGTGTCCCCCCCAATTGTAAACATATTCCTACGCCCTTGGCTTGACGTCATCATCAGACATGCTAAGAGCAGTCTGGGAATATATTATTGCGTAACGTTTATCTGATGCACTCTATGATAATAGAGTGAATGCACTCTATTATTTTTTTATTTGAGAAAAAAATATATATTTTATTCCTTAATAACATTAATTTTGTTTACACACACACACACACATAACGCTGTGTGACGTATATTTGCGCATGCTCAGAGCAGTCAAAGTAACTATCACAAGGCGATTGAACTTTTTTATGTATTTCTGTTTTTTTTATTTTTAGAAAATGCAATATTGACGAAAATACAAAGATATACAAAAAGAAACCCATGCCTCTAAAAAATACAAAAGAATGAAAAAGTAAGAAAAAGGAAATATTGCCACCGGAAGTTATTCTGTTTGCGCACGCGCAAATGAGCTGATGGTACGGATCGTGCTTCCGGTACGGATCGGGTAATGACACTCAGAATTCTGAGAAAAAAGTAGGAAATCTGACTATTTTCCCATACTAAACTGAAATAAAATTTAAAAATCAGTTAACTTTTGTTTTTTTTTCTTTCACTGGCCCTAATCCTCTTCCGTACTGCTCCCTGATTAAAAAAAAAAAAAGTTTCTGCTGTTACCTCAGAAATGTCCTGTTTTAATGTTATGATTGTGACTCAGGATTTTGGGTGCAGTTTTTATTTAACTGCTACTGTATAAACAAAATGCTGATGTTAAGTTTTTGCAGAACAAATGTTATGGCACTTCCTTTAATATGGCAGAACATTTAAAATAAAATTGTGCTATGCACTACTTTTGATTTCATTATTGTTTTTTTAATAAAAATGTGATTAATCACAATTAATCAGGGAAATCATGAGCTTAATCGCGATTAAAACTTTTAATCGTTGACCAGCCCTAATTATGGAAGCCTGTTTCCGCCACTCTGTAAAAAAAAATAAAATAAAAAATTATCTCATTATAATGAGAAAATAATAATTATTTTTTTTTTTTACAGAGTGGCGGAAACGGGCTTCCATACCTAATAGATATACTTTTTTATCCGTTTTTACTGCACTAGTGGCTCGTTTTTCTGACAGAAGGCTGACCGGAGGGGGGGAGACATGCGTCAAAGGACCACAGGTCGGATTCAGACCCGGGTCGGCTGCCTCTAGGACTTAGGCCTCCGTATACGGGTCGTGTGCTCTAACCACTGCGCCACCTGCATGGTCTTCACGCCGTCATTTACCCAAACTGCGTCCTGAACTGGAGCTTCATCCCAAACAGGAGCAAATCAGATGACTAGAAAAGTAAAGAATCAAGGCGTTGCAGTGGCCTAGTCAAAGTTAGGACCTGAACCAGATTAAAATCCTGCAGCAGGACTTTAAAAGAGTGCCTGACTAAAATAAAAACCACCACAGCTTCACCGTTTTTTTGAGTTTTGGGGAGAAAAAAATGACCCAGTATATTTTGCTGGTCTTTATATAAACGGCGTCAGGTTGCAGACGTGGTGAAGGGATCAGGTTTGTCTCAGGCTGTAGAATCAGAGGAGGACGGGTTTCTGACCCGGCGGCAGGCGGGTGACGCTGAATGCTCCGTGGTGGTTTGTCTGAATTTGATGCAACTTGTTGCCTTTTTATTGTCGTCCTCTTGTTGTTAAGTCACCACATCCTTGACTGTGAAATTTTATGTTTGTTCTTTGTTTTTGTTTTTTTCTGTTACCTTTTTGCCTTTTCTCTCCTGTCATCCAACCCTGCTAACATCCCATTAAAAACCTTCTTCCTGCATCGTCTGATTCACTGTTAAAAAAACAAAAAAACAAATCACCATTTCTGCTGAACCGCTGTTACACAACAACACGCTGCGCTGCTCTTCCTCGCTGTCCAAACCCCCTCTTCCTCCTCCATAACCCGCTCCCCCCCTCCTCCTCCCTGTGTCCCCTCTTCCCCCTGCGCTGCTTGGCTCTGCTCCCCCTCCCTTTTCCTCCCCTTCCTCCCTTCAGTCCTCCCACACCCACTCGCGTGACTATGCCAAGCCCTGGCTTGCACACAGTAAAACTCCAACGCCATCCAAGTGCCACTGCTGCCCAGATCTTGGTCACAACCACAGCGCTCCTGGGCACGAGGTAACGCACTCACCCCCCAACCCACCCACCCACTCGCCTCCCCCGTCCCACCCCGACCCGCCCTTCTCAGCGAGCTAATGCACTAACATTCGGGGTGCTCGCACGGCGCCATGTGGAAGGCTTAAAGGCTGCTATAAGTAAATCCTGTCTGGACGCCTGTTTGCATCAGATAGCAGAAAAATGATTTAAAAAGACTGATTACTGTAAAAATATAGAAACTGCCTGTTAGATTGTAAGAATAACTTTAACGTTTATTTTTAAATAGCTTAAAAAAGGGATAAAACAATGTTAAACTTTTCACCTCAGTAATTTTTTTATTGGTTAATAAAATATACAATATTTACTCTAATAAATATATTAATATTTTTATTTTATTTTTTTGTTGGCAGCTTATGTGGTTAATTCTGTTTAGCTTGTTTGCTAAAATGATTTTTATAAATATATGAAAACATAAAGCAGGATTTAGAACAATAATAAACATTCAAGATATAAACAAAAAATATGTATTAGAACTGAATTTTTTCATACTTTATTTAAATAAAGAGAAATAAATCAGCTAAATAGATAATCAGCTTGTAACATGTGAATTTATTGCATTATTTGTCAACTTAATAATTTTTTTTATTCTAATTTGTTTATTTTTGTTATTTAAATGTATAGTTTCAAAATAATAAAGAAAAACATATTCACTTTTTTTATTTTTAATGCTAAAATCTTTTTACCCTACAGTGAAAATAAAAAAAAATTAAGAAAACACAATTTTTGTATCAGGTTTCCATTTTTAACCACCAGATCGGTTGTTACCATAACAACCTGTATGATCTGATAAATGAAAATTCCCCAACTTTAAAATTCCTCCAAGAATTTTCAGTTAATGCTTTAAATTTTAATAATTTAACAAATTAGTCTCATAAAAATCCTGACACGATACATTTTATAAAGTGCGATTAAAAATGTTTATTTAAAAAAAAAAACAATAGAAATGAGAAGTGATTTTTTTAAAGAAGTTTTTTTAACTCATTTTATCAGATAATAAAATATCTTATTAATCAGATAAAAGCTTTATTCTGCAGTAGTAATTGTCTTGTTTTATGTTGTGAATTAATTAACCCGACCTTTCTCTGTTAGACTGTAGCATTCAGAAGAGTGTAGCTGTGTTTGTGTCTATTTATTTTAGATCTACAGGTGCTGGTCATAAAATTAGAATATCATGAAAAAGTAGATTGATTTCAGTAATTCCATTTAAAAAGTGAAACTTGTATATTATATTCATACATTACATACAAACTCATATATTTCAGATGTTTATTTGGTTTAATTTTGATGATTACAAATGACAACAAATGAAAATCTCAAATTCATCATATCAGAAAATTAGAATATTGTGAAAAGGTTCAAAATTGATGGCCCCTGGTGCCACACTCTAATCAGCTAATTAACTCAAACCACCTGCAAAAGCCTTTAAATGGTCTTTCAGTCTAGTTCTATAGGCTACACAATCATGGGGAAGACTGCTGACTTGACAGTTGTCCAAAAGACGACCATCGACACCTTGCACAAGGAGGGCAAGACACAAAAGGTCATCGCTAAAGAGGCTGGCTGTTCACAGAGCTCAGTGTCCAAGCACATTAATAGAGAGGCGAAGGGAAGGAAAAGATGTGGTCGAAAAAAGTGTACAAGCAAGAGAGATAACCGCACCCTGGAGAGGATTGTGAAACAAAACCCCTTCAAAAATGTGGGGGAGATTCACAAAGAGTGGACTGCAGCTGGAGTGAGTGCTTCAAGAACCACCACACACAGACGTATGAAAGACATGGGTTTCTGCTGTCGCATTCCTTGTGTCAAGCCACTCTTGAACCACAGACAGCGTCAGAAGCGTCTTGCCTGGGCTAAAGAGAAACAGGACTGGACTGCTGGTGAGTGGTCCAAAGTCATGTTCTCTGATGAAAGTAAATTTTGCATTTCCTTTGGAAATCAAGGTCCCAGAGTCTGGAGGAAAAGAAGAGAGGCACTTCATCCACGTTGCTTGAAGTCCAGTGTAAAGTTTCCACAGTCAGTGATGGTTTGGGGTGCCATGTCATCTGCTGGTGTTGGTCCATTGTGTTTTCTGAGGTCCAGGGTCAACGCAGCCACATACCAGGAAGTTTTAGAGCACTTCATGCTTCCTGCAGCTGACCAACTTTTTGGAGATGCAGATTTCATTTTCCAACAGGACTTGGCACCTGCACACAGTGCCAAAGCTACCAGTACCTGGTTGAAGGACCATGGTATCCCTGTTCTTAATTGGCCAGCAAACTCTCCTGACCTTAACCCCATAGAAAATCTATGGGGTATTGTGAAGAAGTAGATGCAATACACCAGACCCAACAATTCAGAAGAGCTAAAAGCCACTATTAGAGCAACCTGGGCTATCATAACACCTGAGCAGTGCCACAGACTGATCGACTCCATGCCACGCCGCATTGCTGCAGTAATACAGGCCAAAGGAGGCCCAACTAAATACTGAGTGCTGTACATGCTCATACTTTTCATGTTCATACTTTTCAGTTGGCCAACATTTCTATAAATCCTTTGTTTTTATTGGTCTTCAGTAATATTCTAATTATCTGATATGATGAATTTGAGATTTTCATTTGTTGTCATTTGTAATCATCAAAATTAAACAAAATAAACATCTGAAATATATGAGTTTGTATGTAATGTATGAATATAATATACAAGTTTCACTTTTTAAATGGAATTACTGAAATCAATCTACTTTTTCATGATATTCTAATTTTATGACCAGCACCTGTATCTGTCGTTATGTGTTTTTGTGTAAAAACTGATCCAGTTTTTTCTCTTGGACATGCAGCTGTTCAATAAAACAGCAAAGTCATCTTGGCTGTGCTTTCCTGTGTTCTCCTGCAGGGGGCGCCGTCCGGGTCCAAACTAAAGAGGCCCCCGTTCCACTCGAGCCGAGGCTCGCTGACTGGAGAGAACGGAGGAACGCCGCACAGCAGCAAACGCACAGGTGGGACGAAGCGTCATGACCACGTTAAACCGGTTCTGTTAGAACTGTCAGCTGACCTCACTACACACTCTGTGACAGATCCAAAGCGAGGGGCGGCGACCGCCAGCAGCCCCACCAGCCGAGCCGGCAGCAGAGCGGGCAGCAGGGCCAGCAGTCGCCGCGGCAGCGACGCCTCGGACGCCTCCGAGCTTCAGGACTCTCGTTCCGTCTGCTCAGACACTTCGGACACGCCGCGGCGGCCCGGCAGCGGAGCCAAACCTTCCAAGATCCCGACTATATCAAAGAAGGCCCCCAGCCCAAAGACCCCGGGGTCTACAAAGAAGTAAAACCTGTAGAAACTTTATTCCTGGTGATTCCTCCGTTAAGAAAGGCCGGGCTGCGTCTGCTGGACGTCCATCCAGAGGGCTTGTCTGCATATTCTGCACTAAGACTGATGGTTTTTCAGGGAAAGAAGGAGACGTTGATCTCGATCTCCCTCTCACTCCTTTCCCAGTCCTGAAGGCCTGTTAAGATGCACAAGAGGAGAACGGTTCTGGTCCGGTTCAGGTCCAGGCCAGAATCTATGGGGTCAACGCCAACTTTTCCCCTTTAAGACCCCAGTTTGCCTTCCAGTCTCCTCCACCTCTTAAGACGTTCCCTGAAACACGGACTGACGTGATGCTGCCTTACTTTATGTTACAAACTTTTGTCCCGATCAGACGGGGGGAGGACAGACTCAACCTGCTTTATACTGACAAACACACATTTCCTGGGAGAGGCGGGGCGGAGAGCGGGGAGCGCTGCCACCACAGCTACACAAACAGAAAAAGAATTGTGGGAGAATTATTTTTACTTGTGGTCCAGATGCCTCAAGGATGCGTCAACAAAGAAAATATGCAACGACTGCCATGTCGCTTCCTCTGGACCGATTGGCGAGAAAACAGTCACCTCAGCAGTGGCGAGCTGAGGAGACGCAGTGAGACACACACACACGGTGGAGCTGGTGCAGCTGAGGGTAAAAACTCTCACTGAAGCACCACGCAGCGGCCTCCTCCCCACCCACCGCTGGAACGCTCCCCTCAGCCACATGCGTGCATTTCAGCAAAGGGCGGCGCGTTTCTTTTCTTTTTCCCCCACTCTCACCCAGAATTCACAAGCTAGCAATAGAAAGGACTCTTATGGTGACAACTAACAGCACATTACTGACAATACGCCACACGTGTAACCTTAACGTGACGTTAACATGCGTGTTCGCAGAGTTCGACAACCAGCATGCACTAACTCCCCCCCCCCCCCCCCCCCCCCCCCCCCCCAACGCTGCACAGAAAAACACTCACATGTACCGTGTGTCTGTTACAGGAAGCAGCAGAGGTCATTTACTTGAGTCACTGTATGCAAACAAAGATTAATTTACAAATGTTTTTTCTGATTAATTTATAATCCTGATGGACTTTTTGTTGTTTAGCTTGAAATACAGGTTTATTTATTTACAGTTTTACGTCATATCACCGTCGGCAGTGCGTGGTTTAGTATTATGGTTAAAGAAATTCAGTTTTCTATCATGAACATGTCCACTTTGCTTTTTTTTTTTGACATGGTTTGTGTGTAAAAAGTGTGTTTCTACTCTGTTGTGAGATTACATTACTCACCAGGGCGCCCTCTAGTGGCAGCCTTGTTTGGTTTTTCTTTATGGCTAACGACTACATTTTCCTGACCAAAGGGGTTTGCCCTTCATGCGTAGAGATGAACCACAGATATGAATGATGAGGGGGGAGGTTGGACAGAGGGGGGAGTCTCTCCTTTCATGTTCTCTCCTCCCTAGAATCTCTTCAAGACTTTTCCTCAAGCTGTCCCGTCGTGGACGGGGCAGAGTTATCGAAGTGTTTTTTGTTTGTTTTTTTCAATCTTAGAGATGAAGTTTATGGAAACTAATGAAATTACATCAATAAGACATCTTAAGGTGATTTTTATTTATTTATTGTCTCTCTGAGGGGGAGGGATGAGGGTCTTTATGGTGGAGATGATTAGTCCACCACCTTTTTGATGCTGCACTCCTCTCTGTGTGATGAAGTCAATGTGGAGGAGGGGAGGGGGGTGTTACAGGGAGTCACTTGTGTAAAATTAAAACAAACTAAAATTATAAACCTTTTTCTGTTTTTGTATTAAAAATTATGCTTGCAATAAAACCGTCTTTGGTGTTTTTATTTGATTCTGAAACTCATCAGAGCTGCAGAAGTTGTTTTGGAGAGGTTACGATTTGGAAATTTTGTAATAAAATCATTGCCGATCAGTACAAAGTGCAAACGGATCCAGTTTGAAAACAAATTTAGTCTAAACACCCGCAGAACAGTGAGCGGTTTGGTTTGGACAAACCTTGTACACTTAATCCCCATTGATAGCCTGATAAAGCAGACTAAATGTGAGATTTAGGCCCCGTCCACACGAAGCCAAACCCTGGCCTAAACGCACAAATTTTTCACCAAACCAGCCTCTCATCCATACGAAGCCGGCGTTTCGGGGGTCTGTAAACAATCTTTTTTTTTTATTAAGCCTTCAGAGTGGGAAGATTTTGAAACGCCGTTTTCGCGTTTCCATCTTTAAGCTCTAACCACATTCTTTTCTTACACGCATGCGTCATAGCGTCGCCTCTAAAAACGCATGTGCGACACAGTATCACAACAACAATGGCGCCGTACTGTGTTGAATGGTTGCTGCTCATGCTACTCACCCTGCTGTCGGGCTTACAACAGAATCTTCTTCTGGAATATCTCCAGGAAGAACAGAGCAATATCGACAACATACAGGTGCTGGTCATAAAATTAGAATATCATGAAAAAATAGATTGATTTCAGTAATTCCATTTAAAAAGTGAAACTTGTATATTATATTCATACATTACATACAAACTCATATATTTCAGATGTTTATTTTGTTTAATTTTGATGATTACAAATGACAACAAATGAAAATCTCAAATTCATCATATCAGAAAATTAGAATATTACTGAAGACCAATAAAAACAAAGGATTTATAGAAATGTTGGCCAACTGAAAAGTATGAACATGAAAAGTATGAGCATGTACAGCACTCAGTATTTAGTTGGGCCTCCTTTGGCCTGTATTACTGCAGCAATGCGGCGTGGCATGGAGTCGATCAGTCTGTGGCACTGCTCAGGTGTTATGATAGCCCAGGTTGCTCTAATAGTGGCTTTTAGCTCTTCTGAATTGTTGGGTCTGGTGTATTGCATCTTCTTCTTCACAATACCCCATAGATTTTCTATGGGGTTAAGGTCAGGAGAGTTTGCTGGCCAATTAAGAACAGGGATACCATGGTCCTTCAACCAGGTACTGGTAGCTTTGGCACTGTGTGCAGGTGCCAAGTCCTGTTGGAAAATGAAATCTGCATCTCCAAAAAGTTGGTCAGCTGCAGGAAGCATGAAGTGCTCTAAAACTTCCTGGTATGTGGCTGCGTTGACCCTGGACCTCAGAAAACACAATGGACCAACACCAGCAGATGACATGGCACCCCAAACCATCACTGACTGTGGAAACTTTACACTGGACTTCAAGCAACGTGGATGAAGTGCCTCTCTTCTTTTCCTCCAGACTCTGGGACCTTGATTTCCAAAGGAAATGCAAAATTTACTTTCATCAGAGAACATGACTTTGGACCACTCACCAGCAGTCCAGTCCCGTTTCTCTTTAGCCCAGGCAAGACGCTTCTGACGCTGTCTGTGGTTCAAGAGTGGCTTGACACAAGGAATGCGACAGCAGAAACCCATGTCTTTCATACGTCTGTGTGTGGTGGTTCTTGAAGCACTCACTCCAGCTGCAGTCCACTCTTTGTGAATCTCCCCCACATTTTTGAAGGGGTTTTGTTTCACAATCCTCTCCAGGGTGCGGTTATCTCTCTTGCTTGTACACTTTTTTCGACCACATCTTTTCCTTCCCTTCGCCTCTCTATTAATGTGCTTGGACACTGAGCTCTGTGAACAGCCAGCCTCTTTAGCGATGACCTTTTGTGTCTTGCCCTCCTTGTGCAAGGTGTCGATGGTCGTCTTTTGGACAACTGTCAAGTCAGCAGTCTTCCCCATGATTGTGTAGCCTATAGAACTAGACTGAAAGACCATTTAAAGGCTTTTGCAGGTGGTTTGAGTTAATTAGCTGATTAGAGTGTGGCACCAGGGGCCATCAATTTTGAACCTTTTCACAATATTCTAATTTTCTGATATGATGAATTTGAGATTTTCATTTGTTGTGATTTGTAATCATCAAAATTAAACAAAATAAACATCTGAAATATATGAGTTTGTATGTAATGTATGAATATAATATACAAGTTTCACTTTTTAAATGGAATTACTGAAATCAATCTATTTTTTCATGATATTCTAATTTTATGACCAGCACCTGTAGTTCAGCACCTGAATTTGACTAAACCACGAAAATAGACCCGCAGGTTCCATTTTGGTTGTATAAATATCACTGCGCATGCCCAACATTTCATTGCCTGTTTTCGCCTATTTTTGCTTTGGCACCACAGCGCCACTTATAGGCCTGGCATACATTTTGCAGCGTTTTCATGCATTCGTGTGGTCAATCACATTTATTTTACGTCTCCGTCTTTACGACAAACGTTCTGGAAAATATTAGCGTTTCGTGTTCGTTTTGACTTCGTGTGGACGGGGCCTAAATGAACGAACGAGACTTCAGAAGATTGTTGATGAGAACAACCCGTTGTCTTTCAAACAATGTCTGTGCCTATTGGCCAACGCTCTGACCAATGAGCACAACTGACTGTGACGTAGTAAGCGTGACAGAAAGCTTGTCGGTAAAACCGCAAATACGTCCTCCTTGAAAATGATTGAGCGTAGAGCCTCTTCCTGCTCACATTTCAATGAAAACCCCAAGTCTAATCCTTCCAAAGCTGAGTCAAATGAGAACTGTTCAAAAGCTGTTTCCATCTTCCTTGTTGTGCTTTCTCCAGCGTCGCGCAGCTTTGTCGTCACGCGCTCAAAACCCCTCGCGCTTTGCATCCAGAAATTCAAAACACATCTCTGCGTTGTGATTGGCCCGCCAGTTCTAGAGCCTGGGGCATTGATCGAGACTATACCACTCGCAGGCAATAATGATTTTGGCCGCTGGTGGGTGGGCCTAGTTTGATAACACTATCCTTTTGTAACCGTGGTGAGATCGGTCCAAGCATGGTAACCAAGATAATTGTTGAGTTTAAATGGCATGCACAAATGAACTACACTGCGCCAGACACTACCAAACCGCGCTAACATGGCACTAGTTCATCAGTAGGGATAGGCGGGGTTTAGTTCTGCCTCTGTAAGCATGAAACTTCAGACATTCATATAAATACTAGCTTTCCTACCGTGCCACATGATTTCCAGTGATGATTCTGCTTCGCAGCGTGATGAACCTCAATGTCTGTCGTCGTTTCCTGCGTCTGTAAGCCCCGATTAGACTAACGTTTGTTGTATCCACTTCCCAAAAGCAGACTCTGTCACGTAAATTCATCAAAGGCTGCCTTCTTCGCCTGACTCTCTGCAAACAACGAAATATCACAATAACAAAAAATTACTTCCTGATTGTTACAGGTGCCACCATGTTGGTTTGCTTGTTTGCAGAGTCAATAAGTTGATGCAATCAACTGGTTTACCTTAGATAGAAAACTTTAAACCAATTTGACTGGATGATCTGGTGAACTGTAAAGTGCCTCGAGATGACGTGTGTTGTGAATTGGCATTATATAAATAAACTGAATTGAATTGAATTTACCTCTAGAGAGCAGTAGTACCGTAGATCGCCAGTAGGAGGCGAGGAACTGTCCTAGTGTGGTGCAAATGGTCATAAGGAACCAAGCTCAGCACGCATCGGTTTTCAGAAAGTTGTGTAAATGGGGCAATGGATCGGACAACAGAGAATCTTAGTGGCGTTATCAGACAGTTGAGGCATCTAGCAGTTATACTGCTACCACAATAAAACCTTTTTTCCCCACTGAAATCTTTGTGTAACACAGATTTTTCCAAACATGGGTTGACCTGCTTAACCAATCGGCATTTGGCTCCCTCCCTTGGGAAGGGAGTTGGGTGTCCGGGGAACCATCACTGCATACACAGCAGCTTCACCAGCACTTGATGAACAAGGGGTCACATTGTGGGTTTGAGGCTGGGTGGACATGATGCAATATTTTAAATGGGTCTGCAGATGCTGAATGCATCCTGGCTCCAATAAACCCAAATGACGGGTTAAAAGACCAAGACTGTAAAAAACTAACAGACATGCAACTTAATTAATTCAGCCTTTTTATTCCAAGAAATTTAAAACAATCCACTGGACTTTGTTTCCTAGTTTGAAGACGTTTCGCTTCTCATTCAGGAAGCTTTCTCAATTCAAAATGTCAGAAAAAAGCGTTGAGTTTCAGGCTTTATACCATTGCCTAACAAAGCCTTGTTTTTGCTTAGAAAACATGCAAATTGAAACGGACAAATGGGTCCACCCCTTTGGAATGAAGGTCGTTTGGCTTTTTTTTTTGTTGTCTGCAATGGCAAATACCCATCTAAGTGTCCGAAAGGGAAACGTTAAAGGGAATTGTTGGCCTGGCTGAACAGGCTAGGTCCTCCACTCTGGTTCTCTTCTTCTTCTTCTTCTTATGGGGTTTTATGGCGGTTGGCAGACTTGTGAATTGTGCATTACCGCCACCAACTGATATGGAGTAAAGCAAGAAAACAGAAAACGATTCACCCCCCCCCCCCCCCAAAAAAAAAAAAAAAAAAAAAAAAAAAAAAAAAAAAAAAAACCTGTGTAACTTAAACCAACATAATACTAAATCACATTTGCCCATATAATTTTTAATTTACTCTAGGTCATCTTAACTCTGCCAGTTTCTGATGGTCCCATCGGTCCTCCCATCATACTTCCAACCATCTCCCAGTTCAAATCTTTAATGTCCAGATATTTTTCTGCAGCCTTCACTATTATTTTGATTTTTTCCGTTTTTTTTTGTTGTCTGTGCAGTACAATTAATTACTTCTACCATGAAAAGAACAAAATTTGTCTTTTTAACAATAAGTGAGTCTTCATCAATTTTTTGATTCTCTAGAGGTTTGGAATTTGCCGTGTGTTGAACTGTAGGTTTGGGTTTTTCTGACTGAGATGGGATCCTTTTTGCAGCTTCAGCGTAGGTTATTCCGAGCTCAAATTTCATTTTTTTAATTTCCTCAGACCTTTTGCTTGCTTCACAGCCGCGATAGGCAGCAGTATGTTCTCCACCACAATTACAGCATTTTATTTTAGCTTCTTTTCCACATTTTCCGTACTCATGTTCTCCTGCACACCTTCCACACCTCTGTTTCCCTTTACAAACTGCTGCAATGTGACCGAATTTTTGGCATTTGAAACATCTCAATGGTGGAGGATTGTAGATTTTGACATTATAGCTTATGTAACCGATGAATACTTTGCTTGGTAATTGCTCTTCCTCAAATTTAATTAGCACTGATAAACTGTCAGATCTTTCTCCGTTTATTGTTGTTTTTAACCGTTTTACTTCTTTTACTTTTGCACCGCTTATGTTTTCCAGAATCTCTTTTTCAGAAATTTTTAGAGGAACTCCTCCAATGACTCCCCTGCTGATCTTTTTGTTCTCCATTAGGCTGCACTGAACTCTTATCCCGTCAATTTTGTTGATCCGTATTGCTTTGCCTTGCTGGGCGCTGTCTCTGCAGTTAATTAGCAGGTCTCCACTGTACAGAATTCTGGCACCTCTGACTTCTCCGACAAGTTTATTGATGGTTTTTGTTAAGTGAACCGGATTCCAATTTGTAAAAGAGTCTGCCTGATTAACGACTTTGAATATGACTTTGAATTCATTTTGTTGTGCTGTGGAATGTATGGAATGATCATCACTGGATTGTTCTGAACTAGATTCCCCTTGAACTGATCTCTGTTTTTTCCGCTTTTTCTCATTTTTTGATGTTGCTATCTTCCAACCTTCATTGTCACTATTTCCCTCTTCCATCCCACAAGAATCGCTTCCTGTTTCCTCACTACTCACGGCCCAAGACATTTCTCCATAAGCAGCTTCAAAACACGCGCCATGCACCAAACGACCATCCACATGCCAAAGGGCAACTTCCCCGGACTCCACTCTTCTCTTCTCTTGCCACTCTGGTTCTCAAAAGAAGGCTATTCTTTTGAGGACCAGAATATTCACATTTTGGACAAAGAAAACAGGTGATTTGAGATGGGCGTGAAGGAAGCCAACTATGTTAAGAGAGAAAAAACAACCTTAAACAGAGGGGATGGACTCCAGTTTCAGCTTTCAAAAACCAATTGAGTTAATCCTTTCCAGCTATCATCGCGGCCCCAGCCCCTGTACAGGAGAGCGGAGGACCTGGGGCTTTGCAGGCTAACAAAAGAAGGCAAATAACCCCCATTCCAAAGGGGTGGACCCGTTCGTCTGTTTCAATTTGCATGTTTTCAATACAAGAGCAAGGCTTTGTTGGGCTACTAAATTAAACCTCAAACTCAACGCTATTTCTGACATTTTGATCTGAAAAAAGCTTCCTGGATGGGAAGAGAAACATCTTCAAACTTGGAAACAAAATGCAGTGGATTGTTTTTAATTTTCTTCTTTTGTAATTATTATGACCTGCATGACCTCGCCAGTCTTTTAATTCAGATGTGTTGGAGCAGGAATGTCTTCAAATGTGGCAGGATAATAGAGGGGACTGAATATTTTAGCTCTGCAGCCTGATGCAGACAAATTCCTAATACTGGTTCAAATATCAGATAACCATGACACCAGCATGCGCCTCATGACAGTGAACGATGGACCCATAAAACCCCCCAATTTGACCAATTTCAGACTCCAAGAACCAAATTCTCCCTCCTCTGGCTGTGATGACATTTCTTACAGCCTTTTTATATTAATTTCCTGATTTATTTTTATAGCTAAATTGATAAATGTTATTCTCCTTATTATTTAGATATAGAAGAACACCAAAGACAAAAGGAGAGGTAACAATGATAAAAATATGCAAATAATAATAAAGGGGCAACATTATATTATTCAATGGGATTTACAATAGGGTTTACATTAGAAAAAAAAGTACTAGCGGGGTTTGTACTCTAGAAAAGAAAATGTTTTCCAGCCTCTGGTGTTCTGCATAAATTTACGACAGTTTGCCCATCTGAACAGTTAATTGTTAATATGTTAATATAATTCTTACATTCAAATATATTTGAATTAATTCAAATTTCTGTTAACATAGGTAAAAAGTCTTTCAAATTTTTGGGACACCCCTCCGATATGTGAAAATGGTGCGTTCCACTATTTGCCACGGAAAACTGAAGCACCTGGCGGTCACGTGAGGTTATATTTGATTACTACAAGCGGCAAAAGTACGACGTTCAGGTTTGTAGTTAAAATAAAATCATGTTTTGAGTTAATAAATTCCACTAAAAACTCACACGAAAGCTTAAAATCGTAATAAGACAGTTTTTGGGAGCAAATGATTGATGTCAAACATTGTAGACAGCCGAGAGCCGCCATCTTGTAGCCTATGAAAATTTGCCACTTCCAATAGATACCGGTAATATCAAAAGCAAACCTTTTTTATGTGATAGAAGTAATTTTTTTGTCTGCATTTATATCCTAGCTTCACTAAATTATCCAAAAATATTTGTTTGAATGTTTATCTATTAAAACATGACATAATGTACATTTTCTATCAATTTGAACATATTCTCTGAAAAGTAACAAGAAATTAAGTATAATTTTACCAAAGTATAGGTTTTATCTAAGCAATAATCTGCAATCTGTTTGGTTTCCTCATCCTGAATCAGGTTTACTTTAAATGTAACTATTTGTTTGCATTTTTAAAAATAAACTGTTCTTGTTTCAGTGACTTCTACCTAACTTTAACTTTTGTACATTTTTATAGTTTTAAAAAGCCAGAAGCCAATGAAACCCTCAGCTCTTCCTGCCTGTCCTGCTCTCTGCAGTTTAATGCAGGTATTTGCATGCGTACTTAATTTATTTTGACTTTTGGAACAGATGTTTATCAGCTGGATGTTTCTCATTAAAGTGTTTAGAGACTTAAGAGAGATTTTGTCATTTTGTTTACAAAAGTGTAAAACAAAAAGAAATTTAGTCTGGAAACGGCTCACTGGACAATTTCATCTTTTTAAAAATGCAGCCTTGACAAATGTTTAAGTTAAGCTATTTAAAAATGTAAATTTATGAGTGAAAAGGAAGCCGAGTTAATTTGTTTTTCCCTTTTCCCGTGTGTCTGTCTGACAGCAGAGCCCAGACACGCAGCCAGTCGCCGGACATTTCTCTGTAATTGAGGTGTTCAGAGAGCAGAAGATAACGACTGGATCGTCACTTCTCTGCTCAGAGAGCAGTTGGTTTGAAACTTTGTCTCTCTGTTCATTTTCTGCTTTAAATTCTCCACCAGACTGCGGTTTAAGAGTTGAAACTCTGTCATGTTTATGAGATGGTCTGAGTCCTTCCTCTGCAGCTGTGTGTACATTCAGGCCTCTGGTTTGCTGTCCGCTCTCCATCCATCTTCACCCCTCCTCAGCCTTGGTGGCAGTCCTCCACTGCCTCCTCCCTCTTTTTAAACTTCTGTTGGGTTATTCTGGTTTCAGGGGCAGACATTCCCTCTTTTTTTTTTATTTTTTTTTTTTATCTAATCCTCTCTGTGCTCCACTTCTTCTCCCGGCCTTCACCTCTCCTGATAAATCCTCAGGGAGCTGGCAGCGGCTCAAAGTACGGCGGGTAGAACATTAATTCCTGGCATTTCGAGCACTTGCCTTTGGCCTCGGACAAAAAAGAACGACGACCACTTTGGTTTGGTCAGTGTTATTCGTTCCGCTCAAAGAGACCGCAAGAACCGAGGCCGCTTTGAAGAGAAGAGAGCACAAACATGAGCGGGCGCAGGGCTGAACCTCTGCTCTATTTTAATAATTTCTTCCCTCAGAGTCCTTCGGGTTTGGACCTCGAGCACGAATGTTTGCCTTAGACATGCTGCAGGAAAACTTGTCTGGACTGATAGATGATTCAGGAACCATTTAAAAAAGTTCGTTAGCAAACAGCTGGTCAACAGAAATAAAAAGGCTCACAGTAAATCGACCAACACCAGGCTGCCAGAGCAGAAATGAAAGGAAGCAGCCAAGTGCAGATGAAGAGATAGATGGGTGGCGGCAGGCAGGGGACAGATGAGGTCTCCTGAAGAGACAGCTGGGAGGGGTGATGATGAAGAGGGAGAGAAGTTTAAAGAGTTGAAAGAGGAGGAGGAGGAGAGGTTAGGAAGGAAACTCCCTCCTGCTCGTGACCAGCTGCTCAGGATTCACTCAGAGCGTCCACAGAGCAGCAGAGAGACTGGAGAGACCCAGAACCTTAAAGCTGAGTGGACCGGACCCTGGATCCAAACTCTCTGGAGGGTTCTTCATCTCTCGCTGCAGGTTTGAGCTCCTTTATCAAACCTAATGACAAAGCTCCCAAATTCCTCTCCAGCACCCACTCATCACTAAAATTACTCTCCATCCTTCACGTTTGCAGCTTCAAAGCCTCCAGCAATCTTCTAAAGGGGCATTTTTTTGTCTATATCCAAAACACGGCTGGAGGAGCTTGTAATTATGCTGACTCTCATCAACTCTGCTGCTGCGTGACAGAGCTGAGGGAGAGCTGGGTTTTCCTTCTGATTTCAGATTAGAGAAGGTGGAAGAGCTGAGGTAAACACAGGCAGCGCTCATCTAAACACTTGGTCTGTATTTGTCTGCGGTGGCTGAGCTGCAGCGGGCGTATCGAACGCTGAGAGCAGAAGAACAAGGCTCATGGCCTTGGAGATGTCCCCAACGATGACCCGGTGTCTGCAGAGCAGATCCAGGTCCACGCTGATGCTGCTGCTGCTTCTGCTCACCGTCTCGCTGTGGACCCAGCAGGCCGAGGCTGTGGTCCATTCCAGCTTCCGACGGCTCAGCGGGCGCGAGAAGAAAGAGATGCAGAAGGAGATCCTGAACCTCCTGGGCCTGCCAGGCCGACCCAGACCCCATCCGCCGCTGAGGCCGCCCTCCTCTGCGCCGCTCTTCATGCTGGACCTGTACCACGCCATGTCTGCCGACGATGAGGAGGAGATGGTAAACGGACCGGGCCTGGGGAGGTACGGAGCTGCTACACAGGTGAACTACGCAGCGCTGCCCATCCTCAGCACACACACCCCGCCGTTCGGGACGGTGGTCAGCGAGGCCGACACGGTGATGAGCTTCGTCAACCTGGGTGAGTAACGGGGGGGTTAACAGAGCAGAGGTCTGAGAAGCTGGGAGACGCTTTTTATTCATGTTGGTTGGAAATGTTACCATTAGCAAAATAGTTTAGTGCAAATCTAAAAGTAGGATCTGATTAGATTAAAGATGACATTTTTAATAACCTCTAGGAATGATTTCTAAAACTCTTTGAAGGTCTTAAATCCAACTTTTTTCTAAATGATCTCACACTGCTTGAGAAACTTGTGTTTGTTTGTTTTTAAACCCATTTTCTTAATTTTATGACCATAAACGTCTCTTTAATAGCTGATTCATAGATGATTGGGAGACGATCCAGAGACGCTTCTGTTGTATTTATTTTTTCCCCCTGCTGTTTGTTTCAAATCATTTTCATCTGCCAAAGTTTAACAGATGTAAGATCTTTGGCTCCAGCCAACCGATTAAATATTGGTTGTTAGTAGCAGAGGAGATGTCGCACTGTGTGTTTATGGAGAAATCACTGAAGAACCTTCTGTTTATGAAAACCTCTTAAAGGCTGCAACAAAACTTTTCTTTAATAATGATTAATCTGTAGAATTGTTTCAATTAATAATTGAATGATAAAGTTGCCTTAATGAAAATTTAAACAGAATTTAAACAGGCTGAACGATGTTCAATGAGCCCTATAACATTGTCTTTAAAGCTTGGATGGATGATATATTTGATATCCTTAAGCTCAGATTCCTGAGGAAATTTATTTGTTGGGAAGTTATTCTGAATTACACCTGAAACATTTAGTCATTACTCCAGAAACTTGGTTGATCATGAAAAGTGACCTCTGCACAATGTCTGTAGCTTTGATAAAAGTTGATGAAGATTAATTTAATGATGAGCATCTTTTCCTTGAGGGATAACCCAAAGGCTGATGCTGGGGAAGATTCTCATTCATCCAAAAAAACAATCCACTGCACTTTGTTTCCGAGTTTGAAGGCGTTTTGCTTCCTAGCATTGCGGGCTAACAAAGAAGCCGAACGACGTAGCCTAATTAACCAGACTAAATGTGTGATTAAATGTGTAATTTAGTCTGGCCCCAATAATTAAGACATCGGAAGATTGTTGATGAGAACAACCCGTTGTCTTTCAAACCAGGTCTGTGCCTATTGGCCAACACTCTGACCAATGAGCGCCACTGACTGACGTAGTAAGCGCGACAGGAAGTTGGTGGGGGAGAGTAAACAAACAGCGTGTCGGTAAAACTGCGAATACGTCCTTCTTAAAAATGAGCGTAGAGCCTCTTCCTTCACGTTTCAACGTAAACCCCAAGTCTAATCCTTCCAGAACTGATTCCAAAGCGGAGTCAAACCACAACTGTTCAATAGTTGTTTCCATCTTCCTTGTTGTGCTTTCTCCAGCATCGTGCAGTTTTGTCATCACACCCTCAAAACCCTGCCCACTTTGCATCCAGAAATTCAAAACGTATCTCTGCGTTGTGATTGGCCCGCTATTTCTAGAGCCTGGGGCATTGATGGAGGCTAGACCCACTCGTAGGATATATTATAACTTCGTCGGATATATTATATCAGATATAACTGGTTCTGGAACTGCTTCCAGTTGATCGTAATGTCGTGTGTTCGGAAAAAAAAGCTTGAGGTGGAGAAAAAGCTAGAGAATTGGGAAATGCAAATTTCAACAAAGGTGGCTGGAAAGCGAGGAATTTGGGACATGGCTGCAGCCTGTTGATGGTAATGATGACCAAGTATTTTGCTGCGTTTTATTTATTTATATATATATATATATATATATATATAAATATAAATAAAGAAAGAAAGAACAGAAATTTGGTTTAGATTTTGTGAAAACCAACTTTTTTTTTCTCTTTCCTACATATGACTTATTCCTTCTTACATTTTTATATTAATTAACAGACAAAAACTATTTTTAAGCGTTTGCAAAACAGCATTAAGCTTGGTGTCACATTAGGAGCCTTAATGGATGCAAACAAACCTTAACCTCAGTTTTATCTTCATCAGAAAATTATTTTTGTTGTAAATACTCTATTAACTTTATTAAACCTATTATCAAATTTAAAAAGCGAATCTGTACGGGTGTATGGTATAGCATTTTTATTTTTCTTCTCTTTGGCACCCATCTTTCTCCTTTCCCTTATTTTACTAATAAGTAGAAAAATAACTTTTACCACTGTTACCATGTCCGCTCCGACAGTTCTTTAAAAATATTACTCTCCGTCTGCTGTTGGCAGGGTGAACACAACTGTACCTGTCAAAATAAAACGCTGACTTTAGGTCCTAAGGTCAATATGTGCAAGTAAGCAGGTGCATTTATTTAAAAGCACGGCTCTGCAATAGTTACACTCTGGTTCGTTATGCTGCAATATTCTAGGAGAAAAAGAGCCATGCTGTAAAAACTGGAAAAGCTGATTGGACGCAAACAAGCAGAACTCAAACCTCAGAAGCTCAGTTTCATATGTGGTTCTCACAAGATTTTGATTTATATAAACGTAAACATTCAACTGAAGGTTTAAATCTCAAACTTCAAACTGAGCCTCTGTGGTGTTGAGAGACATGGTGGTTGTTTTGGTCCTTATTGAGAAGAGCCTGATGCTCCAGTGTTTGCAGATGTGGACTCCTGGTTGCAGTTTTACGCTAACATGTGGCTACGTAAACACAGCCTGTTGCATCATGGTCCTTCAGACATAACAGGTTAGATTAATGTTCACCTCCAACGTTTCAAACTGAAGCTGATGAAGAACCTTTCAGCTGCAGGCAGCCGTCGGGTCGATGCCTATCTCTGCCAGCCTGGAAGCTAAACATCCTCCTTCCAGCAGCTTCCTTCCTCCAGCTCCTACGGGACTCTGCATGGCCATCAGTGCCCACTTTATCGTGGGAATAAGTTGTCTCTGCTCCAAGCTTCTAATGAGCTCTCATCATGTTAAGGGTTTCCCTCTGCAAAGAGGAAAATTCTCCCTGAAATTAATCATTCAGCACAGAAAAACCTCCATCCCAGAGCCTCTGTAAACAAACGACTCAGGCGACTCTGTGCTGAAAGTATTTCTCTGCAGAAAATGTTCTCTAAGGTGGAAACGGTTGAAGCGAAGAGAAGACGGTTAAACGAAGCAGGCGGTGGAGTGTGCGTCTCTGTATATGTCATGGGAAGAACCAGCTGGATGGAATTAAAGGCCCCACTGACACACAACGGTCCGAATCGAGATGAAAATGCTTGTGTGGAGGAGCGTCTCTAAAAATACCGGGCAGGCCTGTAATTAGTGGTGTGTGTGCAGAGCAGCTGCTGCGGTCCACAGCAATAAGTGTCTCTAATTACTGTGCAGAGCTGCTGCGCTGCCTGATACGAGCACAGCCGTCCTATCAGGGTGTCCACTCACCTTTATCTTCTTTTAATCCGGATCCGATTTCTGATCATGTCTGACTTGAAGCTTTTTTCCCCTCCATTGGTGGATATTTTTACTCCTTTTGTTAGTTTAATTTAATCAATTTGATTTCGATTATTGCTGTTACGATCCGATGTAATTCGATTCAATGCTGATTTTTGAAGCCGTGTGACTCCAGGAGTTTTAAGAGCAGCCTGGGATGCCAAGTTAAGCACATGTACAAACCAGCCAACATGTAATAGCTCAGTGATATTTACAGCAACTAGCATGTTGGTAGCATTATCTGTAACAACAGCCGCTACTTTTCCGGTTATGCCCCCATTCGTTTATTGCCTCCATCAACATGTTCGCTATGTTGCTCCCTGTGTGACTTCCGTGAAGCGGCCTGGTCTGAAGCACATTTGAAACTTAATTCCCACTCATTCGATATGAAATAAGAAGTGATGGTTATGTAGGGGTCAGCGCGACTCTTTCAGCAGCCTTTAGCGACTCCAACACAGCCGTCTTCATCTCTGAGTACAGTGCCGACAGCGCCCCCAACGGTCAGGAGGTGAATCGATTCTGAGGGGCTCCTGCATCGATTATGAATTTTGCGTGTAATAATTGCGATGCATCGGTTCTTCAATTATTTTACCCGCCCCTACAGAGTTGTATTTTTTTGACATGACATCAGGCTAGTGCACAGCTGTGAGATAATTGTTTGAGTTTTATGTTGATATGCAACACACAATGTCTCCAGAACCGCACTTCCATCTTTGAGTTCTTTATTATAAAATTATCTTAGTTGTAGGTATCAAAAGAAGTCTGAATTTGTCTTTAAGATCCTCTTTTCCCCGTTACTAATTAAATTACAAAAGGCTGTAAGCCCTCTATTGATCCAATATTTAAAAGTTGGGTCTTGCCTTCCTGGCCTGAGGTCTTTGTCATGGGCTACCCATCTTAAAATTTGTCTTTCTTTATTTCTTTCTTGTTTTCTTTTTCTTTCTTTCTTGCTTTCATTCTTTCTTGCTTGCTACATTATACCAAATTCCCATTGTTATTTGAGCAGTTGCTATGGTGTTCGGGATTTGGGTTTCTTTAGGCTGCAGTGTGAACGAAGCCAGAGGTTCAGGTAACGGAGAGCCGATCCTGATTTATTATGAGTGAAAAATTTTCATGTCATCTTCAAATGTTTAGTTCAGTCAAATGATCTGAAAGCAACAGACATTTGTTGTCTTTATGAAACTTTATCCTGTTTTATCAGCTGATTTAACAGAATATTGTCTCTACTCTAAAGCAGCAGCAGCAGTTTGAGATTGTTTTGAGCCATGAAGCCCCTTCCAGTCCTGTTAACGTTGCCAGACTTTCCACCATTGATTAATCACCCTTTTTTCTGCTTCCTGTAGATTCAGTCTTTTAAAAACTAGAGTTCACTTGCTCTGCTGATTGCAAACATTTGTGCAAACTTCTTTTTACTGCAAACTGCTGTGACTGATTCTGATTTTATCTGTTTTTGTTCAGATTTAATCTTTAATTTTAAAGCTCTGTGGTTCTCTGCTGTTTTAACCCCCAGAACCCTTTGCTTCTCTCTCTGCACAGTGGAGCAGGAGCGAAACCTCCTGCAGGTTCGTCCTTACTGGAAGGAGTTTCGCTTCGACCTCACCCCCCTCCCTAAGGGAGAGACGGTGACGGCTGCAGAGTTTCGGATCTACAAGACGCTGACTGTCGGCCAGAGGGCCAATCGAACCTTGCACATCTCTGTTTATGAGATCAAAAGGGAAAACAGGAACAGGTTAGTCCTCCGACTCTCAACCAGACTGAGTTTCATGTCTCCTCAGGCTCTGGAGGTTTCTTTGTATTTTGGTTAAATTGATGCCTTTAAAAACAAAAAAACCTGATTGTTTTTCTTCTAAATAAATCGGTTCTTTTCTACAGTTAAGTTTTCATCATTTTTAAATACAAATTACAAAACATATGCAGTTTATTCCTGCTGATGTTTGATTGCAACTAGCACCATCATGAGGAGAATAGTGGTTATTGCAACATTTATTCCCTGATTGAATAATTAACCTAATTAAAAGCTTTGGTTTTGGATTATTTAAAAGTCAGTGAGTTTAGATTTTAAACAGATTTAATAATATATATATATGTTATTTTTATTATTATTATTTATGAATTTTCTGCTGCTGCAAAGGCTAAAGATTTTCACATTTGTCAGTTTGATAAACTTGTATTTTAAACAAAAACATTTTATTAAGATCTTTAATCTTCATATTAAACTAGATAAGAATGTGAAATATTTAACTGTTTATGTTGTCATGGTTGCTTTAAAGTTTCTAACTTTATGAAATAAAAAAAGATGCACTGGAATATTTTATATGGAGAGCTTTTTCCTACAAAGAGAAATTATTATAATCCATTAAATCAATAAAATGTACAGATGAAATAAAACAAAATCCACAGTATTATAAAAGGCAAGGCAAGGCGAATTTATTTGTAGCACAATTCAGTACAAAGACAATGCAGTGCTTTACATGATTAAAATACAGGAAGATAAAACAGAATCAAAGCAAGTAAAAAAAAATGCAGAAACAAAAAAGAATATTAAAAACAGTTGGACTAAAGAAAATATGTTTTAGTTGAACTGTTTAACTAGAACAGTGGAAGGCAATCCTAAACAAAAGTGTTTTTAGTTTTGATTTTAAGGAACTCAGGCTTTCCGCACTTTTACAGTTTTCTGGAAGTTTGTTCCAGATAAGTGGAGCATAGGGACTAAATGCTACTTCTCCATGTAATTTTGTGATTTTTTTTTTGTCGTTTATTGATTTTACTTTTACTTTTGTATTATTTTTTATAAGTTTAAAGATTTATTACAAGACATGCAGTTTTTATATGGTTAAATTTAAAATCACTTATTGATTTAAGATGTATTTATTATTGAATTAACATTTCCAGCTAATTTTATAACTTTTTTGTTCTTAGATTCGAATCAGAGCGTGAAGTTTTCTCTGTTGTTTAGAAATTCACTCAAGGTTCAGATTCGTACCTCGTTGCTGAGAACAAGCAAATGTTCACTAAGTTTGGTTTTAACAGCAGCTGAATAATTGAAGTTTGTAAAAAAAACAAACAACCATAATAAAACTTTAAACACTGGTTAGAAGTTGGTTTGATGAAGGGGTCTTTTGCAAACGCTACCAGGATTTAGCAAATTGGCTAATTAACTAATTGCTCTGATAGTGAGCAGAAGCGACCGGTCAGACTGCAGTTAGCTGACGGTCTAGATGCCCTTTCACTGGTGCTGTTTTATGGTGGCAGAGTCACTGCTTAAAGGGGAACACTGTTTTTTTTTTTTACTTTGGGCCCTTGATTTTACGTTATTACATCAAGTTACTCACCCATATTAGTTTTGTGTCATTTGGAGCCGTTCTGAAGATATTCCTAACGAGTTGAAGGCACAAAATGAACTGTTCATCATTTATTCTTTATGGTACGCCAGCATTCATAACATGTAGGAGAATCACTGTCCCCCAGACATCCGCGGTTATATTTTTAATATTTATATTTTTTTAAAACAAAACGGAGAGTGTATGACATCATCTGCGCGCGCCGGCTACCATTTATTCCTCCTGTCCTCTGAACTGCTTCTAGTTTCCCTCACATGCCTGGAAGATCTAGAGCTGCTACCACAGATGATCTCGCTCTCCAAATGGAATTGAACGATTAGAGCGTAGCCGCCTGTGGCCCGGGCTGCCTGTCACGACTCCAGTCCGGCGCACAGATGACGTCATACACGCGCCGCTTTGTTTTAAAAAATTATAAATATCTTGGTACTCCCCACTTTCACTGTAAAAATGACCATAACAATGTAATTCGTACATGTATCAGGGTTTCCGTGGGTCATTTTACTCTACAGCAATAACAAAACTAAATGCAACCAAAAATAACCATTAATCATCATGAATAATGTGCGAGAGAATGTACTATTCTTATTTATTAGTTGTTTTGTATCAGTTATTTGTTATTTATTATTGTATGTAAATGGTGGGACAGTGATTTTTGTTTTTAAGCATATGCGCTGATTGATCTAGCCTCGTGAGACCATCCTGATCTCGCGAGCTTTCAAGGTTTCACTCGCTAATCAGTCTGGAGACTCTCCGTTAAAGAAAATTTGGAGCCGTTCACCAAACGAACGTCCAATCAGCGTTGGCTTTGAGGCGGGTTGAGGTGTGACGCGACGAGAAGCGCTACAGTTCAGTCTAAAGAACATGGCGGCTTCAGCCGATGAAACTAGCGTTAGCGTGGCTATCGAGCAAGTTTTATCGGAATTAGAGTATTAGAGTCGGAATTCTTCACTGAAAGAAGAGCAAAACACTGATCTGGAGGCTTTTCTCAGAGGAGAAGATGTTTTTGCTCTTCTCCCGACTGGTTTCACCAAGAGTTTGATCTATCAATTGGCTCCTCTTCGTCGTCGCTCTGTTAGTACGTCATATGCTTCGTTGATCTGATTGGTTTATTTGGCCCGTCTATCACCAACATAGGCCAATCAGCTAACCAGTATTTTCACCCATAATCGAAATCACCCATTTCCAGATGGATATGCGGAGCAAATTTTTTTTCCATGGATCAACCAGAGTTCTATGGGATGTTTTAGAACGTGTCAAATTTCTCCATAACCCAACTGCTGGGCTCTTGGTCCTCTGATTTAACCTGATTTATCCTGAGATTAAATCACAAAGCTGGACTAACTGGATCTCTTCTACAGTTAAACAATTTTATTTAGGGTCTTCAGGGTTAAAGGTGTTTCAACAGGTCACCCGTTTAAGAATATTGTGATAATTGATGACTCAATTATTTCTTTCCTAATTTTGTTTTGTCCCAAAGAAATCTCAGTAAATTTGTCAAAGTCTGTAGCTCAGATTGAATTGTTAAAACCTCTTCTAATTCATGAGAACCTTAAGGTCCAAGGTTCCAACTTTTTTTATTTTATAGGTGCAAATAGTAAAAGTGAATAAATGATAAATCAATGAGTTGCTTTGACCAAACAAAATTTCGTTTTATGCACACTGTGTGTAGAAAATGAACGTAAAAGTTTTCTAAGTCTAATGATGTTTCCCTGGTTCTGTTCCTGCAGAGAGCCGGAGCTGGTGCTGCTGGACATGCAGTCGGTTCCTGCGGGACAGGAGGGTTGGCTGGCGTTTGATGTCACCTCTGCCTCCAACCACTGGCTGCTTCAGCCTCGCAGCAACCTGGGCATCCGTCTCTACGTAGAAACGGAGGACGGTGAGAGCGCTGCCGGGCTGCCACAGCTCAGACTATTAGGTTTATTTTGTCCTTACAAACGTCTCCCCCCCCCCCCCCCCCCCCCCCCCCCCCCCTTAGATCGCTCCCTGTCTGCGAGCTGGATCGGGTTGGTGGGTCGCAGAGGCCCTCGCTCCAAGCAGCCCTTTATGGTGACCTTCTTCAGGGAGAGCCAGATCCCCTGTCGGCCGCCGCGAGCCGTCAGGCCCCATCAGAGGAGGAAGAAAACCAAATATGATCTCCCAATCCCCACCATCCACGGTTAGTGAAGCTAACGCACTGTCAGACCAACCAAAGACTTTATCTGTTCACAACCTTCCTTAGATTAGATCAGAGTTTAGCTTGAAAAACACAGAAAATTATTAAATTAAATCCTCAATCTTTTGACTTTGATTAATGGGCATTTTAAAAATGTCTTATTTTCAGGTCGTGGTTCGGTGAGCAAAGGGCAGCCCTGCAAAAAACACGAGCTCTACGTCAGCTTCGGTGACTTGGGCTGGAAGGTAAACTGGTTCCAGATTTCTGTTTCTAGATCTAAGCAGCTAATTGGTTTTAAAGTCGTAGGGAAGTCAGATAATTCTGGATTAAATATATTCTTTATCAGACGATACTGTCCCAAAATTTAGAAAATTTCTATTTAAAAAAAAAAATCCTGTCTTAATCTGTGTTGTTTTTTTCCCCGTTATTTTCTGCAGGCCAGTTAGTTATACGTCAGCCTGAACACCTAAATTTGCCCAGTCATATATCAACAGTCACCTGTCAATCAAATTTTTTTAGTCATTGCTTCTCAATTCATATGTTGCAGCTAATATAGTTGAAATAAAAATCATTTCCTTTCCATTGGGTTCCGTCCCAGTCTTCACGGGGATGGACGTCTGTGTCTTCGGCAGGCGTAGGCCATTTTTAAAAACCGAGGAACAACTACGATGGACAACTAGAAAGGTTAATCAGTGTTTTTGCCAACTCCATTAACGTAACCAGTTCCTCTTCGACGTCTAGCAACTCCCGTGATATTTTGCAGATGCGCCATTGTTGTTCTGGAAGATAAACACTTGTGACCATCAGCCAAAGTTCTAGCGAGTTCTCGAATAGGCCCCCCCCTAGCGCTTTGATGGGAAACTGCTGTGCGTCTCTACAAATTCCAGACCAACGGTGCAGAAGAATACCAGACCCAAGCGACATTTGATGTGTGCGGTTGCATAAGTATAATCTGCCCTTAAGTCCCCGCTTTACTCCTCTAAATAAAACATATATGATGGAGGAGATTCATCCATGAACTTCGACACTAAACTCTCCTCCTCTTGCATGTTTCTGCTGTCCATAGCGTTCCTTGACAGCGTTCCTTGACATTGGGACCAAGTGCTACTTGGTCCCAATGTAATTTCCCATTGGAATACTAATAGCACTAAATTGCTAACTGGTTAGCAAGATGCTTCTGAGAAACCGGCCACAATCGACCATTGAAATATAAAAAAAAAATATATATATATATATATTATCTCCATTTCCATTACGTTTATCCCTGCTGGGGTTGCAAGGAGTGCCGGTGCCTATCTCCAGTTGGCGAGAGGCAGGGTACACCCTGGACAGGTCGTCACAAACGACCAATCAAATTCCCTTTATTCACTCATGTGTAAAGTTGTGCACCAAAGTGTTGGAACGGCCATTTCCCTACTACTTTAAAGAAGTCAAAAAAGCAGAATCGGTGATGGTTCCAGGTCATTCGACTGTGCAAACACCATGACGCCTGGAGAGGCCGTGCTTATTTTGTCTGTAGGTCTGCTGTATCGGTTCCAGTCTTCTAGAGCTGCTATCCTGCAGCACTTAAATGCACCCTGCTTAATCGCTCCTGGAAACATGGATCCTCTTCATCAGGAGAGGTCTGTGTATTCTGGTCTGTTGGAGCAGAGATGCATCTAAACGCTGCAGAACTGAAGCTGAACCAATTTAGACTTTATAAGAAGTTTAAAAAACAATCTATTAGATAATAACTACAGAACCAATGAGCAGACTGAAAACTTTCAGGAAGCTAAAACCCTGTGTTAAGCTCTGATGCTAGGACCAGGTCATTCATTTATGATCAGAAATATTCAATATTCCTGATCTTTGTTGGAAGAAACAAGAGAGCAGTTACCCTGAATCTGGACTTATTGTTCTCAGTGCAAGAAATAAGAGAAAAGATGAAAACAAATAAGAATGACTTATTGTATTTTAGTTTTTGATTTATTTCCTAACTAACCACTAAAATCAACAGAAATATTGAGTCAGAATTACTATTTTATTATTAAATCCTCTATTTAAGGTAGCAGCAAAACAAATGTTTTCTTTATATAAAACACCCCCACCTCCTAAATTGGACAAAAAAGTAAAAGCTTCATAGATCTGTATAAAATCGAAGACACTGAAGTTTAGATAAGGAAAGTTTGGGTGGGTAAGGATGCTAAAAATAGGGCACCAAGCAGTGTTAGTTTGGAGAACATATTTTTATTACTTAGTTTTATCTTTGTAATATTGTCAAAATATAGTAATTGAATCTAAAAATTATGAAACTCTTGAACTGTGTCCCAGAGGTTTAAGGGTTTTTCATTTTTCCTCGGTCCTATTATACTCAGAGGATGCCTCTAATGTCTTTAAATCTTTCAATTAGAAAAAAACGAATAATTACAGAAACATTTTAGTTGATAAAATTAAAACCTGGAACTTATTTATTTTTCTTGTAAATTATAAACTAAGTTCCAGAGTTTCTCAGAATGTTTATTTATATTGTAGTTTTGGTGTTATTAACTTGTTCCATGGATAACGGCTGGTCCTAAAGTAACGGTTCTATTCTGAACAGGACTGGGTTCTAGCTCCGAACGGATACTCTGCGTATTACTGCGACGGCGAGTGCATTCATCCGATGGGCGCCTGCATGAATGCAACAAACCACGCCATCATCCAGCAAGTGGTCAGTAAATCAAACCATAAGTTTTCTTATTAATGAGGTTCAGCTACAGATCACTTGTTTGCTTTGGTTTCGCTTTTTGTCGTTTCCGATCCATCGAACAAATTTCAGTTAAATTTCAATTCATGGATCAATGGAGAAACGTTTTCAAAATCAGATCAAACTACTTATGATAGAAAACTGAACTTATATATATTGCCTGAGCTGTGCTTATATTATTATTATTAGTGGAGGAACATAATTAAAAAAGATTTTAGCTTACTAATCAAAAGGCTTCTCATTAATTTTGCACCATGTTCTTGCAGACAAGATGTTAGATTTCACACAAATAAAAATGAACCAGTCAAAAGTTTAGACATAACCTCGTCATTCTATGGCTTTTCCTTGTTTGTAGTTCTTTTATTATAGATAGGTCACTAGATTTTATCTTTTGATTTTGCATAAAGAATTAAGATTTATGGAGAAAAAAAAACTGGAGATAGAATCTATAGATAAGTATATTTATAAATTTGTACTTGTTTTACTTTTGTCATGTATGTGTATATGCATATACAAATACATGCGTATACACATACATGCATGTGTATACGCATGTATGTGTATATATATGTGTGTATATATATGTATGTGTGTATATGCATATACACACATACATACATATATATACACACATATATATACACATGCATGTATGTGTATACGCATGTATGGGTGTATTTGCATATACGTACATGTATTTACCTGGATGGTAAATATTTTACAACTGAGGTGATGCAGTTTATTCCACAGTAATGTCACCGTTTTGTGGAAACAATCATCTATTTAGTATTTGCAGCTTCTTTTTCTTCTAAAACTTCAGCCTGTTGTCTGTTCATGCAGGTCCACCTCATAAAGCCCGATGAGGTCCCCTCAGCCTGCTGCGCTCCCAAGAAGCTCAGCTCCATTTCTGTCCTTTTCTACGACGACAAAAACAACGTGATCCTGAAGAAGCATCGCAACATGGTGGTGAAGACCTGCGGGTGTCTATGAGAGGAAGCTGATGCTGGTCCACCAGTTTAAACTGGACTTGAACTCAACATCCCTGATGAGGCAGGTCAGCGGAGTGATTCAGACAATCTGAGCAGGTTGAACGCTTCTGCATAGATTTAACCCTGCTGCTTGGCTTTGTATCTATATTTAAAACAGATTTAGTTTTCTATAAGACTGTAAAAATTTTACATTTCTGTACAGAACCTGATTTGCAAGAGTTAAATGGGCTGACATTAAGTATTTGAAGCAGGAGTCTCCCTTTAGATCCTGCTGCAATGCGGCTGAATCAAAAGAACAGCTCATTATCAGGCCTTTGGCAACACTTCATGGCTGAAAGTCATTTAAAGTTGTGTTGGAGCAGGGATGCAGGTAGGAGGGCCCTGCTTTAAATGATTGTTGGCTTTTAGTGACATCAGATGGACCAAATTCTACATCAGCTCAGTTGGACTGATCCAGACGCTGCTAGATTATATTGGGACGGGTCCATTTTAATCCACAGGCCTGTTCTGGAAAAAAGGCAAATGATACTTCCTGGTTTGATGCCTCAATTGTGAAGTTAACGTATGAAAAGAAATCCAATTAAATATATTGATTGCTTTATTGAAAATGTAAAAAAAAAGGTACAATGAAAACATTTTTTTTTTATTGCTGCGGCTACGTTCACACAGCACCCTGAAGTGACCCAAATCTGATTTTTTTCTGCTCAATGCAACCTGTATATGATCTTTTACACACAGAAGTGGGAAGAAACAGACAAATGCATTCCAGCCTCTACTGCACATGCGGAAATGTTAACGAACCTGCAAAAGAAATTAGAATTGAGCATTAAGGCCTGCTGTGTGAACGTAGCCTAATTTATCTCCGTTCTTAGGGATGCGGTTTCCTCAAGGAAGAGTAACTAAAATATTGTTTTGTGATTCTGTTTGTGCATCTGTGAAGTTTATTTTCAGCAGCTGGAAACGTTAAAAACCGTCTAAAAGCCACATTTTCAAATCTTCAGGTTCAACATCACAACATTGGGCTAGCTGGTCTTTTATTTTTTTTTTTCCCGCTGGGGTTGTCCACCTTCAATCTGGGACACAAAGGTAGTTACACATAATAAATATAAGATTTAAAACAGGGAGGGGCGGGGCTTGCTGGTGTCTTTCTGCCCGGTCCATATCTACATTTCCTCCACTGTCTAGTCCCGTGGTGGTTAGTATCCTTCAGGCGACGCAGTAATTGGTCCGCGGTCGTTGTGAATCTGAAAGGAAAGGTTAAGGAATTTATTACTTTTTGATATGACAGTTAAAAGGAAAAAAAAAGTTGTGAATGTGTCCTCTGATAAACTCTCTTACATCAACCTTGCTCTATGGGCAGAATTGAACTTAAATCTGAAGATACATTTAGTCTATTTCAGTCATTTTGTAGCAGAGTAAACAAACACAGATTCACTGAGTCGAAGTATGGTTTTACAAACATTTCAAGGATCCAATTTGGTAGATTTCATGTCAATTGATAATGTATGAGAATAAAGTGGACTAACATTTATGGTACCTGCAGCTATTAGCTAAATTTGGACATTTCCTGATCAGAGTCCATGTCTTCCTCCCTTTCAATAAGTTTAATCCAACGCAAATCTGTGTTTGACTCCTCTGTGACTTGAAGTGGAAATGGAACCAGACTAACTTCATTTACAAGATTGTTTTACTATTAAAAATATAGAAGTAAAATATTTAGCACAACTTTTTTGACAAGGACGCCACCATGTTGCAGGACTCGTCATGGACTAAAATTAAAGGGGAACGCCGTATTTTTTACATTCGCTCCTTGATTTATGTTATTCGATCTTGTTCTACTCACTCATGAGTTTTGTGTCATTTGGAGCCGTTCTGAATATATCCTGTTAGGTTATATCCAAGTAACGTCTTCCTATGGGCAACGACTTGAAGGCACAAACTAAACTGTTCATTTATTCTTTATACACCAGCATTCATAACATGTAGGCCAATCACTGTCCCCCAGACATCCCTGGTTAGATTCTTTATATTTTTTAAAAAGAAAGCAGCGCGTGTATGACTATATCCTGTCCGCTGAACTGCTGCTAGTTTTCCTCACATGCCTGGAAGATGTCTAGTGCTGCTACCACAGATAATCTCGCTCTCCAAATGGAATTAAACGATTCAGATTAGCTAGAATGAATAGAAGGGGTAGAGCGTAGCCGCCTGTTACGACTCCATGACGTCATATACACTGCTGCTTTGTTTTTAAAACATAAATATAACAGTGGATGTCAGTGATTGGCCTACATGTTCTGTATGCTGGTGTACCATAAAGAATAAATTATGAACAGTTTAGTTTGTGCCTTCAAGTCGTTGCCCATAGGAAGACGTTACTTGGATATAACCTAACGGAATATCTTTAGAACAGCTCAAAATGACACAAGACTCATATGAGTGAATAGAACAACGTAAATCAAGGAGCGAATGTAAAAAAAAAAAAAATGGCATTCCCCTTTAATTTTTGGAATTTGACTTTTTAAGGTACATTAACTAAGGCATATATGGCGGTGCCCTTGGCAGAAATGTGTCAAGAAATGCTACACTAATACGTTTATAGATTTCAGGTTTTGTGGATGTCCGACACAAACACTGAAAATGCTTTTAGACAAAGTGAAATTTTTATGCAATAAGATGAATTTTAAAGCACATTCATTCAGCTTCAATTTAATATTTAAATCGCAATCAAAGTAATTTTCTGTCCACATGGATCACATACTGTTCTAATAATCTTTAGGCATTGTTGATTGAACCCACAATGAATTGCTTCCCACAAGCATCCATGGCAGTGATATAGCATATACTAGGGTTGTCAAAATAAATACATGCATCAATTTGAAAATATGAAGCTACTCATTTGTGTCTAAATTAATTTCTCACAGACCCCCCTCCCTGGGCCATGATAAAGCTGGAAGTTTGAAATCTAGATTCTAACAGGTGCTACATGCTAAGCTAATGCTTTAACACCTACAGAGTTGAATATAACCATTTCAGATAACATTTGGTCCAAATGATTGTAAAAACTATACTGCATTGCTAGCAATGTTTCACTGACTTAACACCAACACTTAAGCACATTTAAACTCTGTAAAACAAGTTGAGTGAATTTTAAACACGCTTTTTTTTTGTCTTTGCACAGAATCTCTAACGACTGGGTTCAATTAGTTACAGTTTTGAACCACCTGCAGTTTTGATCAGCAAAAGGCTGCGATTATAAACAAAGCAGTGCACCTCCCTTCACTCCTGTTTAGTTCTAAAGCTACTGGAGGCTAACTTAGCTAATAAAAAAAAGGTTATGATGGAGCGAGACTGAAGCTAACTAACAATAAGAGCAGAAAAAAAAGCATCAGACCCTGTTGCTGCAGTTCATCACTGAAAAAAATTAGACAAAATGACAAGGAAGAAATGATAAAGAGCTGCTGTTGAACTCCTTTGCTTGAACCAGATAATCTGTAAATGTATTCGTATAAACTAATTTTTTATTTGTACCTCAGTAAAATGTTACTGCATTTATCAAACTGACAAGAAAATGGAGAACATTGATTTATTACGGAATGAATGTCTAATCGATTATTGAAATAACTGCTTTGGTAATCTAACAGTTACATTAAAGGCACACTATGCAACATTTTTCAGTTAATTAATGTGTTCCACTTTTACTTTCGCCCTCTGGGGGGAGCCTCGCTGGAAAATCAACACCGGTTGCATAGTGTACCTTTAAAGTGGCTGAAAGAATAACCTTCAAACAGCAAATAAACACTTTTAAACAAAATATGAGTAAAATATAATTGGTTTTGCAATTAATCAAAATGCAAGTATTTTTTTTCTATATTCTTAATATTTAATTTGAAGTGTTATAATACTAAAAGTATCCCTGTAGTCTAAAATAAATAAATGGATTATTTGATTACTAAATAAAAGAGGTGCAGCTGTACAATAATCATAGGCAAATGTATTGGAATTAACTGAACAAACGGTAACGGACAAAATAGTGGTGCAACGGATCATTAATGGTCCGTGATCCTTTTGGATTTCTATCCAGGTTTTTTTTTACGCAACAGCGGATTGGTCAACCATTCTAAATAAAAGAGACGTGTTTAAGTGAAGATTGCCTGATTAATCCAGTCAAGTAAAGCAGAGTGGCGGAGAAAGAGAGGAGCGTGAAGAAAAAAAAAAAACACCTGCATCCTTTAGGTTGCATGTATGGGAGCATCATGGCTTCCCTGTAAAATACGATGTTGGAGGAAGGGTGGTGGGCAAACCAACGGCTTTATAGGGCACTATATAGTGGTTAGGGGTTGAAAAAGTAGTCGACTCGAAATTTCCCACAGTGCACCACGAAAAGTAGTGATCATCCGTGGTCAAGACAAGACAAGCAAATATATCCCCGAGAGCTTTGCGAGGAGAGCTCTCCTCGCAAAGCATCATGGGATTTGTTAAAGATGGCGCAGGGAGACGGAGTTATGTGACCAACGGGGAGCGAAAAGTAGTGATCATCTGTCCGAATGGTCAGTTAACTGAGGTCACTATAAAGTCTATCAGAGATGGCAAAAGTACTCACTTTCCGTACTTGAGTTAAAAAATACTCTGGTAAAAGTGGAAGTACTGATTAAACTTCTTTACTCAAGTAAAAGTAACAAAGTACAGGCTTGTAAATTTACTTAGAGTATAAAGTAAAAGTAGAAACCACTTTTTTCATGCCGTTGCCTACATTTTAAATGGATGTCTGCCAATAGGACTAGATCTACGTTGTGGTCATTTTCCATCATCTCGTCGTCCATGCTACTATGCTAACGCCACTGCCACCAAGCTGCAATGATTTGCCGCCAATTAATACCGCCGAATCTGTCGATTCATCTTGTAGTGGTGCGTCAAATGCAACGTAGATTCCCATCCAATTAGATTGAATTTGGTATTGATGATGTGAAAAATAATAACGGTAACTCCATTGAAATGATTCAAAACTAAAGTAAAGAGCCAATTTTTTAAAATGTAAGGAGTAGAAGTAAAAAGTCGCCATAAAAATAAGTAGTAAAGTAAAAATATCAGAAAAATCTACTTGAGTACAGTAACGAAGTATTTGTACTTCGTTACTTCCCATCTCTGAAGTCTATATAGTAAAAGAGGAATCTAGGAGTTAGGGCGGACAATCGGACGCAGCCAATGACGGTATGTGGGCGCTGCAGCACGAAAAAGCCGTATGACCACTTAGCAATGCTCCATTTAAACAGTCTTTAGTGACAGAATCCAGCGTTTATACAGGAATGATCAACAACTCCAATTTAATGTTTTTAATGCTCTTTTAAATAATTTTAATGCCATCCACAAGTACCCAGGATATATAGTCTTTTTTATTTTGGTGATCCGAAAAACTGTCCAATCCATGACTCAAAACCGCGACACAATCCAAACCGTGAGTTTTGTGATCTGTTGCACCACTAATACGCAATATTATCAGTGCTGTCGCTGTTATCTGGTCTACTGTTTAAAACAACAAAGTTACGCCATTATTTATATTAAAGGAGAACTGAAAATATATAACATAATTAGATAGGAATATATCAATTATAAAATTAACTTTGTTAAAATTATTCCACCAATTTATTTATTTATTGTTTTAGAATTAAATTACACTTGTTTTTAACATAATCACCTACATATGAATTTATTGACCCCAAAGGGAAATTTAAATGTTTAAAATTTTTTAACTTGATAAAAGCAACCTTTAATTGTTTTGTCATTTATTTTTTAACAGTTACTGTTTTTAATTGTATTTCTGTTTATGTCTTTCCTCCAGTGACTTAAGACACTAATAAAATAATTGAAGTACTCTTTGTCATATTGTATTTTTTGTGTGGATTTTAACCAGAAATAACCCTGCTTTGAATAAAATGATGCTGTGGTATAAAGTTTTACATTTTATAAACATGACAACCCTAATATACACTTTTTCCCCAAGTCTAACAAGAGACATGTTTTGCTTCGCATGTCATGTAAAAACTACTACAGTAAACAAATAAAAGTTTGCCGTTTTAAATCAGGCTGTAATGAGTTGATGCTTCAGACGACTCACCCAGGTTCGGGTTTTTCCTTTATGCCTGGACGTCGGCCAGCTCAGGCGGCATGGGGGACTTGGGATGTTTACTCTCAAAGTGCTGCTTGAAGGTTTTAGGGTCTGGCATCTGCGTCTGAAAACAAAACAAAGAGGAAGATGAGGAGCATTATAATGATGATGGGAACCAGAACAGACGTGTGGCTCACAGAGAGAAGGAACCATCCGGAAACCAGAAGGTTTCAGCTCAAATGCATCCAAGATAAGTTAATTAAAAGAGATATTCTTTTATATAAAAAGGCAAAGTTTTGTCAAAATCATTTTAAAGAAATTTTAAAGTTTCCATCTGATGAGTTAGAGGAAGTTGTTGGTACTAACCCGACAGACGGGGCAGGTGTGGACCAGTGCTGCCTTGGCGGCTGTTTTCTGGTCGGCACCATGAGACTTCTTCTTCTCTGCCGCCTTCTTGGCGTTCTTCTGCTGGGACTGGATCTTCTGCTGCCCTCGAGCCATGGCTCTCAGCTTCAACCTGCAGGAGGAGGGGCAAAGGTTTCAGAGGCGGCCATTTTCCAATACAGTCTTTATAGAAAGGGCTAGACCCTTTTCCAGAACCTAAACTTGCTTTAATCTTTAGCTCTGAGACATTCTCAGACAAAACAGCAGTTTAATTTCTGATGGTAAAAAAAGGAGCTGAACTAAAAGCAGCATAGCTGTCGGCCATTTTTGCTTTAAGCTGCATGAAAAATGGGAGCCTGCAGGCGACGTATTGAATCCCAACCAAGGGTCAAACCTCTAAAAGTAAACCTTAATCTACACAGATGACCTCAACAGCAATTATAAATAATTTATCCTATTAGTAAACACTAAACTGCATAAATAAAGTAATATAATCAAAACCGTGGAGAAAAAGGCTGTGATGATGAAGAGTAAAGAACCTGGATTACCTCTAATTAACTTTAGCTCAGATCAAGATTAATTTACAGGGCTCGATGTTAACCATCACCTGGGGCAAGTATTTTTTATTGTTGGGAGAGAACAAATTTCATTGCATTTTCCCGCCGTGCAAGTGCAATGATCGCAAAAAAATAAATAAATTTATCAATCAAAATTACTTTAAAATCACTGACATTCAATGAAAACGACCCAGAAGCGTTGCCGGCGCCATTTTTGTAGTTTTGTACACATTCTCGCGTGATTTTCAGCCAGTTGGCGGGATTTTTGGGAATTGATGTGAATCCGACACATTTTTTTGAGTTAGCAGACTACAAAACAACCACAAGGCAAAAAAAAAATGTATGTACAGTAACACACCCACCATCTATTTTACCCTCTACCCATTTCACCCACCACCCAGATAACCCTAGATTAAAAATCATCGTTCAGGGATTAGGAAAATTAGCATAATGTATGCCATGCGCACAGTGTAAATATGATTATCATGTGGCAGTCTTCTGTACAGGTCATACATTAAAAAAATTTCATAAAATTTTTTTCTCTTAGACATTGGAGAGGTGCATTTAAATGTTATAGAGCTAAACATGTTAGATTGGTGACCTGTTATGTTATTATTGTCTTGTTGCTGCATTTATTTTGTCAGGGAATTCTGAAATGATGTCAGACTGTGGAAACCCTGAATAAAATAACTATGTATAATGATTCTCTTGAAAAGTCACATTATATTAATAGTATTATCCTGTATAAATATACCATGACTCTAAAATAAAAGTTTTTCATTTGTGACATTGACTTCTGTCTTGTGATTTATCTTAAGTTTTTAACCCTTTCAAGTTTTTTTTATAGATTTTATAACATTACAATTTATATTTTTCCCAGCACACAACAGTTTAAAGCAAAGTTTAGTTTGAAAAGAATGTGCAGGAAGGATTGAAAAGCATGTTAACACGGTAATGTAGGCTTGAGTTCATTATCTGACGCATGCAGATACATACCAGGAACCTGGAAGCTTAAAAAATACTGAATTACAAAAAAACATTTAAAAAACAAACATGTTTCATTGATATATATATACAAAAATGAATATTAGGAACTATATTTATCAAACATTATACTGGGCAAGTAAAAAAATGTTTCTGGGCAAATGAAACGTGAAAGTCACTTGCCCAAAGGGCAAGTGGTAAAAACCCTTAACATCAAGCCCTGATTTAGATATGGACAACAAAAAAAAAAACATTTAATGTTTTTTTTTATGTCAGTAGTCAACATGGTAATCAAATAAACTCAGTGTTAATGAAGTCGGGGAAAAAATAAATATCTTTATTTTTCTGGCAGCACAAACTAAACTGTTACAAAATAAGCAGACAATTCAAAACTAAATTTATCTTCCCTCATTTCAAAAAAACAAAACCATGTTTCTTAACTTGCAGGTTTCCAATTGATATACATTTTAGTTCCGAATATTTAAGAACTAGTTTGATTGAAATAGAGTTACATCTAAAGGAAATATTTCAGTAACCTGACTCAAGATAGGGTTAAGATTTAAGGCCATTACACACAGGGGTGTTTAGTGATTTTTAAATTTTATTTCAGTTTAGTATGGGAAAAGAGTCAGAATTCTGACTTTAATCTCAGAATTCTGACATTTTTTTATTGTCGGAATTCTGAGAAAAAAAGTCGGAATTCTCACTTTTTCCCCATACTAAACTGAAATAAAATTTAAAAATTAGTTAATAGTTTTTTTCCCCAGTGGCCCTAATCCTCTTCCGTAGTTTAGAGTGCTAGTGATGGTTTATTGGACAAATGCAAAAATTAGAACACAGACTACCATAAAAAAAAATCAGAAAATGAAAATATGTTCCTTTAAAGTATGGTTAAAACTTCTGAATAGTCAAAACCTTGGAGATTAGCGACCGACTCTATGGGAATTGAAAGGGGAAGAATCAATGATTGAATACAGAGTGAATCGGTGCCGAATCCTTGTAAAAAAATCTAATCAGCGTTTGTGTAAAGCTCATCAGCTCAGCAAGAAGTGCTCCAATATTTCCCGGCACTACTAACTTTCAACCTGAAAACCGGGCCATTCCTATGAGGAAAAAAATGGCTCCAAACTCACGACAGACTGTGGAAAACATCACATCAGACCTCAAGAAATATCACCAGACGGTTGGACCTTTAATTCCAAGATAAATGCAAAATTCACTTTGACCGAAGAGGATGATCTTGGTCCACTGGGCGACGGTTGGTTCCTTTATTCCCCAAGGCCCAGCTGAGATTATTCTGACATAAAATATGGACTCAAGCTGCAGTTGAAGCTGCCATTAAATGACCCCGCCCACAATCCATTCAATAATGTCGCTTTTACTCCTTTTTCAAACATATTTTTTCCTTCCACTTAAAGGAATAGTACACCCAAAACATGATTAGCCTTCATTTTCTACTCACCCCCATGCTGAGCAACACTCTGGAGTACTTTTTTGATATCTCAAATGCATCTGGAGATCTGGGAGGCTTCTTGCTGTCTGCTGACATTCAAATAATGGAGGTCTATGGCGCCCGAGACAGAAAGGTCCATAAAAGTCCACAAAAAACGTGTCAATATTCCTCCATACTGCTCGTCCAATGTATTCCAAGTGTCCTGAGTGGGTAGCGTCCAGAATTTACTCGAAACGAAGTCATTTAGAATGTTTTTAGAGCATAAACAGTAGTGTATAGTATTTCCTGAAAGAGCGCGCCAGCGCGTTCAGGACGCTACGGAAGCCGGCAGACCAAACCAGATGAAAGTGCGCATTCAGCGTCTGCTCTGCTGATAATGCAAGCGTAGAAGAAGAAATGTGCTGTTTACCTGTGCAAAGAAAGAAACAACGAAAGAAAAATGTCTGAGGACTTCAGTGTTGAGGAAGAACATGAGTTCTTTGCCGAGCTGAATGCGCACTTGCATCTGGTTTGGTCTGCCGCGGTTTCCGTAGACTCGTGAACGCGCTTTTAGGAAATCCTATACACTACTGTTTATGCTCTAAAAACATTCTAAATGACTTCGTTTCGAGTAAATTCTGGACGCTACCCACTCAGGACACTTGGAATACATTGGACGAGCAGTATGGAGGAATATTGACACGTTTTTTGTGGACTTTTATGGACCTTTCTGCCTCGGGCACCATAGACCTCCATTATTTGAATGTCAGCAGACAGCAAGAAGCCTCCCAGATCTCCAGATGCATTTGAGATATCAGAAAAGTACTCCAGAGTGTTGTTCAGCATGGGGGTGAGTAGAAAATGAAGGCTAATCATATTTTGGGTGTACTATTCCTTTAACTTTCCGTATGATACAGCCTTTTAATCTTTAATTTGAGTTTTATCAGAGATTAGACAACATAACATTTAGCTATAGATGAACATATGATAAACGTTTCTATATTCATTTTAAAAACATTGGTTCAATGTAATAATTTTATTAGCTGAAGCTGTAATTATCAAAGAAGTATTGACTGTTTGAATCGATTGGAATATCAGAAGACTTTCAAAGTATATAAATGCTGAAAATGTAAATATTTTCAAATTCCGTTTTTAAGAGGAAATTTCTTAATTTAATTTGACTTTTTATTACAAAAGCCGCACAACTGACTAAAATATTAAATTTAATTAGAAAGTCATTAAGCTACAAATCTGATACGAACTTCATCGTCAGAGCTAGTTAGTTAGCTTCGACGACTGACGAAATAGAAACCCGCTAATTACTACCAATATAAATCAACCGCTTCAGACCCAGTCTGCTAAAGCCGTATTTATCTGTAAAAGTTAATTTAACGTTTAATGTGAAACAAACTACCACGTTTTTGAGCTTTTTTCCTTCCAAGCCGCCGGCGTCGCCTTGATGCTAACGCGCTCCTAGCTTAGCAGCGCTTAAGTTTCATTCAGCTAAAACGTATTTTATAACAAAATAGTATCATATCTGAAAAGTAACCGTCAGTTTCTAGGTGATTTTCTAACTGAACCACGATAAACAGAGCTTTAAGTGGAAGAAAAACCAATAAACTGCGAGAATTACCTTCGAGAGTCAACTCCGACTTCTCCCTTCTTTGTTCTTCTTCTATGAATGCTGAGCTCTGGGTTAGCAATCCGAGCAATAAGCTGCGCCCCTTGCTGGTCAGAGGTGGGACTGCAACAAAAACGTTTCCTTAGTGAAATGAAACATATATTGAATAAATTTAATTGCAAATATTAGTAGATTTTAATCCAACAATTATATGTAAAGCTGTGAAAGAGCCCAAGCTTATATCACTAAAGTTTATAACAGAATGACTACTTTTATATGATAAAATCACTATATTCTTATAAGGCTTACCTCTGAAGACAGGTGCACATGCCTCACATGCAGGAAGCTGCTGTTAGGAATATTGTAACTAATATTCTGTGGTATGAAAAGATCCGTACTGCTTATTTCCAATTTTTAAAGGCTTCATAAAGTCAAAATTTGTTTTTTTTCTCCCACACTGTTTGCATTTGATCACTGCTGCCATTTATAGAATAGAAATGTTCATTTACTGTCTGAAAGATGTACTAAAAAAAAATAGTAAACCAAAATCAACAAAATTGAGGCTCATAAAAGTTGACTAAATCTGAAAAAAGTAAAATAAAATCAGGATCAACTTCAGAGGCGTGCTGCCATCAATGCAGCTTCTTCGACATTGGTGGAAATGTGAGAACAGATGAACCAGACCAGGAACGTGGTTCAGCTATTTCCCTAAATCCTGAATGTTTGGAATGAATATTGCCTTGGAAAAAAGGAAAGCTGAGCTACTATGAGTCCACCACCTCTAATTGCTTCCATGAATAAAAACTGGATCCTGGCATCCTAGAGGTGATCCTCATTCAATGATCCAGGAAGTATCAGGTTCTGAAGTGTGGAGAAGCGATGAAATGGGAAAGAAAATGAGGAAGGATTCAGACGCTTCAGACACAGTTTCACCACTTTATTACAGTAAATGAGTCGATATCATACACACAGACAACAGAGACGGACAGGTTTGTGTTTTTCTCTCCCTTTACCCTTCAACCTTCTCCATCACCTGAACAGTCCAACATTAACAGCTTATCACAGAAGGAAAAGAAAAGACTAAAACAACGAGCGACACGTCAGCATCAGATTCATCAGAATAAACTGAGGTTTGAGGTAATGTGAAACATTTCTCTGAAATACTGCCCAGGATTTTAATAATCAGTCAGACTGTGCAGGGTTCTGATCCAAATGGGAGATGATAGAGGAGCTAGTTAAAACACTTCCTGTCTGAACAACGCCCTCTACAGGTAAGACATGGTAAATGAACATTCAGGCTCACAAAGCTGAGTAACCTGAACAGAAAACATCCAAAATAAATTACCTTCCTTCTTTTGGATCTATTTAGAACTTGGATTATAATAAAATAAAAACAATAAAACTTTGGAGGAATTAAACACAAAACAGAGCCTCAAACCGATGATCTCTGATTTGAATAATTTGACCGCCTGGTTTAGAAGCAGCGTGATTTGATCTCACCTCTAACCACACAGAAGTCCAGACAAAGAAATATAAAGAAACCGCTTCCCTTCGATGCAGATTAATCTGCTAAACAAATATTAATATTTCAGATGTTTAAAATTTTGGTCCATTTCTAACAATGTAATCAACTACAAAATTAATTTAAAAAACCAGATAACGCTGCCTATTGCAATATTTAGCTATTGAGCGTCAGGAGGTTACAAATGAAGGACTGTTTAAGAAAGACAGTCAGATTTGATTCGTCTTTAGTAGAAAACAAGAGTAAAAAGTGCTCAGAATGCTCTTGTGACTTATTTAAAACAAAAGTGATCGAATTTGAGAGTTGAAAATCACATTTTCTATACGTATCCAGAACTGTGCAAAACAAAAATCTGCTTTAAATACTTCAATCGCCCCAGAACTGTTAAAATATGTCCATGTTTAACATTTTTTTTTTTTCTAGAGGGCCTCTACATCATCTGGAAATCTGATAATTTTCTATGTCTGCATAGAAACGGAAAGAAATTAAATGTTTCTTGCTAAAGTCTCATGATTGGGTTAAACCTCGGTTTCAATAATCTTATGACTTAATTTCTGGTTCATGATTTATTTTATTATGATTATGTGACTGAAGATCATGAGTCAAAGGACAAAGATAAACCGTTTGTTCTCGCACCAACTTAGAAATTCGATTAATGAGGATAAAAATGTTAATTTCACAGTTTATTTTGTTTTATGGCTTCTGGACGCTTTGAGATCAAGGCTTTAAATCGGACATGTGACCCTAGGAATGGGTTTGGTTCAGATTTCAAACCCTTCAGACTTTATTACTATTAAACAAAATGTTTGACCGAGAAGAAAAAGAGGCTGGATTTTATTTACATTGATCAGATCCAGATTTCTTCGTAAATATCATCGATCGGTCTAAAAAGAGGCGTCAGAGCTCTTAATCTGAACTCATTCCAGGATCAGTTCTTCAGATCAAAAAGTGGCAGAAAACTCCTCAAAATGTTTGGAAATATAATAAAACTACAAATTAAAATGCTCCAGATCTAATTATAAATGGAAACAACCACAAAAATAAGTAGTTTAAGTTTTCAGACAAAGAGGTGGAAAGAAAACAAGCGACATTCAGTCAAGTTGAGTTTAATCTGAAGTAGGATCAGAGCGGAAGACGGCTTTTCAGAACAGAACCCTCTCAGAACTCGGGACGGACCCGGAGAGGACCGATGGAAGGAGAACCGCAGAGTTTCTTCACAGTTTTCACAAAAAATGACAGAGAGAGAAAAACATCATCTGCAAACATGAGTGGCAGTTCGATTTTTTTTTCTTTCCTTATTTACATTTTGAATTGTGGAGAAAAAAAAAACGTATTTACAAACTAAGACATCTTCATCGACAGAATGAGGAAGGTCAAATTTAACCGACTCTGTCTTTAATAAAAAGGAAAGAAATAAAATCAGTGATATTTACATGTGCAATAAGAGTGAAGAAATCAATGGCTTCTGAGAGTCGAGGAGAAAAAAATCGGCCCGGACTGATTCCTCCCTGCAGGGTTTTTATTTTATTTTCACGCTTTTTCATTGCCGCAGTAATCCTGACAGCTCTGAGCGCCGACGCGCCCTGCGGGGACGATCAGCAGCGCCGTGTGGACATAAAGCGGGCATGTGACCTCATCAGACTGGCAGCTTCCCAGTTAGAAACCAGTTGGCAGCGACTCTCCTCCTAATGTGTGAATTAAACAGCGAGAGGAGCTCAGGCAGCAGCTAGAAACAGCAGGCGGTCCGTATGGAACCGGAGTATCAAATATACTAAAACTACAAACTTCCAAGCGCTCCGACTAAAATCTGGCTCCTAACCCTAAAACAGTTGGCAGCCGTGAAGAATCTCCGACACACATAAGGAAAAACATTCGCCGGGTTTCTAAATTCTCAATTCCTGGTTAAAAGTTTCAATTCTCTGTCCTCAAACGAATGTGAGACAGAAAGACAGCAGCTCCCAGAAACCTCAACATCTGCCTGATCTTCAGCACGTCAAAAGAACTGAACGTAAAGCAGCTTTCATTCCATCGGATAAGCAGGAAAACTTCAACACTTCCGATAAAAAAAACTCCTCAGCTTGATTTAAGGGCCTTCAGATCACCGCTAAAAAGAAAAATAATTTGGCTTAATTCCTCCCCGAAAACATGGTAATACTCACAGATAATAAAAAGAAGTGTTTTGATAATGTTCAAATATAGAAAACCTTTAAAATAAGGAGCAAAAACATGAGAAGTTTTCACAGAAACGACTCGTTTCAGATTTCTTTAGAGCGTCGACTGATTAAACTTTTCTTTATTGCTCATTAATAAGAACCACAATCGTAATCTTTCATCAAACAGATATTTGTGATCAAAGCTTTGCTGAAAGATGAAGGCTTCTCCTTTCCTTTCATTGGAGGATGGAGAGGGTTTGGACTGAGCCGTCGCTTCTCCAACCTGAAAAAATTCCCTCCCTCATCCAGAGGAGGGCGCTCACCAACAGATGCTTATTTTGAGGCGGCTAATAAAGACCGACTGAGTGATTTATATTCAGTCGCTGATCAACCTGCGGTCAGGTTGGCTCTCGCAAACCAAGCGAAGCGAGTTATACTCAGCAGGATTTTGCATTAAAAGCTGGAAATCACTTGTTCTAATAACCAGATTGGTTCTAGTTTATATTTCTACGTTTTAATCTATTTTCAGACGCCTCTGCTACTGAAAAAAAACTTCCACTGTCTGAAGTCAAACCATCTGAGCTTCAATCCGTCTAACGTCTTAAAATAAGCCGTTCAGGAATCACATCTTTGAGCTACGAAGCTAGTTAGCTAATATAATCAGCCGGTTGCCTGGCAACAACAGCTTCAGGAATGCATCTCTAAGCGTAGCTGGTGCTAGTGCTTCTATTTGCACCAAAGCCGAGAGGCCGGATCACCTGCAGACCCGACTCTGGTGTCACTCGGACAGAATTCAGTCCATAGCTTTAAAACTGGGATTTAAAATCACAGAGGAATAAAAATCATAATATTATGTTGCCACATCATACAGAAAGTCAAATAAATTAACACAGAAGGCTAATTAAAAAAGAAGACGTTCTATTTCAGAGGACCAGCCCCCACTATCAAACCTCCTGCCGTTTCCACGCCAGCAGCTACAGAGCTAACAGTCATTTAACAGATTTACTGTACAGATTATTTAGAGGACAGAAAGCAGCAGCAGCAGCAGTGTGTGTGTGCGAGAGAAAGAGGCCTGCAGGTGGACGGCGACACGCTGCTTCAGATGCTGTTGAGGGATCCTGGTACCGAGCTGTGGTGAGATGAATCTGAACCGGGACCATCTGAGGAAAAGAACAAACAGGAACAAAAATTTAACCAGGCGACTCAACGAGCCGTCCTCTGAGCCTGCGGCCATCTTACGTCCAAGAACGTATGCAGCTCGTCTTGCTGGCAGTAGCGCCTTAACGCTGCACCGGCCGCCTGTGGCTTTAAGAATCGATTTAAAGATTTGATTGTTCTTTTTAAATCCCTGAATGGACCGTTGCCTCGTTTTTCCGGTGCTCTTCTCACTAGATCAACAATGTTTGCTGAATAGGGAAGAGAATCAAAAACCGTGTGTTCCAATTCCATGGCACTGTTTGGCAGCTCGCTTAACGATTCCAGGTAGTCCGACTTACGTCACGTTTTCTACGTAAGTTACGCACTCGGCATTCAGTAAGCAAGTACGATGTGACCAGGCGCAAGTCTAGAAAAGGAAAACAAAAGCGGTCAAAGCGATGGAAAGTTTGGCTTCATTTTAAGGAAGAGAAAGATGGAAACAAGGCGCTTTGCAATCATTGCAAAGTGGCAATAACATCCGTGGGAGGAAATTCTACAACATGCAGAAACACCTGCGCACACAACATGGCGTACATTTTAACGAATGCCGTGCTTTTGATAGCCTCGTGAGACCATCCTGATCTCGCGAGCTTTCAAGATTTCACTCACTAATCAGTCTGGAGACTCTCCGTTGAAGAAAATTTGGAGCCGTTCACCAAACGAACGTCCAATCAGCGTTGGCTTTGAGGCGGGTTGAGGTGTGACGCAACGAGAAGCGCGACAGTTCAGTCTAAAGAACATGGCTGCTTCAGCCGATGAAACTAGCGTTAGCGTGGCTATCGAGCAAGTTTTATCGGAATTACAGAGTATTTCTTCACTGAAAGAGCAAAACACTGCTCTGGAGGCTTTTCTCAGAGGAAAAGATGTTTTTGCTCTTCTCCCGACTGGTTTCGGCAAGAGTTTGATCTATCAATTGGCTCCTCTTCGTTGTCGCTCTGTTAGTACGTCATATGCTTCGTTGATCTGATTGGTTTATTTGGCTCGTCTATCACCAACATAGGCCAATCAGCTAACCAGTATTTTCGCCTCTTCCCAAAATTACTTCAACGGAAGGTTTCCAGATGGATATGCGGAGCAAATCCATCTGGCGGAGTCAGGTTAAGATTTTGATGCTTCCAGACAGAAGCTAAAGTTACGACCAGCATGGAAGGCAACTCTTAATGTGGTTCCTTGTAAATCAGACGCCATTTCTGGAAATAAACCCATTTCCTACCTCTCTTTGGGGTTATTAGAGACGCTACGAAGTTGCTCCGCAGTTCAGGGAGCGAGAGAAAGGTGACGCTCGTTTATTTAAATCAGGGGGAGATGAGTTTATTTCCTGAAATTGTACAGTATTGCTTTTTCATTAAACGGATGCCTTCTCCATTAGATTTAGATGACTGTGACGAGACGGGGAACCTGGCTGGATCAGAGGCTGCAGCTCCCGTTCACTACCTTCTGTTTTCGCTGAGGAAGGCAGAAATAGAATGGTCCAGGTGAAGGTAAATGAATGTCACCGTGCATCAAGTTCATTGTTTCACAGAATTGGAATCGTGAAAATCGTATCAATTCCCAACACTATTGCTGAACGTGTCGTTGTTGCTGCTGCCATCAACACCTTTGTTTATAAAGGTTAGAGATCGGCCTGTTTTCCAGTGTAGTCCTGTTTCTCTGACTGTATCTGGCTGGATGTGCTCCCTTCATCCCCTGACATGGTTTAGCTCGGAGCTCATCTGCCTGGCTGTGTGTTTACAGCTGCTTTTCTATGTCTGCTTCTGTCTCCTTGAACCCCAGTGGGCCTCAGCAGATGGCCGCTCACACTGAGCCTGGTTCTGCTGGAGGTTTCTTCCTGTTCAAAGGGAGTTTTTCCTCTCCACTGTCGCTATAAGCATGCTTAGTGTGAGGGATTGCTGAAGAGTCAATGAGTCGATGCAATCAACTGGTTTTCCTTGGACAGAAAACTTTGAATCAATCTGACTGGATGATCTGGTGATTGTAAAGTATCTTGAGATGACGTGTGTTGTGAATTGGCGCTATAGAAATAAACTGAATTGAATTGATTTGGTGGCAACATGAGAAAAATATAAAAGTTCACAATTAGATGATGTAGAAGAAGTTTCCCACCGTGGACGGAAGCAGCTGTATGAGAACGAGCGTGAGGAGGGATGAGGATCGAATTCAGCTGAGGCTGGATGGAGAGCTCTGCACAAAACAAAGGATTTCCTGTTAAGTTCAGATGCTAATCGAGACATGATCGGCGTGCCAGGAGAAAATGAGATCAAAACAGAAGATTTAAACAGTTCAGCAGCGTTTGCACGTACCTGTGGTGCTGAAGTTGAACAGCATTGGTAGCTCTCGTCCGCTGGGCAGCCGCGTGTTCGGCTGGCGGAGCTCGTCGAAGAAGGCGTGAGAGCAGGCCTCTAACGGGGAGAGGCGTGACGCAGGCGTGTACTCCAGCAGCCGGGAGCAGAGAGCGATGGCCTCCGGGGAGGTGCGCGGTTTAAACACCTGCGGAGGAAGAGCACCGTTTAAATCAGCAGGTTGTCTCTATAACCATTGAAGAGGTTTGATCTTGGCGAGACCGCAAGGAAAGTGCCATTTCTTACGCTGATATTCTCCAAACCAAAGTTACCTTTTCCACTGTGAATGTCCATGTAACTGAAATAAATCCACTCCACAACGTCTTGAAGATGAAAACTGAAGTTTAGTGCTCTTCTTAAAGCTTACAAAACGTACATTAATTTAACAAAAATATCCTATGATGAGAATAAAATGGTTTAAAGTGTCATAAAGTTGAAGAGCAACAGGTAAGAAGACTGTTCGCTTCCACGGTTCCTTGCAATGAGGAAGCCGGCTCGTCCGTCCTTAAAGCGACGGTACACATTTTTTAATCCAAAATCCAAGTAACCTTATAACCATGAATTCTTATTCTTTTAACTTTGTACATAAAATATTTATCATTTTAATCATGAAATATATCCATCTATGAAATTAGAAATTCAAATTAAATTATTATCTGTCCTTTTAAGCATTTTTAAGCAATTTCTATTTATTTAAACTAAAAGTCCACTTTGGCCGCTATAACCATGAAATTCAGTTTTACACATTTACACAAAAATAATGACTCAAAGGTAAAGATTACTTGGCAACAAACACAAGGAGCTACCCCCGTGCAAACCGAGTATAAGGAAGAATGAAAAGCATCAGGAAACCAATAAAATACATGAAAATGCTCCTAAAGACATGATCGCTCTACTGAGCGAGCAGCAGATGCAGAATCTTGAGGCCAAACCTCATTAAAGGTCTATAGGCAGGAGAAATTACAACTTTAACAGTGATGAGATTTTAAAAAAGAATGCTTCCTGATTAATTGGGGAGGTGATGAGGACTACAGCACCAAAAACAACGATTCCAGGAAACATCATAAAATATTCCATTAATAAATCAATTTTTTTATCCATATTTTGCAGCAGGGGCATTTACCTTTAGATCAAGAGGAAAACTAAACAACATTTAGATTTGTACAATTTGTGCGGCTTTAATTATAATCCAATGCTTGGGATTAATAGTACAATTTGATTAATTTAATCCTCCTATAGAGAACCTTTTCCAGAATGAATGGATCCCAAATAGAGATAATCTTTTTTTTTGACAAATTCAACATTAATGACTGAGTTTGATGCAGAAACAAAGAATCTAACTTGTCAACACTAGTTGCTAACACATGTGACAGAGCTCCAGCAGCAATATTCCAGCTGTTGGAAGATAACTGCTTTAAAACGCAAAGGAAAAGGAGATTAAAGGTTTAAAGTCATGTTTTATATGCCTTAAAAAAAAAAAGACCAAGCATCCGTCCTCATAGTGTTTAGTCATTTTTTAGCCTAAATCAGGTTCCAGCACCGGGTGAATTGAGCAGACGTAAACAGATGTGGCGCCATCTGCTGGTGGTTTCACAGAATGCCAGATGGCGACACAGCTTCACAGCCTTCAGACTTTATTCCATTTCGGTTTCATCCATTTTGAAATCAAATGTTTTAGCATTTTTCCACACTGGATCTTGAACTTTGCAGGGAGGAGCAAACTTACTTTGCCCCATCACTTCTTGTTTACCCTCTGGATAGTTGCACAACATCATGCCTATGTTATTCAAAAATATAAATAAAAGGGCTTTATTTATTTATTGGTATTTAGAAAAATAAATAATATGCAGACAGGAAGTGAACCACTGGTGTAAACTAAACCAAAAAGTTAAAGTTAAGAGAGAATCCACTGTTGTTGTTTTCAAAGTTTCAAGACGTTTCGCTTCCCATCCAGGAAGCTTTCTTAATTCAAAATGTCTGGATTAGCGTTGAGTTCCAGGCTTTATGGCGTAGCCTTGTAATGGCTCAGAAAAAACGCACATTGAAGCTGGAAAACAAGCTCCACCCCTTGATAATGGGAGTCGCTGAGGCTGTTATTAGCCTGCTAGCTAGTGTAACTAGTGTAAACATTTAAAGGATGTCATAAAACATGTCTATGCTCCTTTAAAACAGAAAGCTGTTAAAAGCAAAAGTTTTAAGTGTTCAAAAATATCATCTTTATTTCAATGTCTTCATGGTGCATTTATGAAACTGATTAAATCAGTTCTAGTAAAGAGCTGTCTGGGTCAAACGTACTTTAAACCTTTAATGTTTGAGGTGAGCGATGATTTGGTTTTGTGTTTCATGATGAGTGATTTATAAACCGGTGTTGAAATGTTCTTCCTGGGATTCCTCAGCAGGTTGAGCTATTTTAAAAATGGAGTAAAGCTCTGTTCCAATGTGTGCTAAAGACTCCACCTGCTGGTTCTGATTGCTGAATGGTTGAAGGAGAGATGAGCTGACTGCCACCTTTAGCTCCGCCCCCACTGCTCAACTCTCTGGGCCTCCATGCCTTTCAGATCAACCGGAAGCAGTTCCGCACAAATACATCGCAATATAATATATCTGGCAAACTGTTTTTATAAACGCATTTAAAAAAAAAAATTAAATTAAATTAATAAAGCATTTAGAAAGCCATGATAATCATATTTAATACATTTTAATGCCAATTAAGGCCTTACTTTAAAAAAAAGCAATAATTTTATGACTTTTAATGATTTTTAAAGACCCGCGGAAACCCTGAATTACTGCACATTGCCTCGCAAAAGAACATAAAGAACCAACATTTTGTATTATTTATAACATTGTTCTGAAATCCACACATTTTCAGAGTATAAATTAACTATATGTATTTATCTAACATGCGATTTAAATAATAAATATACTATTAAATTACAAAAAAAACAATAAAAATGTTTAATGTCCTATCAAATAATTAAAAATTACAAAATTAATCAAATTTTCTACAAATAATTAGCTTACTTCACTTTATATTTTTTAATATGTATAGATTGAAATAACTAAATGTATTTTTAGGAAGTCCCTAATGTGTATCTTTGGGTTTTTTGGGGTTACAGGCTGAAATGTTTGGGAACTGATGAATTGATGAACTCATACAACTTTTAAACATTAAGATATTTTCCTACTTTTCAGGTTCCTGCTGCCTGCATCTCCACAGAAATATCAGCTAATATTTCTAGTTTTTTAATCACCTTGGTCCATGGATGAGCTTTGATCTGTGGGAACTTAAACTCAGTGTAGTTTGGATTCATCTCTCGTATCTGTTCCCTCGTTGGCGTTCCCAACACCTGAACACAAACACAAGAGCAATGTTGATCGTATAGGAAACATTTCAGGAATCCCAGAAAGGATGCAGAGCTGCAAAGACTGAATCACCTTGATGATCTCCACCAGCTGGTCGACGCCGCTGTCTCCAGGGAATATCGGCTGCCCGAGGAGGAGCTCTGCCAGCACGCAGCCGGCCGACCAGATGTCAATGTTTGCTGTGTAGTCTGTGGCACCAAAGATGAGCTCCGGGGCGCGGTAATACCGAGAGCAGATATACGACACGTTGGGTTCTCCGCGAACCAGCTGCTTGGCACTAAGGAGAACCACAGAAATGGAAAAACATTTAAAGCAGGCGCGGTACAAGCATCTAACCTGACTCCCCCAGATGGATTTGCTCCGCATATCCATCTGGAAACCTTCCGTTGAAGTAGTTTTGGGTAGGGGCGAAAAATACTGGTTAGCTGATTGGCCTATGTTGGTGATAGACGGGCCAAATAAACCAATCAGATCAACGAAGCATATGACGTACTAATAGAGCGACGACGAAGAGGAGCCAATTGATAGATCAAACTCTTGCTGAAACCAGTCGGGAGAAGAGCAAAAACATCTTTTCCTCTGAGAAAAGCCTCCAGAGCAGTGTTTTGCTCTTCTTTCAGTGAGGAAATACTCTGTAATTCCGATAAAACGTGCTCGATAGCCACGCTAACGCTAGTTTCATCGGCAGAAGCAGCCATGTTCTTTAGACTGAACTGTCGCGCTTCACGTTGCGTCACACCTCAACCCGCCTCAAAGTCAACGCTGATTGGACGTTCGTTTGGTGAACGATTCCAAATTTTCTTTAACAGAGAGTCTCCAGACTGATCTGCGAGTGAAACCTTGAAAGCTTGCGAGATCAGGATGGTCTCACGAGGCTAACAAGCATCTACCTGCCAAATCAAAGACATCCGTTCAGAAAGCCGAATGTCAACGATGTAGAAATCCAATCCTGCAGCTTACCTGCCGAAGTCGCACAGCTTCAGGACGGCAGTTTCTGGATCAACAAGCAGGTTTTGGGGCTTGATGTCTCTATGGCAAACCCCCTGGGAATGGATGTAAGCCAGGCCGCGGAACAACTGGTACATGTACACCTGAGGAGGTAAAAATACAGCTAGAACATGCTGCTGAGGGTCCTCTGAAAGAGACTGCAGCTAAATCTGGTTCCCAGAGACACTTCAGGACCAGCGGAAAGCAGAAAGAGTCAAACATCAGAGCGGTGGGACGGTACCTTCACGTAAATGATCGGAATGATGCTCTTGGCTTTGTTGAAATGTCTGGCAACCCTGTAGACCATGTCAGGGACGAAATCCATCACCAGGTTGAGGTAGACCTCGTCTTTCTGAGCAGGATGGAAAGAAGTACTTTCAGATTTATATAAAAACTTTAAATCCATTTGTTTACAGCTAATCCTTTCTGCAACATTTAAGCTTCTATTGTTCCAAAAACACACAGAAAAAATGTAAATGCAAGTAGATTATTTGAGAATTTGCCAATAGAATAAGATGATTTATGTCTAAACTAACAAGAAAAACACTCCATTATGTTATTTCAAGTATATAATATCCAACTGTCACATTTTACATGTAAAAAACTCATTTGATTGTCTTATTTACCTGCTTAAAGTAGCAAATACACTTACTTTGAGAAATACTTCCAGTGTAAACCCTTTTTCAAAAGAAAGATTTTTTCCACCACATGAATACAAACATGCATCTATCATGTCCTTGTTTTTTCAGCTAATGATCTTATCATAGAACCAGGTTTTAGACGATGATTAGAAGAGATCTGGATATTGGAGGAAGATGGATATAGTTTGCAAAGAATGAGATAAAAAAAAAAGATTGATTTAATATGTTTTCCAATAATTTCATTTCTTTTTTCTGTTTGGATCCACATTGGAAAAATTCTTAAATCTCTTCCAGACATGTCCAGTGAGAAATAAGCTAAGAGGAAATAAGTTCTTCCACATCAGGAACAGGTACCTTCTCGCCGCTCGAGTAGAAGAAGTACCGCAGGCGGACAATGTTGCAGTGGTCCAGCTTTCTCATGATCTGTAGTTCTCGGTTCTGTACAAGAAGAAAACAAATGAGGAAGCATTTTTCCCAGAGTTACAGATCAGACAAAATTTCATAACGAACAAAGAGATCAACTCCAGATCACAGCCTTACCTTAAACCTCTTATCCTGCAGAACTTTCTTAATGGCGACCATCTCCTGGCTGTCGATGAGCCGAGCCTGGTACACGACTCCGAATGATCCATTCCCAATAACCTGCCGGGTTTTAGAGAAGACCAGACAGAGAGATGATGGGAATGACCAAACTGCACTGCAAAAACAATCCAGAAATAAGTAAAAAAATTCTTAAATTAAGTATATTTACCCTTAATTTGAGCAGGTAAATAAGATGATCTGCCAATGGAATGAGTATTTTTACTCTTAAAATAAGATAGTTAGATAATATTTACTTGAAATAAGACGATAAAATAGTTTTTTCTTATTTTAAAAGGAAATTGTCTTGTTCCATTGGCAAAGTGTCTTACTTACGTCCTCAATTCAAGGAAAAATTCACTTATTTTAAGAAAAAATAACTTATTGAGGTTTCTATTTTTTGCAGTGTGGATGCATTCATGGAGAAAACCCACACATCTTAAATGTAAATGCAACTAAAAGTGGAGCCGGTTGTACGCCGCCAAAAACCACTTTATTCACAGACTTCCGCTGAGTTCTTATACCTATTCTGGGCTTAAATTGGATTGGATTTGATTCCAATCGAACATTTTAAACGATTGCTCAAAGGTTTAGGAAATTAGATCTATGGTTTGTAACTGTTTTATGAATTTCTAATTATAGATGGATGTAATTGTAAACTGTAATGTAATTTGCAATGTAATCTTTTGCCGCTGCCTTGGCCAGGACTCCCTTGAAAAAGAGATTGTTAATCTCAATGGGAATTTTCCTGGTTAAATAAAGGAATAAAAAAAAAAAAATCATTATATTCTGATCTCTTACAGCATTTCCTACCCTAGCAGACGACCCTGACCCCTAATTTCACATCCATGTCACAGATAAACTACATCTTTGTTTGCAGAGTGAATTAGAATTCAGAAACCTCAAAAACATGACCTTACTTTTTCCATTTTAAAGCAGAATAACCAGAATATTAATAATTGCTCCATATTCCCCCGAAACATAATATCTCCTCATCTTTGCAGAATTACTGCAATTCAGCTACATTGGTCGTTTCCAGCTTTTAAGGTCATCCTTCAGCCTGAACATAGGGTTAACGTCAGGACTTTGACTAGGCCACTGCAAAGTCTTCATTTTGTTGTTCTTCAGGCATTCAGATGTGGACTTATTTCAGGTAATGAAGCCGCCCCAGAGCATCACAGTACCACAACCATGTTTTACAGTCTGATGTTCTTATATATATATATATTTTAGGGATGGAACCGTCGGAACCGTTCGGTTCCACTGTCTCGGTTCGGTTCGCGTGTGTTGCGTTCGGTTCATGCGCTGCTCCTTTTTCTCATAGGCGAAGCGTGTACACTCCACAGCAGAAGGTGGCAGTACTGCGACCAAAGCCAACCACCAGTAGTAAACAGGAAGAAGAAACGAAGCAGTGTAGCCGGGTGTAACAGAAAAAAAATCAGTTGTTGTGGAGAATTGTGTGGGTATGGCGAGTGGGAAAGAACAGGAGTTGGAAGACGCGCCAGCAGCACTTTATAGGTCTGCTGTATGGGACCGCTTTGCATTTAGAGTGACCTACGATGACGGCGGAAAGAAAGCTGTGGATAAAAATGCAACAGTGTGCAAGCATTGTGCAACACGTTTTGTGTATGCTAACAGCAAAATGACCAACATGTCATGCTAACAATAAAAAAAAACGGTGACCACGAAACCGTGAACCAAACCGACCGTGGATTTTGTGAACCGTTCCACCCCTAAAAAAAAAAATATATAAAAAAAATATATATATATATATAAACAACACGGCAAAATCCTTCATCTTTACCGTCGACAGGCTGCAGCCATGTCCCTAATTCTTCATTTTTTATTTTTTGCTGGAATGTGCATTTCCCATTTCCTAGCTTTTTCTCCGCCTCACACTTCCTTTCCGAACAAACTGCTGTTCCGCGCACACATACGGAACCAGTTATATCTGATATTATATAGCTGACAAAATAAAGCATTTTAAATGCCAAGATAATCACATTTAATGAATTTTAAAGCCAATTAATTGAGGGAAGTGTTGATCTAGTGGTTAGAGCAGTGCGCTTGTGCTCTGAGAAGGTTGAAAGCACCTGCACCCTGGGTCCGTGAGCAAGACCCTTAACCCAACACTGCTCCCTGAATGTGAAATTAATAAAGTTCAGTTATTTTATTATTATTATTTACTCCAGATGTAATGAGACACAGACCCTCTAAAAGGTTTAGCTTTTAGTTAAATGTACATTAACAAAATGTAAATATGGTTCTGTTCCCTCAGCAGTGTTTCAGGTCTTGGATTTCTGCCTTGCAGCCAATTTAGCCCAATTTCTTTCTGATGATGGGGGCATGACCTCTGACCTTTACTGAGGCAGGGAGGTCTGCAGGTCTTTGGGTTTTGTTGGCGAATCAGGACCTCTCTGATGAGTTTCGGGTAATGTAGATCGGCTGGTCTCTCCCGGGAAGGTTCCCCACTGATCCAAGGTTTCTCCATTTGTGGAAAATGGCTCTCACTGTGATTCACTAGAGTCCTGAAGCTTAAATAAATGGCTTTATGAGCCTTTCTGGGCAGATAGATCTGCTACTTTTGTCCCTTTTTGTTCTAACAAGGATCTTTGTTGAATTTATTTCTTGATTGAGAACAGGTGTAGCAACAGTCGGGCCGGGGTGGGGCTAAAAAGTGAAGTCCGGTGTGATAAACCAGTTATGTTTTAACAGAAAAGCACTTTCTCACACAGGGACGTGGAGGATTGGATTATTTTTCTCCTTTGATAAAAACCCTAATTTAAATACTGTTTCTCTGTGTCCTCTAATACTTATATTAATTTGTTATGTTATGAGACACTTTAAAGAGTAACAAGTAACATTTTGACAGTAAAATGAACCAAATTAAATCTTATTTGTCATCCGGGATGGAAGTAACCTTCCCTGTATACAGGTGCTGGTCATAAAATTAGAATATCATGAAAAAGTAGATTGATTTCAGTAATTCCATTTAAAAAGTGAAACTTGTATATTATATTCATACATTACATACAAACTCATATATTTCAGATGTTTATTTTGTTTAATTTTGATGATTACAAATGACAACAAATGAAAATCTCAAATTCATCATATCAGAAAATTAGAATATTACTGAAGACCAATAAAAACAAAGGATTTATAGAAATGTTGGCCAACTGAAAAGTATGAACATGAAAAGTATGAGCATGTACAGCACTCAGTATTTAGTTGGGCCTCCTTTGGCCTGTATTACTGCAGCAATGCGGCGTGGCATGGAGTCGATCAGTCTGTGGCACTGCTCAGGTGTTATGATAGCCCAGGTTGCTCTAATAGTGGCTTTTAGCTCTTCTGAATTGTTGGGTCTGGTGTATTGCATCTTCTTCTTCACAATACCCCATAGATTTTCTATGGGGTTAAGGTCAGGAGAGTTTGCTGGCCAATTAAGAACAGGGATACCATGGTCCTTCAACCAGGTACTGGTAGCTTTGGCACTGTGTGCAGGTGCCAAGTCCTGTTGGAAAATGAAATCTGCATCTCCAAAAAGTTGGTCAGCTGCAGGAAGCATGAAGTGCTCTAAAACTTCCTGGTATGTGGCTGCGTTGACCCTGGACCTCAGAAAACACAATGGACCAACACCAGCAGATGACATGGCACCCCAAACCATCACTGACTGTGGAAACTTTACACTGGACTTCAAGCAACGTGGATGAAGTGCCTCTCTTCTTTTCCTCCAGACTCTGGGACCTTGATTTCCAAAGGAAATGCAAAATTTACTTTCATCAGAGAACATGACTTTGGACCACTCACCAGCAGTCCAGTCCTGTTTCTCTTTAGACGCTTCTGACGCTGTCTGTGGTTCAAGAGTGGCTTGACACAAGGAATGGGACAGCAGAAACCCATGTCTTTCATACGTCTGTGTGTGGTGGTTCTTGAAGCACTCACTCCAGCTGCAGTCCACTCTTTGTGAATCTCCCCCACATTTTTGAAGGGGTTTTGTTTCACAATCCTCTCCAGGGTGCGGTTATCTCTCTTGCTTGTACACTTTTTTCGACCACATCTTTTCCTTCCCTTCGCCTCTCTATTAATGTGCTTGGACACTGAGCTCTGTGAGCAGCCAGCCTCTTTAGCGATGACCTTTTGTGTCTTGCCCTCCTTGTGCAAGGTGTCGATGGTCGTCTTTTGGACAACTGTCAAGTCAGCAGTCTTCCCCATGATTGTGGAGCCTATAGAACTAGACTGAAAGACCATTTAAAGGCTTTTGCAGGTGGTTTGAGTTAATTAGCTGATTAGAGTGTGGCACCAGGGGCCATCAATTTTGAACCTTTTCACAATATTCTAATTTTCTGATATGATGAATTTGAGATTTTCATTTGTTGTCATTTGTAATCATCAAAATTAAACAAAATAAACATCTGAAATCTATAAGTTTGTATGTAATGTATGAATATAATATACAAGTTTCACTTTTTAAATGGAATTACTGAAATCAATCTACTTTTTCATGATATTCTAATTTTATGACCAGCACCTGTACAACCAGTCGCCAAAATCAACGACGTCTTCCGTGTTTTTCCTTCTTTCATACCCAAAAGGTACGGATCCAAACAACTTTGATCATTGTAGTGTGTTGCTCATGTTTACTTTCTGATTTCTGAGCCAATCATGAGAGTCACCATGGTTGCCAAATAATTTGATATTTCATGTTTGTAGCGGCGGCTGAATCGTGTTCCTAGTTATCTTGGGTTTAGCTGCCTTACGTTCTTAGGAAGGGATTGTTTTTGTTTAGCGTGTTCTTCAGATTGCAGACACTTACTGCTCCTTTGAATGTAGCAAAATAAGAAAATAAAATCACGAACTATAAATGACACATTCCACTTTATCAGAAAATAAGTAATTATAGGTTCAATTTAAATCTTTTGCTTCATATCAGGAATAAAAAATCTGTCCTGTTGAAACTATTTTACCCTAAAATCTGGATGGACAGGTTACGCTATTGGTAAATAAATAAACATTAACCTGCAGCATTTTGTTTGCAGAACAGCATTTCAATGACCTGGAAC